CCAGGTGTTCATACGGACGGACAGACAGACAGAAGGACAGACAGGGCTAGATCGACTCGTCTTGTCACGCTGATCAAGAATATATATACTTTGTGGGGTCTGCCACGCCTCCTTCTGCCTGTTACATTTTTAAGCATTTTTCCCGCAAACCTAATATACTCTTGTACTTTTCATGTACAGAGTATAAAAATGCATGCGTACGTGTCAATAATGGAAGAGGCAGGGTTGAAGAAAAAAGGAAAACCAGTTGCTGCTGATAATTAAGTTCTCGCTCTTGTAAGTGAACAACAAACCAAAAAAAAAATAAACAACAAGGCATAACAATAAGTTGAGCGCAATCGACTTAGGCATACACTGTAACTATCATTACTTAATCATATTTGGGACTATATAGAACTATAGTGATTATCTGTATTGTAGATTTCTTTCGTAGCCAATTTGTATAAGTATATTTTTAATTTTGAGTGAGTTTCAGTCTAAGATGCTTAATAATTTGATATATAAAAACATGTAAGTAAACTCCGCACCTGGTGGGTTAATAATGATTTACTTTTTATAATTGTAATACCATGTCTAACTCACATTGCACCTGTAAAGTAAGGTCTGTATTGTTTCATAGTGTTTGTTACACACCCAATCGAAAATCTTATATGACTTGTCACCCTTCAGCTAGAATAGAGAATATAAAAACGGCCAGACACTTGACAATTACAAAGACAAGGAATGAGTTGAGAAAGAAGCGGCAACAACATTCAAGTCAAGCCAAGTCAGTCAGACTTTGTTCAAGGCGATTCTTTTTTCCACTGCTACTGCTGGCTGGCTTCTACGTTCATTAAAAATTACTGGAATTGTTCTTGAACTCAAGTTTTGTGCTGTCGCATTTCCCTCGGACGGACACTGAACAAGAGAACTTGGAAAATTTTTTGTTTGTGCGGCAACAACAAAAACCAGACTTGACCAACTTGTTAGCCATTCTAATAAGTCGGGCCAGAGATGATAAAGACACCTAAAGACGAAGGCGACAGCATCTCAAGCCAAACCAATTGAAGCAGCAGTGCGAGGATAATGATGTTCATGTTGATGTTGGTGGTGCTGATGGGACAATCTAAAAGTTGCGAGCACTTCAAAAGCAGTTGGCAATTGAAATGCAAAACGTAAGAGAAAAGCACAAAACTCGGAAGGATATCTTGATTGCAAACAATGCGTATTCCTTTTACTAAACATACATACATATATAGCAATGCCAAATCGATTTAAGGATAAATATATAGTAACTAGCATAGTATATATAATGTAGTATACTATCTATAGATAATAAAAACAAAACTCTAATATCGAGCATTATTTAGAACATCATGAAAATGTTAAAAACAATTATAAGTAAAAAAAAAAGAACACAGTAAACACATTAATTTAAATTAAAATGTATAATAGTAAACTTCAAAATCTTCAAAACTTTAGAAAATATGAAATAATTTAGTTTATTATTTAGAAACGATTTCTAGAAATATAACTAACTTTCGTTGAATATGAATATTTTTTCCGTATTTTGAACTAATTTTCTTTGTCCTAATTTATAAATAACACAAGCAACACATCATTTTAGTTCAAATGTATTTAATTAAAAACAGTCATATAGTATGTTCATTCAAGGTTTCTTTCTTACATTACAAAAAATACAACTTTTCGGTTTAGGACTAATAACATAAACCTCACAAATTAAACCTCCAAATACTGTTGTTATCGATCCGAAGGAGCTAGTTATCAAGTCTCATGAACAAATAAAGATAAAAACTTACACACACGGTACACAATACTAAACGTATCGTGAAAAACTAACAAACAGGCAAAAGAAAAATTAACGCACTACCTGCCATAAGTACACAAACGAGATCCCACGACTATTCGATACACTATATGTATCAGTGAGGGGACTTTTCCAACTCAAAATATCGAATGAAAGGCAATAAAATTGCTAGACCTATTAACACAGATAATACTTGGTGAAATTTAAATATATAAACTTTAATAAGTCAGAGATGTATAAATACATATGTTTGAACATATGTATATTCTTGATATTAAAATCCATAGTTATTTCATTATCAAGAAGTATATTTCTGCCTCCATTTTTGTTGTTACATTCCCATGCACAGTTCCCTTATAAGCTCTGATTCTTCGGTTACAGAGTATAAACCCCAAATGCAAGCAACAAAAATGGAAAAAAATTCAACAATGAACAAACACGCGCAAGCACCTAAACCAACAACAACCTAGAAATGTCAATTGAGGGACAGAAGGCAACAAACATCGACAACAGCAAGAACAACTTGGCAGACAAGGCTCGGCGCTTTTTTCCGTTGGCAAGACAACACAGGAGGCCGATAACTGAAATGTCTATAAAATATTTATAATGTTTGTTGCATGTGTGCGTACTTTCCGCTTCCTTACACACTCACGCACTCACACACAACTAACAACCTCGTCCATTATAGATTGAAAACCTATTTCATTCACCCCTTCAACAGCTACGGCTACAACAGCAACAAGAAGAGCAATCGAAAAACCCAAACAGCTGCCAAAAAATCGCATTATAGGAAAATAGAAAGAAAAAAGCATATCTGATAAAAAAAACTCAAATAAAATTATTTTAAATAGAAATTCTCTTTGCTAAAAATAAAATTGTTGAAAAACAAGGAGAAGAACTCACACAAGTGCTACTTGGACTTTTTCTATATACTCGCATTTTTTCCTTTTGCTGACGAATACCAAAGCAAAGCAAATAAAACTTTTCAAACTTATCTGGGCTCTTCGCGTTCTTTTCATATTATTTACATATATAGACGATGGTTCTATACATATAGTCCAATGTGTGCTGAGGATTATATATGTACATATAAAAGCATATATCTATGTGTCTCTCTTACAGGTGGCATAAATGCGTTTAAATGACGACATTGTGGCCAATTTTATGGGGCAAGGCAATTGGAATTGTTTGATTTCATTTGCCATTGAAATTGCACCTCCTTAGACAGCTGTTTTTTCTATTGAATAATGATGTATTATGGATATAGAAGTTGTTATATTTAATATTTAATCAACGACAAGGCATGTTCTACTTTTTCAAAACAGTTGATTGGGCATTCCATTGCCAATTACATATATACCTATACGGCTCAATGATAATCTTTTGCCAATTGGATGTATTTATTTCCAAATATGTACATACTTGTATACTCGACCTTTCACAAATTTAGCAAAAATCTTATACCAGCACTCTATGACTTATATTTTCTCAGATACTAAGGTCCATACAGACAGACGAAGATGTTTAGATCAGTTATTTTTCTTATGCTTATTAAGAATATATGTAATTCTATAATTAATCGAAACATTTTTATACTCTGTACATGAAATGTACAAGAGTATATTAGGTTTGCGGGAGCTGAAAAATGTAACAGGTAGAAGGAGGCGTGGCAGACCCCACAAAGTATATATATTCTTGATCAGCATGACGAGACGAGTCGATCTAGCCCTGTCTGTCTGTCTGTCCGTCTGTCCGTCTGTCCGTCTGTCCGTCCGTATGAACACCTGGATCTCAGAGACTATAAGAGATAGAGACACCAAATTTTGCACGAAGATGCGTTATGTGTGTATTCTATACGAGTTTGTTTTATTTTTTTGATTTTCCCCCCCACTTCCCCCCTATGGGGGTTTTCCCGATTTTCCATTCGTATAATCGCCTATATCTCGGAGACTATAAGACCTAGGAACACCAAATTTTAGTCCCAGATGCCTTATGTGAATACGCAGAAAATGTATATTTTGGAATTCCCCTCCCTCCCCCCTCTACCCCGCAAATCGTAACTCCCGTAATTCTTGGAATTTCGAACTAAAATTTTGGAAATACCCCCAGTTAGTTATTATGTGTCCGTATGCCAAATTTCATTATGATAGACCTATTTAACAAGAAGTTATAGCCATAAATATATTTGCTGATGCAGCGCTGCTGCAGCGCTGCTCAAGCGCTGCCCGCGGCTGTTGTTGATGTTGCTGTTTGGTTGACTGCGAAAATGCTTACACAGACACGAATTGATGCGCATAGGCATACATACACTCACACAGACGCAATTGCTATGTAAATGTGCAATTATACACCCTTTACGTGAGTTCGAATGCCGAGAGAGGTAAAATCGATCAAATTTTTTTTTTATTTTCTTAATTTTTTTTATTTTCTATAATTATTGTAAACATATGTACAGAGTATTTCAAAGTTGGGACACCCGACTTTAGCCTTTTTACTTGTTTGTATTAAAATTTAGTCTTATATTAACATTGTTTTCCACAAGTAACACTGACATTGACAAAAGCTGTATTTGTGATCAGATGTTCTTCACTTCTTAGGGCGCTGTATTTATAATCGAACTAGGTAGGATCTGCTATCTATTTACTATTATCTCTTAAAATCGAAAACTCTAAAAGGGGGGTTCAAGGAATTACAAGAGAGGGTCAGTCAATGAAAATTCAAATTCACAATGAAATCTACGCACAATTTTGGGCCTAGACGATAGGGTTTGCTGTCAATATAAATTGAATTATATATTCTTGTCCATACCACTGTCGCAGAGTTTTAATGAAACCCAATAACCAGCGCGGAATATATTTAAATTTTCTGTCAGGATTGCACAAATGCGTAATATATGTAATATAAGGTGTTGCGGATATTTTAATATGGATAATGAGCGGCTTACCTGGCCTGGCGTTCGCGTCGCTGCATGCTGCTGTTACTGTTATTGTTGTTGGTTGTTAAATTTTCAGCACGTTCCCTTGAATTTTGACTCAAAAACTGAATAACTCTCCACAAAATTTTGTAAATTTACAAATAAGCTGTATGTATGTTTCAATTATTGCTATTGCTGATCGAGGTTATGGAGAAGGGATTGATCCAAAATGTTGTTATTGTTGAAATGTATTATTTGCTGCACAAATTAGCTGTTGTTGTTGTCGTTGTTGAACTGCTGAATGTTATTTGTCGTTATTCAAATTTATTATTGATGCTGTTCTTGTTGCAAACTTGCTGTTGGTGTAGGCGTGCGTGCGCACACACGCACTCACTTAAAGTCCACGCATGCCGCGCATGCGTCTTCCAATGCATACAAGGGAGAGTGTGAGAGACAAGCTTCGGAGCACTCGATTGAGGGTCAAGGGTTTTCACCAGCGGATGCGAGGACAGCGTCTGAGCCTTAGTGCTTGCTTTAATTACAATTGTTGCTTTTGGTTTAGCTGTTGCTGTTGCCGTTGCTGTTGTTCCTGTTGTTCTTGTTCTAGTTGTTCTAATTGCTGTTGTTCCAGTGTGTAACTGTTCTTGTTCCTTGCTACAGTTGCTGTTGTTGTGGCGGCTGTGCTATTGTTTGACATCAAATATACAATTTGAGCAGCATTTCTTTGTTTTTAGTTTTTGTTTGGTTTTTGTATTTTTTTGGGGTGGTATGAAAAAAAATATATATTTTGTTATTTTATTTAACTCGACAACACTATGCTTGTCGTCAACGTCGAAAAATCTATGTGAAGTTTTTGTTGTGGCTGCTGTAGTTGTTGTTGTTTGGAGGCGAATGAAAGTAAAGCGAACGAAACTCAATTGAGGCAGTTTTAGGTACTATGTAAACAAATAATTTTGGCTAAACAATTTGACAAACACACTTTTGCACATTTTTTCTCACAAATTTAAAGCGATGCTTTTGTATATATATGCTGCCTATATATATTTTTTTTGTATACTTCGCCCAAGTCAAAGTGACATATTTTTCTACTTTTTTATATTCACACAGAGGTGTTTCTTCCCTTTTCCTGTGGGCGTGTTCTCAATTTTTGGAAAAGTTCCTCTTTTTTAGCTAATGCAACGACAACAACGACACTGCGTACGAGTAGTTGTATTTGTTAAGTAAAATCTAACCGGTCAGCTTTAAATTGGCGCGCGCGTTCATCACTATTTCTTTATTATAATTATTATTTAATGGGCTTTGTTGTTGTTAAGCTCAGGGCCTGTTGTAATTGCACTTTGTGATCCGCTGCCTTTTGGCTGTTGCGTTTGTTTTGATGTCATAAACAGCTGCAAGTAAACGAGGGGCAATGGAGTTATTAAAAAATTATTTCATTAGGCAAAAGTTTGAATTAAAAGCTAAATAATAATTTTCTTATTGCAGCATTTTCACTGCATATGGGCACACTAGTGCAGCAAAAGAGAGGGCGAGAGAGAGTGCGTGTGCGAGAGTCTCGTAATATATTCGCTCATTGATTTTCATGCTCATTGCTCATGGCTGGCTGCTTTGCTTTGTGCAATATGCAAAAGTTGTTAACATTATTCATTTATTACATTAGCTTTCTAGCCACAACAAATTGATTGAACACAATACTTAATCAAAAAAAAAGCTACTCGTATTTATACGCCCGCGTGATAAACGCTGAGCACACACCTACACTAACCATGGAAACAGTCTAAAAAAAATTAGGCCAATTAATGCGTATACTTCTTGCCACTGCTGCTACAGTTAACAATTGGGGAATTGGGAAAAACCAGTGGCACTGGCAACATAACAAAGCCAAGAGCCAAAAGAAAATTGTGTAAAGTACGTGATTTTTTTATTTTCGCCTATTTTCACGTTTTATTTGTTCATTTAAAATGTCTTGAGCACGCAAAAAAACCAAGTTGATTGCGGCGGCTGTGGAGTCAGAGACAGGGTGTAACGCTTATTGATGATTTTAGCCATACATTTTTCTTGTATGCCAACACGACGTAAGTATGTTAGCGCCACTGCTAATATAATACACTATTTTATCTTAAATACATTATTCGGCCGCAATTGTAATTTACCTTTTAGACATTTTCGCACGCATTTTCACTACGCCTCATTTTTTCTTGCACACGCACACACATACGCACCACACGCACATACACAGTTACACACTACAGCCGATTTTCGCAATTGAATTTTGCACTAACTACTCGCGTTGGCTTGTTCGCATAGCACTCTTGTTTTATAAACTATTTAATGCACTAGTTTAATAAATTTATGCGGTTTTCGATTTGCAATTAACTGTTTTTGCAAGCCGAACGCACGCAAGAGAGCACGAGAAAAATGGTGCGATTTTTTCCCTGCCTTGCACACACACACACACCGTCGAAGACTGCAGAGTGTGACCATGCAATTTTGTAATCAAAATTCTACAGGGCTCGACTTGACAAAAATGCCATAAAATACTAGTTTTATTATTTAGTTATTATTTATAATAAACGCAACAAACATAATCTCTTCTTCAGTTGTTAACAAGTAAAGTTTATATTTTATTTATTACGGACTCCATTATGTTAAATAAAAAACAAATACTAAGTTTTGAGGTATATTCTCACGTGCGCTCACCAAATTAGCCGGTAATAATATCTACATATGCATGTGTATTGTATATACATACATATGTACATATGCAAAAGTGTTTCAGGGAATACACACACAAGCGCACATAACTCCACAAACAACACTTACAAGATCTAGCAGCTGGCTAATAATACAAGTTTGGAAGACAGACGCATAGATAGATGGTTAAAACGAACCGATTTATGTTGTGATTCACCGAACATTATTTTAGTTTTCAGTTCGTTTTGTTGACCAGGTCGCGGGCGACCTGAACACTAAACCGTTTTAAGAGTGACCATGCGTTCAAAAGAAAAAATATTCTCAGTCGACAATTTGTGAAATACTGCAGCACTGGCAACACGTGCAAGTTCGCGCAGCTTTGATGCGATTTTTGAGTTGAGTTTTCTATTGAAATGGGCAAAGTAAGAGAAAAACGTGCTAAAAATGTAAGCTATATATTTACAGGAATTTTTCTATTAGTCGTAACTATGATTTCTCTGCACAGGGACTGTCACCGGACCATAAAAAACTGCGCCCGGGCTCGAAGCCTAAAATTTCAACGCAGGAGCAGGATTCGCAGAGTGATGATTTCAGTGCCGGTTCTGGTAGCGATGTAATCGAAAGCGATGGTGGCTTTGAGTCATCACCTACACCCATTAAGGCGCAGCCACAAAAACACAAAACAGAGGCGAATCTGACGGGTGGATCAAAAAAGAAAAAGAAACGCCCAGAGGCAGAAGTGAAACCACCATCTCTGGAAGAGATGAAGGAGCTGCGCGATACACGCAATCTTTTTCATTCTAATCTCTTCAAGCTGCAAGTGAAAGAGATGCTACAGGAACTACAGTTGAAGCCAAAATACACCACTTTTATCGAGACCTGGATGGACTCTTTCAAGACCTTCACACAGCAACTAGAGGATGGGTTAATGGATAACTGCAAGCTGGAAGTGCCACTCAATTTAAATGGTCTGCAACACAAGAAACCCTTTAACTTTCAGTTCATAAAGCCGGAACAGCCACCCCAACTAATTGGAGCCGCATCCACAGGCTGTTTATTGGGACCCAAACTTGTTATTGATATTTCTGTAGAGATGCCAGCGTCCTGTTTTCAGAAAGAAGACTATTTGAACTTGATTTATGATCAAAAGCGAGCGCTATATCTTACCTATTTGGCCAATCAAATGCGTTTATCTCCTATATATGCAGCGGATTTATTTTCCTACAACTACCACGCTAATAATCCTCTCAAGCCTGTGCTTGAGCTAATCCCCGCCTCGAGCGTTGGCAAGAGGCTGCTCCTTCGCTTGTTCGTTGTTGCGCCGCCACTATTTAAACTCAATCGCTTTGTACCATGGAACAATAACATAAGACCCACAATTTTTGGCGATGAATGGGATCCAAATGAAGCTATTCCAGCCACACCACACTATAATGCGAACGTACTCTTCGATCTGACCATGTCGCAGAATCGTGAGTTTCTTTGCAAAGCTTATGCGGGAAGGAAAAACTTCCAAGAGGGTCTTCTACTTCTAAAAGTTTGGCTCCGCCAGCGGCAATTGGACGTTGGTTTCAGTGGGTTTGGGGCCCACATTCTAGCTGCATATATCGTATATCTTAATAAGAAGCGTTTGTTGCATCAGTCGAGTAGCAGTTACCAGGTAGTGCGAACCGTATGGAATCAGTTGGCTAATAGCGATTGGACACGAGGCATTACACTGGCCGAGCCCGAAACGCCAGAGCATGCTGCGTTCACAGCTTACTATGATGTCTGCTTTATGGATGTCACTGGCTACTATAATCTATGCGCCAATCTACCACTGGCCATGTATAAGAGAGTTTGCGCCGAAGCTAAGCTGGCAGTGGATTTGCTTAACGACATGAAATTAAACAGCTTTCCACTAATATTCTTGCACAAATGTCCGCTTTATAGTCGAATGGATAACATATTGAAGTGGGTATTGCAATTGTAATGATTTATCTGAGCTCTCTAATGATTTGTTGTGCATTTTCAGGATCAACAAGCGCGCCAGCGTGGAGCAGTTGCTGGAATTGCATGCCAAGCCGCATGTTAAATATGATTATGCCAATTATGCTTATCCACAACTCCTGCGGTTGCTGACAGAGTAAGTCTACAAATACTGATATATTTGTTTGCTAACTAAATAAACTCTTTTAATCCACAGCCTCTTGTTAAAGGGCTTAAAGAAACGTGTTCATGCCATCCTGCCCTTGGAAACAGCTGTGGAAAGTTGGTCTGTAAACAGCCAGGCCCCAACTATCGGCCAGTCACTGACACTTGGGTTTATTCTTGATCCCGAGCATGCTAGTGAGGTGGTGGAGAAAGGCCCCGATGCGCTCGATTTGGCGGCGCCAGAATTTCGAAAGTTCTGGGGTGAAAAGTCCACTTTACGACGCTTTCAGGATGGAACCATAGTCGAGGCAGTCGTTTGGGGCACATCCACCGATTCCCCAAGCAAGAAACGATTGCTCACACGCCAAATTGTTCTTCACTTACTCGAACACCACCTGCAATTGGAGGCTAACGATGTTCAATATATAGCTGCCGATTTAGATGTAGTGTATAAATTAAATTCATGTTTCAAAGCAAACAAATTGCCCGTGAAGCCTCCAGTCGACCAAGAAGCGGATGCGGAAGCGCTTACTCCGAGATTTATTCACTACTATGACGAGCTGGCCAGGCAGCTGCACGGATTGGATGAATTGCCCTTGGAGATTGTCTCCATATCGGGCATCTCACCAATTTTTCGTTATTGCGAGCCCGAACCGCTGCTGCCGCATGCCAGGACTATTGGAAACGACCTGTACGCAAGTCAGGTGCAGCATGTCGTGATTCAATTGGGACAGAGTGGCAAGTGGCCAAAAGAGCTAGGAGCTTTGCGTGCCTTAAAGACTGCCTTTTATATAAAAATCGGCGAACTGTTGCAAACACGTCATCGTCTTCGTACAAAGCTTTCGTATAATGGACTTTTAGTGCTGAAGGCTGGTTATTGCTTTTTGTTGGAATTGGCGCACAATAAGGAGCTCGCGCTGCTTAAGAAGGAAGTTAATGAGCGTGGCATTACGCGTTATGTGGACTCAGAGGCGAGTCGTGCTTTGGAACAACGGCATTATATTTTGCCTAAAGTCAGTGGCGCTCTTCATGCTCTATATCAGACGCATAATGCCTTTGGACCCACGGTCCTCATAGCCAAACGTTGGTTAGGCGCACAGCTTTTGGATGAGGGCTTGTGGCCAGGCATGGTCACAGAATTGTTGGTTGCCCATATGTTCCTGCAACGTGAAGCCCCCGAGCAAACGGCTGCACCACAAACAGGATTCGTGCGTTTTCTGCAATTGCTCGCGCACAGCGATTGGATCAGCGAGCTCTTCCTACTTAACTTCAATAATAGCTGGCCGGGTAAGTCTTGAATTTCCCTTTCTATCCTCATGGACTTCATATCCATATTCATTTTTTTAGAGCAACAAATCACGGAGCTGGAGCAAAACTTTCGCAGCTCACGTGATTCCTATCCAGCCTTGTGCTTAGCCACTGCCTACGATAACCAACACGCTGGTAAGCTGTGGAGCACCCAAGACTGTCCTAACGCCCAGGTATTGGCACGCGTCACTCTGCTCGCTCGTCACGCTCTACAGCTTATCGAGACGAATTTGTTGTCGGATAGCTTCGCTTTCATAAAGCCCGCTCAACTATTTCGCGCTTCCAACGAGGGCTACGATTTAGTCATACAGATTAAACCCGATTTGTTGCCCAATCCGTTGTGCCATGACTTTGCATCGCCCTTTCTGCCCTTCGCCGCACCAAATTTTCGTCTGCCTTTAGCCTGCAAGGACCCCTTACCACAGATTGTGGCTCAACTTAGGGTAAGTAATGGATTTCAAAAATTGTTGACTCTAGTTATATTCAAATTGCAGTCTAAAGCTGATATTTTATTATTATAACTATTTATATATATATTTATAAATATGTTTCCATTTATAGTCAGCTTATGCGGACTATGCAGCGTTCTTTTACAATCCATATGGAGGAAAGGAGTTGGCCATTATATGGAAGCCCGATGAAGTTTTTGCGCCGAAGCCTTTTAAGGTGAATGAACTACAGGCTTGTACCCCGATTGGCGACACTGGAAAAGTAAACGTTTTGCGAGAGACTTTGGTGGCGGACTTCAAATTTCTGCTAAAGGACTTCTATCTTCGCGTTTACACTATGAATGAGTTAAAGGTTGAACAGAAACAGTCATATAAACGATATTTTAACTGCAAGACGCAAAACGGGGAACCAATGTTGAAAAAACTAAAGACGCCAACAGATCAGATGACAACGAACCTTCCGATAGATTTAAAAAAGTCTAAGAAGGCAACTTCGCTTACAAATGGTGTAATAAAGAAACGCAACTAATTTTTAAGTTAAAGCTTAATCTGAAAACAAATCTGTACCTGAAAATTACAGACATAAAAAAAAAAGAAAAACTTCGTCATATACTGCCATCAATCATTGATCCTGTGGTGGTTCCCCTTTGGGCTCATAATATGGATTTCGTTGGGCAATAGCCCGCGGCCTTTTTGGATGCCATCGGCGAGTACGGCGTGGCTTAGAATGCTGAATCGGTTGATCATCCGGTTGCTGCTGTTGCTGTTCAGAGTAATTCTCGGGCTGGTTGTTCCTCGGCTGCCTTTGCATTGTGTGTCTCGTGTATGGCCATCTGATTTCCTCCGATTGGAAATTGAGCTGTTCTCTCTGGTTCTGCAGACACATCTCCTGCTGTTGATTTGCCCAGCACTGTGCCTCCATTTGAGAGTTAAAATGTTGTGCGCCTTGACACGCGGAATTGGAGCGACTATATTGAACTTCATTGCCACAACACGGCGTTGATTGGGAACGTTTATAGATATTGTGGCTGGACATGCCGGTGCCTTGATCGTGCTTGGAGGTGGAATCTTTGGGATCAGTGCCAATCTCACAATGTCCGCATTTCCTTGTCTGGCTGGACGTGCCAGTGCCTTGATCGTGCTTGGAGGTGGAATCTTTGGGATCAGTGCCAATCTCACAATGTACGCATTTTCTTGTCTGGCAGGTTCTGCAAGATTGAATCGGCTTTGGACAGAGCCCAGTTGTAGAGGTGGCGACGGAATACGTTAAAGGCCACTGTGGTTGAAATAGAAATAAAAGGCCAATCATTTCATAAAAAAATTGATGAGATTATATAAATATGGTGTCTACGGTTAGGGCACGGATACTAAATGCTGAATAGTTGCATAGTTCCTGTTGGAATTCTCGGAGAACACCTTTCAAAACCGCGAATCAGATCCCTTAAGCTGGTGAGTCTAATATATAGCCAAATAGATAATACTTTTAGCCATGCTGTCATCAGAGCATGCGAATGATTTGATCCACTGCTGCGTAGTCTCAACTAGATAGAACAGCAAATACAGAAATTAATAAAAGCGTATCTTCCGTAGAAGAAGACAACGATCGAAACAGCTTTGGACTGGATTTTATAGCTTTAGAAGAAGAATTCAATTCAAAAAGAAGTTATTGTTTGAAATTTATGAATGCTGGATTTCGGAAATGGCTGATACTGGTTATCCTAATGTAGCCTGGAATATAGACTCTTCTAATCCCTAGACAATACAAGTTGATTTTCCTTATTTCAGATATCCCAATACCACAGCTACATTAATTAAATTTTGCATACAAAATTAATTCCCTACTTTTGGTTCATCAACAAACTGCAGGAGCGGGCTTGCTCTTCTTCAGGATATTGTACTATTCTATAGTTTAAACTTACAGGCAATGAGCTCTGTTGTCGCTTATCCCATTCGAGTTGCGAAGCTATACTGGCCATAAACCGGGGCGGCTGCTCCCCGTGCACGGGACAATTGCATCTGGAGGCAGCGGTGGGATTCATTAAAGCTTGTAGCGTAGAAAAGGTCAAGGGTGGTGAAGGAGGTGGAGTGCTGGAATGTAAATTTCCAAAGACATGTTCTCCAGTGGACGCAAGGGGGGCAGTTATCGGTATAAGTTGACCATCGGGAGTTACTCGATTGTAGGATATCGTACGCACATCCTCCACGCGTCGAACATCCTGCTGTGTTAATATGAGCATCGCTTTGCCCACAACTAGGGGAACTACCAATAAGGTAGTGGTTCTTCTATATACTTATTATGTAGATAAGTTTTGGGAAACTTCGAACTTACAATGCACCGGCGGCGCCGCTTCCTCGGATATTTGAAGCACCTTTCTAACGGTAGGATTGAAAGCCATGGTTTTTGGAAGGGAAACGAGAAATTTTGGATAAAATGATGGCCGCTTAACAAAAGAGTTGAAGAAGTTGAAATTTAGATCAAATTTTTAGTTAACCATAAAATTGTCATTATACAAAAGCAAAGAAATTCAAATGCCTTAATTTAAAGAAAGAAACTTCAAATATTGCCGCAGCACACTTTTTAAAATGTCTTTAAGTGGAACCAGAACTGGAAGATGTAAAACAATCTTTATACTTAATTTAACGAGTCTATATAAATACAAACACTTTAAACACTATCCTAACTGCGTAAGGGTTCCTCTTTCGAAACGGGTGTGCTGCCCGGAGTGGGACTGTCCTTCTCTTTATTGCCAAAGTCGGGATATAATTTGGCCACCTGACCCAGCGGCGTGCACAGGCGACCAGAGAAGTCTAGCCTTTTGCTGGATTGACTTCGTTCAGCTGATGATATTATGTCTAGCAGGGAGCTGTAATAGAAATATGAAATAAAGAAAATTAAGGGCTATATTTCAATTTGCTGTCAACTATGCTAACGTTTTAAGTATTCTCCAAGTTAAGTTCTTGAACAGTTCTCGAACGAAACTTTATTTTTTTGAAAATGTCCAAAGCTTTTAATCAAAATTAAAACACAGAGCTGCAATCTTTAAAAACCCACAGTGCTTCAACTAAAATAAATTTTGTTGTTTTAACAATCATGCCCATAACAGCTATAGTGTACCGATTTCGATGAACCTTCATATTGAAAACTAATAAGTACCAAGTTTGCTTGAAATATCTACGGAATCAAGTAACTTTTTCTGGTAAGTGTTTTTTTCAACAATTGTTCCTATGGGGGCTACATAAAATTGTTAGACTATTTGTGATTTGTAATAAACTTGATCTGCGTATGTAAAAGATAACTCTACACATCAAGTTTTATGTTTTAAAGTTCTCGGCCTCCTTTTGCGTAAGCTTTATGTATATGCATTTCTCGCATACCCCTTCACCTTACAGATATAGAGTGAATTAAACAGATCGTACCGTTGCCCCGAACCCGACATGCGGCGCTTGCTGGCCTTCAGCAAACTGACGGAGTTGCTACTACTGATGACGGTGTTGGGTTCCAGACGCTCTGGGGAAAGAGGGGATTCCGTATAGGAGCGCAGATGTGCGGGTTCCGTTTTCGGCGTAATATCACCGTAAGCAGTGCGCAGACTTTGCAAACTCTCGAGCAGGTTCTTGTGATGCGGCGTCTGAGTCTGACCGGTCATTAGGATGAGCATTTCAAGCTCTCTGTAGAATAAACGATACTGATCCTTAATCTTATTGCCCTTTAAGCTGCAAAGTTGGTAAATAATTAGTTGTTGATTTTATTAGCAGATGAAGCCGATTGGGATTTTACCGCGCTCCATTCGTGTGGGCGAATGGCAGCATGTCGCCTCGCGATGCGCTGGTGTAGAGCTCGTAGATGTGTTGCTGGCAGCGCACCTCGTCCGGCTTTTCCATGTCCTCCTTAACAATTAAATGCAGAAAATGGGGCAGCCAGGTCATCTGTCTTTGCAAGTGATACAGAATGCTGGTGCCTGTGGTGAGTGGAAAGTATCGTAAGCGTCGACACAAACGCTCATGCTCCGGCCGTAAGCTGTCCGGCGGAACTGACTTTGTTTTCAGGGGCATCAGGCGCGACAATTTGACGTGTTGAGCGAATTCCGAGAATCGATACTCTTGCACTCGTCCACCAGGTCCATCGACGATGGATGGCGTCTCGTCCAGACAGGAGCGTGTGATCTGCAGGGAATGAATGAAGATTTCACCGCCACGCGCGGACAACATATGACTGGTGGTTTTGCCGCCACTCTTCCTTGGCATTTCCAGCAGCACTGAGCGTCCATTGAGCAGGAAATTAATTAGGCAGGAACTAGGGCGCGATGTTACATCGACGGGCGTCACCGGATATTGGCCCAGACACGGCTGCAAATCGGAAGCACCACAGCCACGTGGTGTACACCATTTCAGTGTGACCGTCTCATAGGCGGCGCCCTCCTTAATACTCGTCGGCAGCACAGACACATCCTTCCCACAGACGACGGTGTGGGCGGATCGAGCATGCAATATCTCCACATCATAGTTCGCACTTGAATTTGCATTCTGTTCCTCCTTCATCGGTATATTGGTAACTGTGGTGCTAGCCAAATCATAGTGTCGCATTATTAGATGCGTTAGCTTGCTGGAAATCTCAGGCGCTGCCACCGTATGGATCTCGACAGCCAGCAGCGGGGATATATCAAGAAGATTGCGATTAGTGACCAGCGACTCAATTCCCAGTGGAACAATGTTCAGGATGACCAGATGACAGTGATCGATGACCAAACCCTTTTTCGCTGGCGGCGCCGCCAGAGCATTCTGCTGAATCATTACTGTATTGAAGATGTCCTCCAGGCTTTTCATGCTCGTATTGTCCCGTGCTGATGTGATGCATATTACACGCCCCTTATTTGAGATTTGCTGGCAGCCATCGGCCATGGCCTTCAGCTGCTCATCCGTTGGCTCAGCCATTGCTTCAATTGCAGCCCTCAGACCATGAATGACTGAATAATCAGAGGACTGCACAGAGGACCTGGGCGGCACACCCACCATTACCATGGCGTTTTGGACATGCGACATGTTCTGTGTGCTGGCACTCCAGGTATTCACAATGTGGGCCGCCGTGTCACTGACAATGAATCGAACATGCTTGTGGCCCGGAAACAGATCCCACACGATGCGACAATACTCTATCGACGATTCGACGGCACAGGTCCATAAGCTTTTGCTGAACATGGTACCATCTCCACTCCTCAGCGCGCTTCCGCCGGCTCCACCAGCCCCCTCCGCCGCACCGCTGGGGAACTTGCCCTTGAGAAAATCAAGGGAAATATACTGTTCGCTCGATATGCTAAAATAGCGTGTATGATCCAGCACAAATATGGTCTTGTGGTTGCGTTCGAACATGGCTGAAAGGCGAACACAAACAAGATGGGCGGGGGGGTACAGACACAAAAATTGCCAAAAATTTGACCAAAAATAAATTGTAAATATTGTTTACGCCTATGCCGGCATTGCCATTCACGGTGCACGTGCACGCGGCCGTTGAGGGCACACTCTGGCAACGCCAACAGCAGTGCAGCCAATCAGCAAACGTAAAATCACGTTGTTGAATGCGACCGGTTGAGCGAGCAACGATAGACAAGTGTGGGGCGTAAATCAGTAGGATTTTCTTTTAAGTCGAGCACACACTCGAAACATATTACTGAGACAAAATTGGATTTTGAGTGAATTAGTTAAAGGAAGCTGAAACATGTCGTGGTTACTAGGCAGAAATCGTCCGCAGCAGCAAATGGAGGCAGCGCCCGATGGTGGGGATCCTGAGGGCAAGACAGCTGGAGATCGCTCTGGAGATGTCCAACTCACAAAGGCGGAGCGCAAGGCCATGGAGGCCTATCGGTTCGATTCCTCGGCTCTGGAACGTGCTGCGGAAGCTGCGAAGACTTTGGAACGTTCAAGTAAGCAGCACATTTCATAAGCCAATGCGTGCATTGCATAATCGCATAATCATGCGTGTGTCGGTGTGTTTGTGTGTGTTTGTAACCATTCTAGAACATGCGCGTGAAGCATTGGAGCTGTCCAAAATGCAGGAAGGAACGCGGCAGCAGGAGTACCAGACCAAGGTCAAGGAGTATGAGGCACACATAGAGCAGGCCAAAGTGGAACAGAAGCGGATCGACCATGAGGAGCGCCGCAAGACTCTGATTGAGGAGACGAAGCAGCAACAGCAGCGTGCTCAGTATCAGGATCAGTTGTCGCGTAAACGTTACGAGGATCAGTTGGTGCAGCAGCAACGCGTACAGGAGGAAAATTTACGTAAGCAAGAGGAGAGTGTGCAGCGACAGGAAGCAATGAGGCGTCAAACAATCGAGCATGAAATCGAAATGAAGGAGAAGAATCGGCTGAAGCTTCTCGAGCATGAGTTTCGTGCCAAGGCTAAAGTGGACCGTGAAAATCGTGACATTAATTTGGAGCAAATACGTTTAAAGGCTCAAGAGCATCGCACCACTGTCTTGGAGGGAATTCGGTAAGAAAACATCCATTCAACTTGCTTCCTAAACTCATTGTTAAACCTTTACAGCACGGCTGGGTCCGTCATTGGTGCTGGCGCTGAGGCAATGCTTACGGATTGGGACAAGGTTTTAACAGCCGCTGGCGGGCTATCTCTATTAGCCTTGGGAGTTTACACTGCCAAAGGAGCCACCGGTGTGGTGTCTCGGTACGTGGAAGCTCGTATAGGCAAACCCACGCTGGTGGGCGAGACGTCGCGTTTCGCTTTCCTCGATGCGATTAAACATCCGGTAAAATATTTCAAGCGTTTGCGATCTAAACCCGCCGATGCTCTGCAGGGTGTGGTGTTGAATCCAAAGCTAGAGGAGCGCCTGCGTGACATTGCGATAGCGACTAAGAATACTCGCATTAATCGTGGTCTTTATCGCAACGTGCTGATGCATGGCCCACCCGGAACGGGCAAAACAATGTTTGCCAAGAAGCTGGCTGAGCATTCTGGCATGGATTTTGCCATCATGACGGGTGGTGACGTCGCTCCTATGGGCAAAGAGGGCGTTACGGCCATACATAAGGTGTTTGATTGGTCCAACACTTCGCGACGCGGCCTACTGCTCTTTGTTGATGAGGCCGATGCGTTCTTGCGCAAACGTTCCTCAGAGAAAATCTCGGAAGACTTGCGATCAGCCCTCAATGCGTTCCTCTACAGAACTTCGGAGCAGAATCCGAAATTTATGTTGGTGCTCGCCTCTAATACGCCCGAGCAATTTGATTACGCCATCAACGATCGTCTCGATGAAATGGTTGAGTTTACACTGCCTGGTTTGGAGGAGCGTGAGCGGCTGCTCCGACTATACTTTGATAAGTATGTCCTGCAGCCAGCAGCATCGGGAGCGAAGTAAGTGCTTAAAATAAAACAATTTCCTTAAAATGTATTACATCACAATGTCTCAACAGACGCTTCAAATTGGACACCTTTGATTATGGCGAGACCTGCTCGAAAATGGCGAAGATATGTGAAGGTATGTCTGGTCGTGAGATATCCAAGCTTGGAGTTTCCTGGCAGGCCGCTGTATATGCGTCCGAGGACGGCTTGCTTACAGAGAAAATGGTCCTCGACAAATGTTACGATGCTGCTCAACAACACAAACAAAAGGTAGAGTACATCAACTAAATGGCTGATGAGTAGTTCTCTAATTAAAGCTAACTTTTTTTTATTTACATTAAATAGATGGCTTGGTTATCGGAGCAGGAGCGTTCTGATCATAAATCTATTACTGGCAGCCAACCGCCGCTGAATATATCTTCATCTTAGAAGCTTCCTAAAACTCGTTTAGTTTTTTAAGTTTCCATGCACAAGGCTTATTCTTGGATAACTTCTATTCGATGGCCACCTAATAATGACTGACCGCAACAATGTTCATATATTTGTGTAGACGCTGATTATACATGCAATTAAGTTTTACTCACTGCATAAATTGTAAATATGTATTTAAGTCAGTTGAACATTATTGTTATAAATGGCGTGTCAGAGTTGGTTAGTTGCTAAGGCCTGTTGCATTTTAAAAAGTTAAAGCTTTGTAATATTTGTTAAAAGTGTAAGTGTAAAATGCTAATTGCTAAAAGTGTAGCATTTTTCAAATGACTGCGGCAACACTTATGAGAGATTTATATTAAACTTCTCGTTGGCACAGTCGAGAATTTGACTCTTTAGCCAGTGTTTTTTATAAATATGTATATCTATTATGACTATGTGAAAATATATACAATACACATCGATATGGTTTAAAAGAGTGTAATTTTTTATTAAAATTAATGCTTTGATTTGGGGTTGAAATCGGATGATTTGCTTCGTACGTGGTCATTTAAAAATGTTACTGTTACAAGTACAAGTTACTGTTTACAAGTAGGTTATTTAAATCATATGTTAACATTTGGCAAAGATGAGCGTGACTTTAGACATAAAAATTACAATGAGCAAGAATCACGAATAAATTGTGATTGGCAAAAACAGAAAGAAGTTTATGTATTTATTTTTTGTCGTTACATTGTGATTGTCAAAACCGGAAAGAAGCTCTGTTTGTTTGTTTTGTTTTTTGTCGTTGGTCTGCTCTTTGGGGATTTGCAATGTAATGGCTGGGTCCAAGCAATTAACTTCATGTATTGAAATCGATGCAAAGGTCTGCTTTATTTGCTCACAACAGGAAACTGCATATAGCTTACTCGACAATTTGGAATATGGCGAACTCAATATTCAGCTCTGCGAGTTGCTGGAAATTGTGACGAAAGTGAAGGTAAAAAAAAGATCCACACCGAGGAAATATAAAAGTAATCTAACAATCAAAATTGCAGTGCATCTGGGACGAACCAAATATACCCTCTCTGATGTGCCAGTCCTGTCTTAATCGGTTAATCGATGCCTATGAATTTATACGTCAAGTCGAAAAGTCAAAAGAATCGATGGAAACTGTGCGTCTCCAGATGAAGGTGGTTGTGCTGGAGGAGCAGCTAGATAACGAAGATACCGAGATCGACGTGCTGGAATTGAGCGAGGAAGTTATCGAGCTATCCACGTTCGACATGGAGCTTCCAGACAATGAATGCAATGATTCCAATTTGTCTCAATCGAAGGAATTGGAAGTAGAGCATGACAAGGCTATAGTAGTAGAAGAGCCTGTGGTCAAGGACAACTATGATGAAAACAATAAAGCTCATTCGTCGCAGCTGGGCTCGCGTTTGGATCGCTCACAAAACTATTCATATAAATGCCTCATTTGCCCCCGCAGTTTTGTCAAAAAACAATCACTGGAAAGGCATGCGAAAAAGGCACACTCTGAAGCTGCCGATGTGCCAAAAGTCAACAAATTAAGCGAACAGAATGTGCTAACCTGCCTTCCCTGTCGGCGCACTTTCAAACGCATGGATACTATGCAACGTCACATGCAGGCATTTCATCCAGACACTCAAACTGCCCTTGGGGAGGAGAAGGATGCAGATCCAAAGCCCACTAAGCGAAAGCGAATTGCGAAGCGCGAAAAGTGCCCCTACTGTGGCAATTCATTTGCCACCAGTAGCCTAAAAGTTCATATACGCCGCCACACCGGAGAAAATCCCTACCAATGCGATCATTGCTCGAAAGCATTTCCACGTCGACAGGATATGGTGCTGCACGAGCGCATTCACACTGGTGAGCGGCCTAGTACGTGCGGCATCTGTGGAAAGACTTTCATTTCAGAAAATAAGCTAGCTCGTCATATTCGTTTGCATACGGGACAGCGTCCTTATAGATGCAACAAATGTGACAAAAGCTTTGTCCAGTCCAACGATCTTAAGATTCACATGCGTCGTCACACGGGCGAGCGACCGTATAAATGTGGTGTATGTGGGGAAGCATTTGTTTGTGGCGCTCTCCTCACCATTCATCGGAACAATAGGGGACACTATGAAGAAAGTCGCAAAACTGATGGGGCATCAATTGATCCTTACGAGAATAGTCGCGTACACAAGCGTCGAGCGGAGGACATCGAGAGGATGCGACTACTGCGGGAGCAAGATGAGCAGGAGTCGCAACAGCAGCGGGGGAAAAAATAAGGCTCTACTGGCACCCTACAAATGTGCTTCGAAAGATTTAGCAATGGTGGATGCCACACAGTACATAGAAATAATATGGGACACTATGAACGGGGTAAGATAGATCCGTACGTGAAGCAGCGAAATGGAACTACTTCTGATATTTGAGAAGCATTTCAAAATGTAAAGCACGTAATGTGAAAACATTTTATTGATAAAGCAGGTCATTCCAAATGAAAAATATAATTTTACATAGACATAAACATAGACTTTAGTATGTTTAAAGTCTTTAAAGTATTAATGTAAGTAAATATTATATAAACACCGATTTATAATATATACATTAAATAATTTAATGTAAGGTTTTGATATTTAATAAGCATTTTAAATTATAAAACAAAGAAAAGGAACGCATTCTTTAGGACTTTTCTATATTAAAAATATAAGTCTACACAACATATAACAAAACTGAGTTTTAAATAATAACCACTAACTTTTAATATTTTCTAACCATTACAAAATGTAAAACAAGAATAAATCAAAGAAAATTATAGGATATTTTATAATTTCAATAAAATTGTCTTTGATTGAACTTAATATTTCAACTAGGGAATCGGATTTGGAAAAGTGCTTAATTCTGTGTCTATAAAAGGCGGAGCAGTTAAATAGAATGTGTTTAACTAATAAGAAAAAAAATTGGCATCTATTGCAAGTAGGCTCCAATACCCAAGTTCCAACTAAGTTTTTAGTGTTTGGTGAGATTCTTAAGATTTAAATAAAGTAAGATTCTATTTATGATATACATACATATGTACAAAAAAAAAAAAAAAAAAAACAATGCACGCAGTGCATGTGCCTTTGCTCGATTTTCATCAGTTATTATTCTATACTTCAACGATCGTAGATGTGGTATGTATGAAAATATTAATTTCATATTGATATTAAAATTTTACTCATGCTCAATTACATGAGAACAAGTGATTTAAAAGTGTTTTGTTAATAATACTGTAGCCTACTCTTTAGACTCAGATAATTATAAATATTTTTCGATTTTGAACAGTAAACATTTAAAAGTCGTACAAGTAGTGGTACCCCACTATTTTGCAATAAAGTTCTTTGTGTCTTAAAACAGAGATCTGGCAACACTGCATACACAGCGGAATTGCCACAACAGAGGCAGAGCCGCAGGAAGAGAATAATAAAGATTATAAATTGAATATAAAAGTTTAAAAGATGACCACTGCCCGTTTTGCACGTTCGGGTCGCCTCCGGCTTTGCATTCTCCTGGGAATGTTTATTGGACTTATCCTTATGATCTTTGTCTACCACATGTCTCAGAACCAATTGGACGAGACCCGAGCCTTTCAGGTACGCTGCGAAAAAAACCAAGAGGGCCTAAACGAGCAGCTACAATGTAAGTAAATGAAAACGTGGCAAACATATTCTAATGTTAAACACTTTGTTGCAGCACTGACAGAGCAGAAATTTGCAGCTGAAAAGAATCTGGACATGATGCGCAATGAGAAAATTAGTATGCAGCAGAATTACGATGCACGTCTGAGCGAATCGGAGCACAAGCATGGGGAGAAGGAGCGTGAGTTGGCAGAGAAGTACGAGGCACAGCTAACCAAGCTGAAGTTGCTGGAAAAGAAACATGCCGACTTGGAGGCGGACTGTGTGAAGAGCAAGAAACAGCACTTGGAGGACACCAATGCATTCGAGCAGAAGCTGCAGTCATTACTCGCTGAACTTCAAAAGGACAAGAGTGCCAAGGAGCAGGAGGTGGCGGCTTGGAAGGTACAACAAACCAATTACTTTTATTAAATTCCCAAAAATAATTCATAAAATTTCGCATTTAGGAAAAATACGATGTATTATTGCGTGATTCAGAGCGTAAGACGCACAGTCTGGAGGCCACCATAGTCGATTTTAAGGCGCATTGCGACTATGTGCCTAAGGTTCAACCTGCAGAGGCACCAGCAGAACAACAACAACTCAATAGACCCGCTTCGCGCACACCGGAAACCACACATAACTCGAGTCCATCACAATTGGTGCACAGCATTGAGAAACCGCGCAATTCCAAATCCTTCAACGAACAAGTGCAAGTGAGTGACGGATTCTATCGGATTGGCGGCGGGGTAAATCTGATAAGAATTAACAAAACTGCAACAAATGCAACAACAACTTCTACTAACAACATCAAGCCTCAGTCTAGAAAGGAGCAGGAGCAGCTGCAACTATTCCCTTTTTCCGCAACACGCAACAATCACAGTCTGATACTAAATTCTGTTGAAAACTTTCAGATTGTGCCAAAATCATTAAAAACCGCCGGCAATGATGCAGATGCCGAACTAAAGCAACAGGAGCAGCCCGTCCTTGCCATTTCAGCGTCCCCATTGAGTGCGCCACGGAAACCGAGCAGCACAGCCAGCTCAGTTGGAGGAGCAGCAGGTGCGGGAGCCGGCGCTATCCCAGAAGCTGGTGATGCCTCGATAGCACCTAAACTGAGCAGCAGCAGCGGCATGCCGCCCTTGGCAATGCCACCGCCCAAGCCCGCAGAACGCAAGCTGCCCGAGAACGTGGCGCCCATACCAGAGAACTTCGAGGACAAAGCCGAGAGTAACAAACTCGATCCAGCTGATGTGGATACAGCCGCCGAAGAACTGCCCAAGAATGAGATTGGCAATGACAATAAAAACAATCGCTATGCCAATGCTGTCAACGATCTAGAGCAGGGCAAGGCATTAGGTGTAGCGCCCAAACCAAATGAAGATTCCGGAGCTCACGAGGTTAAGGATTTCATGAATGAGCAAAATTTTAATTTACCCGCAGCTGCGGCCGAGAATCATTTCTTTGATGGCGATGCGGCTGCCCCAGCTGCTGGAAACAACGACGAAGGCGTAAAGGATGCGGCAGCTAACAATAAGCAGCCGGCCCAAGCCAACGAGGCAGGCGAGGATGACGACGATATAGCCGATGTGGCTGTTAAACAGCCACAACATTTACTCGATGCTGAGAATTTGAATAATGAAATCGCTGGCGATCAGGGCAAAGAATTTCCCGAAGGACTGCATTTGGATGATGGCATAGAGGAGGATCAGGATGGTAAATATGATAGAAGCTTATAAATTAATTTCGTATTTCATTACTAGCCCGACTTTTATTTCTTACAGAAGATGACTATTCCTTTCCGCAACGAAAACAGGGCGCTGAGGCCATTAGACATTGAGCTCCAAGAGCTTTTTCCGCTTGATGCAGTCAGAGTGCATAAAACAACATTGTATGTATCTATATAAGCGGGATGTGTGCAAAGAAAAATTAAGAAATTAACCCCATTGGTAGAATGTAATTAAGTTGCAGTGCAAAAATGGGCATGGAATAGGAACTATTAACCTCATTCTAACACGTCTAACAAGGCTAATTTCTCCTTGAAGTTATTTCTATTTAAAATAGCATCACCTTTCTGCTTTAAGTTGCGTAAGTCCCATATAATACCTTGAATTAACAATATAATTAGTCTAAGTCAATAATATTTCTAGCACACCCAGTGAGAGCTATTTAAAGTACTAATGTGTCTGTTAATCTCGAAAATGATATTGATATTCAAAGAATATTCCATCTTAATATAATCCTATAAGTTCAAACAGTATGTACTCCGGGCTTGACATTTTGTAAATTACAAATGAACCCTTTAATTAATTCCTCGAAATTTGTAAACTAAGTTTTCTAGCAAAGTTTCCCTTTACGAACAAAATATTTTAAATAACATTTCTTCTAAGAATTAGTCGCAAATTTTAAATACCTTTAACATTACCTCTCACACAAAATCATTTATATTTCCAGCAGAGTTTAGCTTTAATGAAAATTGTATATATTGTTAATGTTGATGTAATATTCGTATTAGCATCAGCCTTGAATAATTCTACAATTTCTTTCCAAAGCTGCTTGCTGATTATGAAGAAATATTCGTATTCTTCTTAGTGAATAATATAATGTTCATAATATTTTGATTTCAAATCATTTGAAAGTTTCAAAGTCATCATGTTTTTGATCGAATCCAATTCCATTCAATGTCCATTTCTAGCTGTAACTCTTAAGCCTTAGCTCGTAAGCACAAACATTGTTAGCATTAAATTTGTTTGATAGAACACTGCACCACTCCACTACAAAGATCATGCTCACAAAACGGTATCCCTTAACTAGAAAAAATCGCAAGAAATTGTACTTTATTTTCTGTGATAAAAAAGTCTCTAAGCTTCATTTCAGATTGCGTCTGTTACTATATTCATGGGAAGTGCCGAAAGGCTGATAACAATTCATAAATACTTCTGGACTTCTTGTGAATATAGTATTGTTTTTTTTCGCTTTGTTTACACACACTTAATTATATTTTGAATTCATTTTTCCATATCGGTATTTGTAAGTTGGATTCTGCTCTCCTCTAGATGTAAGTTGTAGCCTGTAAGTCAAAAAAATTGTCTGAAAACTGAAGTATATATCCATATATATGAATGAAAGTTAAATGCGAACAAAATTGCCATCTCATAGAAGGAGGAAACACAGAAACTTTACTTGAAATATAATAAAATTAATTGCATGCATAAACATTTAAAAAATTAATTTTGTTGAATACTTAAACAAAATAATAATAACTAAACGGTGTAATTTAATAATCGGCTCTCACTGGGTGTGCGCCACAATCCATGGGTGCAATATAATCTGATCCAAGGGCAAGCGATGCTGTGGATTAAGGACCAATAGCTTTGATATTAAATGTGCGGCTGCTTTCGAAATGTGATCGGGAAGCTTGTAATCCACTTTCAATATCTTCTTATAAGTCTCGTCGTAGTTATTCGAAAAGAAAGGAGCACGGCCCACTAACAACTCATAGCATAGCACGCCGAGACTCCAAAGATCGACATTTTTTGTGTGCGGCTTGCCTTGCACCATTTCCGGTGGCAAATAATCGACAGTGCCGCACAAGGTCATTCGCATAGAGTTGGGTTCATGGACAGACCAACCGAAATCGGCAATCTTCAGCACACCCTTGTGGCCGAGCAACAAATTCTCCGGCTTTATATCGCGATGGATGATGTCGCGCTCGTGCAAATAAATTAGCGCCGATGACAGAGACTTTATATAGATGGCCGATTGAGATTCTGAAAACCGCTTCTGGGGCTGGGCCTGCAGCGCATTAAAGAGTGTACCCTGTGGCGCGTACTCCAATATCAAGTAAATGCGCACATCGTCATGGAAATAGGCGTACAGTCGCAAAATGTGCGGATGACGCAAATGAGATTGGATCTCGATTTCACGACGCACCTGGTGCTCCACATTGTTCTCGCCAATCTGTTTTTTGAATAGGACCTTGAGAGCCACCACGAATTGGGATTCCTTTTCACGCGCCAAATACACATTTCCAAACTTGCCGCGTCCCAGCAAACGACCAATATCGAAATGACTCAATGTCCAGACCTTTTTGGGCTTTTGGGTGTCTGTTGGAAGAGCATTTAATTGAGGATTATGAATGAAAATGAAACGTTTTTGCGATGAAAAAGTTCATCTGACAAGACTAATTATACCTAATTTTAGAGATGATCTGCGGTTAGCTGATGACTATTATATTTCTAGCTAAGAATATATGTATGTATAATTAAAGAACGACTTAGCCCAATATACGTACACTTTGTTCCACCGATCATTCCTTTATGTAGATTTCGATGATACTTTAGATTATATATATATATATATATTGTACATATAAATATCTAATTTTGTTAAGACTTCGTAATAAAAGAAAAAGTTCTTGGTACTAAAGAGTGATTTTTTCAACGATTCTTTCTTTAGCAGCTACATGATAGAAGTACTATAACTAACTTATTACTGATCGCAATTGTATTCAAATTCGGTTCGTTATCCAACTTACTCTCTAGAAAACTTTTTTACTTTTAAGTAATGCTAGGAAGCCATTTAGTAAGTTATACGTACCAGTCTTTTGCTTATCATTATCAGTGCTATTGATGGTATTTTCGGAAGTGGCAGCAGCTGGGTTGGCAACTGCACCTGCATTGTTGTTGCTAGGATTTGCTTTATTAATGGCTTGTGAGGTTGATGGTGGAGACTTCTTTGCCGGTGCCCTGAATGTTGATGTTGCCATGGGCTGCGTTTTGGGCACCACTGCAGCTTTGTTAGATTGACCAGTCGGAACTCTCTTGATTGGATGCTCAGTCGTGGTAGGGGCAATGTTTTTTGTTGTTGCAACAGTTGGATAGTTCTTGCTTCCGCTTGGAGCCAAATTCTCACTGGTTGTCTGCACATTCTAAATGGGAGTATAGTCAATGCGTCTTAATTTATGTCGTTATATATGATCTTTATACCATTTTTGTAAGCAAATATTTTTTCTGCTGTTCTAGGCCAATAGCTGCCGCTGCATTTCGTCCTTGTTGGTCCCCTTGTTTGGGCAATGCATTTTCCTTGGCGCGCAATACACTTGTAGGCTTGTGCGACATTTTTGCACAACTTAACAGCAAAAATAATAAGAAACAAGCACGTTTTTTTACAATTAGACGACAATTTAGTAATTCAATTTATGTGTGTCTTGCAGCTGAACCTAAAAATGAAAATGCCGTTCGTTTGAAATTGTAAAGCGCGTGTATAACTGGGTGAATGGCAATAAAATGCACGTACACACACACACCCACAGAATGACAGCTGTCAGCTGATTCTGTGAATGGCAAAATTGTGTGAAGCAAGAGAAAAATGGCGTTGGTGCTGTAAAAACGTAATAAATTTCTTATTTAATGATTTTGAACAGTGAAAAGTAAACGTAAAGTTGATAAAATGTTTCCCGGTGGCAATGCCAACACGGATTTGGGATACAAGAAGCACAATAATCAGTATGTGGGACAGCCGCCGCCGCATTTTCTTGCAACTGCAGCTGCCACAACGGCAAGTAGCGGAAGTATGCACGGCGGGGGAATGAGCATCGATTGGGCAAAGTTAGCCCAGCAATGGATACACATGCGCGACAGTGGAGCATCAGCTCCGCAACTGGCTAATTTTAGCCTTGTGGCGCCGCCGCCGCCGATTATTGGCAATACCGCACAGTATCAACAACAAACGCATCCGCCGACAGAGACGACGAAGCAACCGCTAAAGCGGAACTTGGAAGAACAAGGCGAGGCGGACATGGATATGGATGATAACGAGGACAATGAGCCACATCAACGGGTGGACGGCATGAACACGCCCCCTCCCGTGCCCATAGTTACGCAATCGCAGTGGCTGGGAATGGGTATGGGTGGTAATGATTGTGTCAGCAGCGATGTGGGTGGGGGCGTGGGTGTGGGTGAGTGAGGCTAGTTGCGTTTCATAACGCATTGATTTAACAATCGAACTGCATTTCAGTTGGAGTCTCGCACTGGAATATGTGGCAGGGTCGTGGCAATGTGCCGGCGTCATCCGACAATATTCCTCCTAATCCCACAGCGCATATACCATCGTTACTCAAGCTAAATGTGACCAATCCGAATGAGCCGCAACAACAACTGCAACATCACCAGCAACAGCAGCAGCAACAACAGCAACAAAGTGACAACGGCAATGATAACCCCACAAATGGAATTGATGCAAACAAACGAAAAATGTTGCCAGCTTGGATAAGGTATGAAGGTTTTTGAATTTCGTACAAAAGGGCTAAAAACTAATAGCAGTTAATGTTATTGTTGTCTCACAGAGAGGGTTTAGAGAAAATGGAACGCGAAAAACAAAGGCAACAAGAGCGTCAACACCCGAAGACGCCAACATCACCGGAAATTGAAAAAGAGACCAATGTTAAGCAAGTATCAAGCAAAACACTAACAACACCTGTTAATCTATTGAACATCTCGCATATGGTAAGTAAAAAAGTGCAACTGGCTGCATAAATCCTTCACTCAATACTCAGTGCCGCCTAAAAAGCGAAAAAATATACTCAAATTGGTTGCAACAAAAAAAAGAGAAAAAAGCACAAAAAAAAACAATTACAACAAAAAACATGGTGCGACCATAAAAATCAGCTTGAATTAACTTGAACTTGAAATTCAGGCAAGCGACAGTGAAGATTCCAATGCCGCTGCTGATGAGGTTTTACACATGCCAAGGGCTCCTCAAATAATAGGTAACGATGTATTGAGGTTGGGTAAAACGAGCAACAAACAATTTCAAAGCGAGTATGCTGTTGATGACGAGGATGGTGACAGCGAGGATATTGTTACCAACACGCCTGCGACACATGCCCAGGCACAGACACAACAGATACAGACAAAGGATTCCAATGCAACAGCATTAAGTGGTAAAACCTACGAAGAAAGACTCGCCGATTTGGTAGGCATCCCAAAATGATACTATATGTACTCAACATACGTTTTAAATCGTATCATATTTGTTATATACACGTCAACGTGTTTAGATGCTTGTTGTGCGTCGCACACTAACCGAAATACTATTGGAGACGACTAATGAAGAGATTGCCGCCGTGGCACAAGAAACAATCAAAGCGCACCGCGCTAAAGGTACTTTTTAAGATGTAGAACATTAAGCTTATTCCTAAACTTTCTTACAGTCTAATTAAATGATTAAATAAGTATGTGTGTTAGCTCTTGTAAGTAGCTAGCATAAGAACACAAAAAACACGCACATACATACATATATAACAGGTGAAGAAGTGATTTCATAGATCTTATAAGCCGGCGGATTGTGCCACTTGGCTGTGCTCGCAAGATTGTGGAAAATAATAATTTTATGTGATTTTTTTTTTTTGTAATATTATTTTTACTGAATTGTTGATATTTCAAAACTATCAATCACACGTTAAATTTACTATATATTCATAATATGTATATGTATGTGTATGTAAATCAAAAGCGTCATCAGCCCAAGTGATTCGCAAAAGCGCCTTGTCCTCCATTACCGGCAATTTGGGTAAGTAACACATTTCAATTAATTCCTATGTTCTTGTACTATTTTGTTCTCATAGGTAGTTTGTGTTTTGCTTACATACTATACATATATACCCCCACAACAGAATTCTAATCAACTTCAAAAACTATCTGTGTGAAAATATATATTAGTATCGTGGGAGTGGCGTTTTATCATCTAAAACTCTTCTATTTTTAAAAAATTTAATGTTTGGCCAGTGCTGCCCACAACTAAATATCTTCTGGCCAGTGCAGCCATTCAATTAATGTTTGTCAACGCCCAGCTTTCTTGTACATAAAGGTCTTTAGAACCAACTTATGGGTCGCATTATCCATTACTTTCAATTCAATTCTTTACTATGCTCTCCAAGCTTTGCCAAATCTCTATTTCAAAACAAAGTCAAACAACAAAATATTGCGCCCTATTCCAGCTTATTCTATGGCAGCCACAATTAGCACTTGATTTGATATGAATTATAGGTTTAGCTGCTTATGGCGATTCTTCTAGTGAGAGTGAGGATGAGGACCACGAGAATGATGATGGCAACAGTGATAACGCATCGGACCCCAAGGATGCAGATAAAAGTGCTGAGCTTAGCGTGGATGAGTTAAAGGTAAGTGATCAGGGAGTATTAATGCATTTTTTAATGTCATTTGTTGGCAGGCGCGAATACGTAAAAGCAAAAGGGCATTTGAAAAGGTCATTGACGAGATAAAGGATCGTGTGGCACAGCAGGAAGAGCTCGACGAAGAAAAGCTGCAACATCATCGAAGATTGGAGCATGATCAAGCAGAGGCTAGAAAAAGACGCGAGCTCAGCCGTCGGCACATGACAAATCCTGAACCACCCAGCCAAGTTGAGTCGAAGACGCAACATGAACGCGAATCGGCCACAACAAAAACAACTGGTGCCTCTGAAAATAAACTGCAACAATTTAATGGCAAGTTGCTGAAATAATTTCGGAAAAGACTTTGTTCTATTTGCTTTTATATTTATTAGGTAAACGCTTGAGTCGCAAGGAGCGCACTACTCGCTTTAGCGACTACAAGGATGGCAAACCGAGCCACATTACCAGCTATGTAAGTCAGTTGCAGCAGCAGACTACAATGCCAACGCCGGTGTCAGTATCGGCCACTGTGACAACGACCAAGCCATCTCCTTATATGCATGCTGTGCCCAATCCAGCGACAGCCTTGCTGCAAATGCCCGAATCGGTGGCTAGTATGCTAAGCGCTGCCGACAAAGCGCTCGACAAAGCTAGCAAAACGTCGTCGAAGAGCTCCAAGAGCCGTGGAAATCGCAGTAGTCGAAGAAGTAGGAGCCGAAGCAGGAACAGTAGTACCAGCAGCGAACGCAGCTCTGCGAGCAATGAAAGTTCCAGTAGCTCAAGCAGCAGCAGTTCAAGTTCCTCGACATCGGGTGGCAGCAGTAGCCGCAGCAGAAGCAGAAGCAGCGCCTCTAAGACTCACGGTAGTCGGCGTAGGGATGAGCGTCGTACTCGCCACAAATATGAACAGTATCATCAGTCCTTTAACTATCGCAGTCATCATGACAGCCAGCCACAACACCGAAACCGTGACAGCCGCGACAGTCGTGAATACAAGCGACTGCAACAACAGCGCAGTCGCCATTCCAGCGGCTCTAATGATGACGATGGCTATAGACGCTCGTCACGTCACAGCAGCAGTCGCAGCCATGGCAGCAGCAGCTACAGAAAACAGGGGCGTCGCACCCGCTCTCGGTCCCCATCACGCACTTCCTCATCCGCGCAGGGGCGCAAGCGCCGTTGATAATTCTATTGCATGTTATGTAGCAAGTTTTTAAAAGAAAACAACCAATTTTACTTCCATTCAATACATTTTTTATTTAGTTTATTTCCTCATTAAAAGTATTCAATGTAGTACTTCAAACTAACTTATAATAAAATGAATTGAACTATACAAAAGTAATTTATTTAGATGTATTGTAACAAACAAATCCTCTAAAACGAAGGTACATACATATGTATTTATTTCCTTCCTAAAATTATGCAAATTGAATGAAATTCAATATGAATACACTGAATTCACTTTACATCGCACCAATAGACCAATAAGAATATCTATTAGGGCATAAAAACAATCAAGTATAAAATACAATTATGCATACAACACCGGCAAATCCAAGTTGTGTTGAGAACGGAAGGCGTTCTATCAGAAAGTTAACATTTTTAGTGGAGCAGCAACGCATGCTGAGTATAAATTTGAAAAATAACATTTATTTTTATAGCAATGAGTTTGGTGGGCGGTAATTATCGATAATGCAGATAACAGTCGATAGCATCATCGATTTCAATGTTTGGTCTGATAGCGATGAGCCTTAGAAATAATGCTCATCGCCAATCCCAGTGTGCTTTCGTCTGATTGGCGACGCGGACGCGCGAAAGAAAAGTCGAAACACAAGTGAAATTAACTTTAAAAGTATACACTTATTAGATGTTTTAGATCGAATACCAATTATTAAGTGCAAAGTGAATAAAAGTCAATTAACACAAAACAAACACAGCCAATTTACACAACAAAAAAACAACGAGAGAGTGAGTTTGGCTGCCCGGCGACGCGATGTCGACACAAACAATCACACGCCAAATTTTTTAAACATATACATACAATATTCTCATACTTACATACATATGTATATATAGTGCGACAATATAAAGTAATCAATTTAATTTATTAAAGGTGTGCGTAAAGAAGAAAAGCATAGATTACGTAAATAGACGCACAAGTAGCAATTTTTTCAAGCCCCGCTTAACAGCTGATTGGACAAATTTTTAACTTGCTTTTCTTATATTACCTGTTCCTTTTCGGGTAGTAAACACGCGGCGAGACAATAAAACCAAGAGAAAACGTCGGCATGCCTCTTTGTTGGGCAATAATCAATAATGGGTCTTGGCAACAAAATAACACTTATATGATGGCTTTAATCTAAAATGTTTTAATTTTGTTTTATCATACATATGTTTGTATGTATGCCGTGAACAAAGTTGAGTGTCGACGATTGTCGTAGAAGGCCGCTCTTCATATTTTTCTTGCTCTGATATCTTTATGTGTCCAAAGTGGAACCGTTATTTATCTTCAGTTAAGCATAATAGCGTTATTTAAGCAACAAAACTTTCCTTAGTTGATAATTTAAAAATGGCACTGGCTATTGTGCTAATGAACCACTTTTCATGCTTGCAAAAATTTAAATTTGATATTTGCAATGAGATTGCGGCTCTCAAACGTTTTGTACATATATATACATATATAGTATGTACATATGTATGTCTATATATTACTAATGTACATACATATGTCAATAAACCCAACGCCGTATTTAATTTGCAATTGACTATCGTTACGCTTTACCACAGCTTTCAACATACACACATACATACATATGTATATAAGTGGTGTCTATCAATCAAACAATGATGTATTATTATATAAAGTGATATACTCTATGTACATAGTTTTGTTTTGTTTATTCTATAAATTACACCTTAGAATAAAATGCTTTAAAAAACCGATAAAGAAATGGATCAATATACTTATGTATTTGTGTATGTGTATCACTAATTTTCCAGCATGGCAGCAATACAGCAACAACCACAACAACAACAGCCGCTACAGCAGCCAAAGCAACAACAATTCGCGTAAGTTATCACAATAACAAACAATTAGAGCATATCAAATAATATTAAATGCAAATAATAAATGTGATATTTTCAAAGCACGAAGTGTAAAAACTGTTGTCTACAGTTCATCATAATAAATAAAATAAATACAATAAATGGTTCTATTGATAGACTGATAACAAGCGAGTTTTAACGCCCCTCGCCATAGAGATGAGCAGTTGTCAGTTTGTGACAGAGTATTTAATACAAAGCTTATTGCTAAGAAATACTGCAATATTTTTTAAATCAGCTGATTCATAAGAAATGTCGATTTTTCCGACAATAACAAGACTTAAAGTTTCATTCAATGGATGTTTAAATGATTATTATCTTAATATCTGGATTGTCGTCAGTTTTGTTGCAAAATAGTCCGTAAGCTCAAAGAATTTAAGGAACCTAAAATATAAAGAATTAGTGCGTTTGAATTTGTTTTCATTATTTAGTAAGTTATACTTATATTACTCTATTCCCGGAAAATTGCTTCATACGAAATCACAGTTATTAGAACGAACTTTTTCGCTCATCTCTAGCTCGTTAGCTCTTAAAAAGATGAGTCCGACAAGTATTCGCCTCAAATTGCAGCTAAGCAAGCGTGGGTGTTGCTCTCGTGTGGGCGTCCCTCTTACATGCTCTTCCCCTCTCTTTTTGGGCTCTTTTCTGTCTATCCTTATTTACATCATTGCCTCGCACGCCTATTAAATTTTGAAAATGGGTCACCCTTCTGGCCAAGGTTAAATGCAATGACAAAAGAAAATGCATGTTTCTATTTAATTTTGATTATTTTTGAAAGTGAAACAAATTTTGCTCAGGCCCCATGCTTGGCGGCTGTTCCAACAAAACATTGTGCACACCTATACGGCACGCAAAACAAAAATAGCGCAAGTATTGTATATGTGCGAATTTGTACGATTTGCTGGCAAATTACCAAATATTCTTAATATTAATTTTGCTAAATTAACAATATCTGTGGCCTTTCTTAGTTCGTCTGGAGGTCAAAATCATGTTCAAATCATTTTCTATCGAACGTTAATTTGTCACTGAGCTGGCAACGCCACTCTGATCTCGTTCAAGTTCAAGGCCGCATTGATGTGCGTGTGCCGGCGGTTTTCCCCGTTTACACGTCAAGTAAATATGCTAATGCATGGGTTCATGTTCATACAAAAGTTAGCGCAGTGCAATTCACAAATATTTGTCAATTTGCCAATTCATGCTTCATTGTTGACAATAAACGTTCTTCTTTTCTTGGTTGCTATCCACTGCAGACAAACAAAATCTTAAATTGTTATCTTATCTTCAGTTGTTTCCCAAGGAAAAGATTTTGTTATTCTTCTGATTTTATTTGGCTTATTAATTTACAACACATCTAGCTAGCTGATCTCAGGTGTATGTTGCTATCCGTTTAGGCTAAAAAAGAATTAAGAATACAGAACAGAGACGTATTAAAACAAACAAACAAATCTCCATCTTTGAACATGAAACGTTGGGCCACAATTTTTGTGTAGTACCAGTATATTTATATATAATATTATTATGTATAATACTATATATTAAAACTCTTTGTTCATTTATAAAGTTGTGCAGCTCGAGTTTAAAATCAATTATAGGGTTCTGAAATATGGAAACAAATTTTCTTTGGTATCGCAAAAAGGTGGAAAAACGCCGTGTATACGATTGTCTCTAAACGCTTCTATTGGTTTATTTAATTTATTTATGTTATAAAATGATGATGTAAAGGAAAACATCGATATTAGGTACACTTGAATATTAAAATGGTTATTAAAATCAATTGTTTTACCAATGATATTAAATTTGATATTTAATAGCTTATTTACATATACGTCTACTATGTATGTATGGCGGTTCATATCGTCTTGCCGATACATTACTTAAGTAATTTAACTATAATGTTAAATTTTATCGGATTTTTGCAGTTTACTGCCAAAAATCATAAACGGCGGCATTGCGGGTATTATTGGCGTTACCTGTGTATTTCCCCTGGATTTGGTGAAGACGCGTCTACAGAATCAGCAAGTCGGACCAAATGGCGAGCGCATGTACAATAGCATGTGAGTTAGTTCTTTAATAAAGAGCCTCTCTAAAAATATACATAAATCTATATGATTTTCCTTTATGGCAGGTTCGATTGCTTTCGCAAAACGTATCAAGCCGAAGGGTATTTCGGCATGTATCGCGGATCGGGTGTCAATATCTTGCTTATTACACCCGAAAAGGCCATTAAGCTGACAGCGAACGATTACTTCCGTCACAAATTGACCACAAAGGATGGCAAACTGCCGATGAGTAGTCAAATGATTGCTGGTGGCTTGGCCGGTGCATTCCAAATAGTTGTGACCACACCCATGGAGCTGTTGAAGATTCAAATGCAGGACGCTGGACGTGTCGCGGCGGCTGCCAAACTGGCGGGCAAAACGGTGGAGAAAATTACGGCCACACAATTGGCCACACAGCTGCTGAGGGAGAGGGGCATCTTAGGGCTCTATAAGGGCATTGGAGCAACGGGGTTGCGCGATGTTACATTCTCAGTTATATACTTCCCATTGTTCGCGACGCTAAACGAATTGGGTCCGAGACGTAATGATGGCTCGGGCGAGGCGGTCTTCTGGTGTTCCTTCCTGGCTGGCTTAGCGGCTGGTTCCACGGCTGCCTTGGCCGTAAATCCCTTCGATGTGGTCAAGACGCGTCTGCAGGCAATCAAGAAGGCCGATGGCGAAAAGGAATTCAAGGGCATTTCCGATTGCATAACGTAGGTTTTCACTTTCGAATACTTTTTAAATTCTACAGAAGATATATCGATTTTTTATATTCCAATTATTCATGTTTGGCATATTTTGGTGCACTTTATCATATAGAGAAATTATGGGAACAATCGGTATAAAATCGCTCCTAAGACTAACAACATTTTTATTTTTAAAGTTGTGAACCAAATTTGCATTTTAAGAGGAGGTTTCCTTTGTATACAGTTTACTATTTTCTTTATTAACTAAATGTTTATCTTTCTGTGCACCTTTCAGCAAAACGCTCAAACACGAAGGACCCACGGCATTTTTCAAAGGCGGGCTCTGCCGAATGATTGTGATTGCACCGCTCTTCGGTATTGCTCAAACCGTCTACTATCTGGGCGTGGCCGAGGGCCTATTAGGCGTGCAGAAGAAGTAGACGAATCCGTAATCGAAGGAACAAAACGGTCTAAAGGCATTTTAGTTTATTATTGAGTGTTAATTGTGTGTAAATTCGTAAATGTGTTAATGTTGTTGCTGTTAAATGCTGTCCCAATTGTAAATTCTATACTGGAATGAAGATCGTCAAACTTCGCAGGAGCTTCGAAATAGTGCAGGTGTATGACAAAGCTATGGATTATTTCATAGTCAGCTTATATATGCAGTTGTTAAAGTTTCCCATATATTTATTTTTCTGAAAGACAAACGCTATCTCTATAAAGACGAGAAAAAAATATCGTTGCATATTAAAAAGTACAGGCGAAATTTTCTACTAAAATGACAATAAGCTCACAGATATATAGAAATGACAATTATTATATATCGAAGTATGTTTTTCTTTTTAGCTTAATTTATAACTGTTGTTATTTGCGCTCACTATATAGAAATATAAACAAACAATTACATATGCCATATGATATAAAGCGAGATAAATATTGCATATCGTTTAGTACGCGGGATAATTCCTTCTTTGCTTAAATAACCATAAAATTAGTCAGGATTGCATTTTTAGTTGTTTTTAGCGACAATTTTATTTAATAGTAAAATGAAGAACATGACGAAAATATTGTAAAGCAATATGTATACAAAACTGAATAAAAATATATACATACATATATTTAAACTAAACAAGCTCACAACTTTTCGTACGTACTATGGGGGTTAGAACAATTTTTCTGTTTTATAATTCAGAATTTTATCAAGAAGTGGCATGTATCGTCTATAATCCCATTGGATTTAATCAAGAGACGCATACACCATCAGAAAGTTGGACCAAATGGCTAGAGACTTTATAAGAACATGTTAGCGATGTCACGGCAGATGGAGTGCCTGGATGTTGCTTTGAATGGGCCTCTAGAAATTTCGTCAATCAACCCTGCGGAACTTCTAAAAATTCAAGAGCAGTATTGGCCAAGAAGTGATAAAGACATGATTACAGGTCCACAAGTTGCTTCTGTTTGAAATCTGAACATTAAAAAATTATACATATATGTTTATAGAGAAATTGTGTATTTTTCCTTCATCAAGAAATAAAATATTGAGTTTGAAATAAATTGATATTTACTTAAATTTTAGGAGTTTATTGTTTAGATTCATATTTTTGAAAATCAGCCAAATATCTCAACAGCGCCATCCATATCACATACTACGATACAATCTACATCCTAACAATAGTTAGGACCACATTCTAGTCTAGACAACGTCAGCTGGACGACTGCTGGGTGGAGGTCCAGTATCAGCATTCAGATCCGAGTAACGAGTGCGTTGCAAGCGGGCCAAGAACGCACGGTACCATTCCAAAAAGATCGCCTGACGATAAAGTATAGTGCCCATTTGCAAGATGACGAAGCCCATGATAGTGATAATGTTTATATATTCCCATTCGGCCATGATGACAAATATCCAAATAAAATAGACGCGCAGTCCGTCGGCCAGCAAGCGGTTAGCACTCGACGAGAACTTAGCAATGGAGAGGCCAACAAAACTGTAGATGGCGCAGGAGAATATAAACCCAACGAGGCCTAATACAAGCAATGTATTGCTCTGCAATTGTGGCCACAGGTCGCTTAGGTCGTCGAACACACCACGTGAGTTGTCATTGAAGGGCGTGGCACTGGGCACAAAGTGCAAGCAAATTCCCAAGAACAGTGTAATCACTGTGCCAAAGATTCCTTGCCAGCCTGCTGCCTGCAACGGCACCAAATCCGATGCCTTCAAATGTTTCTCCTCATACACATACTGGAAGGCATGCAGTACTTCGGCCAAAATGATCAAAAGATCACCCGTCAATATGGTATTGTGATCGGTATGTGGCAAGCTTTTCGAATCATAGTCCACACGTTGCACATCCAAAGCCAGTATGTCCACAATACCACAAGTTATTGTAAATATGGCCAGCCAATGCCGAGTGGTGAGTGTTTGGTTCAAGTACATGGTGCTGAAGAGGCCTACAAAGATCAGGGCGACGCCTGCTTACACAGAAGAAAACATGTGAGTGTAAACAAAGACAAAGAGGCGACAGTGATAAGAGCTACTCACCCCTTATCATCTGAAAACTGGTGGCATAAGTCAAATACAAGCCGGTAAACAGCAAAATCGTAGCAATGGTGTCCAAGCAACACGGCAACAACATGCTCAAGGGTTGGAACTCCCTGCTCCCTCGCGTCAATATATGATCCTGATCAGCACCCAACTGGAAAGATAGCGAAAACATTTCATGTACATTTAGATAATACCTTATTGATTATTGAATACTTACGCCGCGTCGGCTGACAAAGTGATATGTTAGTTTGTAGACAAAAAAGCACAAAAGCTGACCCAGAAAGATGAGAAGGGTCAGCACCACAGGATGTTGGAATCGACGCCATATGCCATCGCTGCATTCCACCAATTGCTGATTCGACCATCTAAAAAAATTCAATTTTTCCGTTGTTTTTTTTTTTTCTTTTACGCAGTTATCTATCCACTTACTTGATAATCAGCACGTTAAAAGCTCCGCATAAAACAAAAAGCAGCGTCAAAAACACGCGTTGGTCCATTTTTTCATTAATTTCGCCGTCTTTTGCAAATTTAATTTAAAATATTGACTGCCTTTGTGTAATTTTAGATGCGCAATGCTACAAATGCAGGTACATACACATACATCTATATATGCATTGGTCTATCGTAGATAAGGTTGTTTGGTTGCAATGATCCACGCATGCCCTGCGTGCACTGTTTGAGTCGTCAACGAATTAATAGATGTTAAGGATTTAATGTTTGACACAATGGTTTTGATTTTTTATTTACACACTCAGAAATTTTGTTCTACAGTAGTATAATATAATTATATATAATATTGCATTCCGAATTTGGCGAAATTAACCCAATAACTGATAAGCCACGAGTAGGAGCATTTGTAGTGCTGCCCATCACAGAATCAGCTGTGGCATCGGACCGCAAAGCACTGCACCATTCGATTATGATGGGCAGCACCATAAACAAGCAAAAACTGAGCAAGCATTAAGAAATGGTTTATGCACATTAAAAATGCTTAAATACTGGCATGCAGACAATTTTGCCAGAATTATTATAATATAGGAAATAAAACAATTTATTATTATTATTAATTTTGCTTGAGGTCACACTAAACGTTGTATTCAGTTGATAAAACAGTGCATCGGTAACACAGTGCGTCGAATTTAGCACTGCAGAGTCGGTAAAAAAGCGACTTATGAGAAACATTTTTACAACGGGATTTCGACTGGAAGGTTGGCATCTTCTGTAATCACGCTTCTGTGAGGTCTGATTGTGGGATGGCCTGAGGCTGGGGTTTTCTGTGTAGCGGACCAGATCATGTTGACGGAACGTCCGCACTAAGCTTGCCATCAATATGGGTGCCGTGGAGGAGTCCACGTCATTCAGGTTGGCTAAGGAGGGATGAACCGGGCCAGGGGTGAAAACCAGCAGCCAAGAGTTCCCGTGGTAGGCAGTAGTGGGATAGCGTACCGGAGTGAGATGCCACTGCCAGCCTTGCCAATACGGTTGGACCGCAATCTTTTTGCATTTTTTTTTTTATTTTATTAATATAATAAAAACTTTGATACCTTAAAAGTTGAAATATACTGGTTGTTTTGTTATTGTTATGCTTGTTTTTAGAGTTTAACTTGGATTTTTTAAAATAAAATGTTTTGCATATATTTTTTATAGCTTAAATCTAAGTGTTTGTAGTTAACAGTTGCTGAAAATTGTAATGGCGTCCTGGTTACCGTTACTGAGCGTAGTTGCGTGGGAGGAGGATGCCAATATATTACATAGGTGTAGAGTGTAAGTTGGCTGTCGCGGCCGGTGGCTTATGACCTCTTCTAATTAATTGGTCATTAAAACAATCAATAAATGAATGCATACACACTTTAAATACAAATTTGTTTTTATCGTTTATTTAAAACCAAACTTAAAAAATATCACAGGATATTGAAAAACTGAATTGTATGAAAATACATGAACTGGATTGAGTGTGGATTGTTTTCCGTCCTTAAGCCACCTGAGTGGCATTTTCTGCAATTTTCCTGCGAAGAGTATTGATGAAAGAGTAATTAATATTTATTTGAAGAACGCTGGAAAAACAAATACATTGGATACCACTAAAAGCTTTGTGTTGGCAGCTCACCTGTTGTTTGGTGTATTTGCTTATACTTATTACTTTCATAAATACAAGTGTATGTTGGTGTGTGTGTGTGTATGTTGTTGTTGTGTTGTGGCCGTGCGAGTGTCTAGAGTTCGTCTCTTTCATGGCCAACAGGCAGTGTGACTTCCTCCACCGTGCCCAGACGTATGGTCTCATTTGGTTTACTAAACTTTGGTATGTATTCGACGGTGTCGCTGCTGCTAAACACCGAATTGTGTAGAGTATCCGTTGGTGCCGAGGGATCGGGACTAGTGAGTGTAATTTTGGAGCCTGTCGCCACTCTGTAGAATGTATGTATGCATGTTGCTTTATATATGTCTGCATGTGTGTGCTTGTGTGTGTTTGTAATTACATACACTCAAAGAAATACATGTTCTAGATTTTAGGCAAGCTCCCTAAAACTACAAGCATCCTTAAATTTAGAAAATGTTATTATTAGGAAATACTAAGGAAATGTTTCATATATAGAAAGCAAACTAATTCGGAATTTTTAGAAAATGTTTGCTATACTCTATATCAGAAATGCTTATTAGGTTTAGCTGAGTTGATTCCCTAGTCCTAGTTGTAATATACATTGTTAACATATGGGTTATAATTTCAGTTGTTCATATCATCAGTTGAAAAATATAAGATCACATCATTATATAAAATGTTTCTTTCATAAATTACGAAAATAAAACTTGGCATAAAAATTCTTAAAACGTTCTCAAAATCTGTATTAATTGTTTTATAAAGTATTTTAAGAGTGTTTTTCTAAATTTTAGGACGATCTCGTGCATTTTGGGGTTTAGAGAGCTTCTGTAATTGTTAGTAAGGCGCTACCCAAACGAATTAGGATTATTTCGACAACACAGCACAAAAGGCATCCGATATATTGTGGTATATATATACCTTATGTACCTTATGTACAGTTGTTGTGGTTGAAACTTTTGTTGGAAGAGAACTTAGTGGTTTTGCTGGTTTTGGTAATTAGGTTGCTATTGATGCTGACGGAATCCAGCGCGTGCTCCGCGCAATTTTTGTGGATTTCTAATGCAGGTGGTTCAGATCGTATATATATACTACATATAATTCCTCTCACACACACTGTCTTACCTGTCCCTGGCCTGCATGCTGGCCTCCACATCCAGGCTGCGCGGCTGGCGGAAGTCACATTCCAAGGAAAAGGCCGAATCGCCGGGCGTTATTAGTTCCGGATCGTTCTGTATTACCACAATGTTCGAATATAGGTCACCATCCTTCAGGGTCTGGCACTGATCCAGCTGGAAGTTCATCTCTAGGGTGCGGGCACCCTGAACGGCAGTCGGTTTCATGAAGCATGGCGGCGTCTGTTTGTAGAAGCTTCCACGGGTATACATGACACCGGTAAATGGCTTTTCCGTCTCCAGCACCACATTCATTGAGTTGGCACCACACTTCAGGTTGACCTTTTGTATGCCCTGATCGCTGCCCTCAATTTTGAATGTATCCGAAAGGTCTTGTTCCCAAATTTCTGCAACAATTGCAAATGCAAAACAGTTTCCTCTGTGAACACAAGCTTAGCAAATCGTGACATTTGTGACATTTCCCTATTTTTTTGCAACGCATTCAAAACCCCATTACATAACCAGCCGATGGTGAGGGGCTTAGGCTTAGTAGTTGGGTCAGTGGCACACATGGAAACTGTTTTTCCATGACAAGGCATATATGATTTGTTGATCAACTTTGAATGGGTTTGTAAAATAATCGTACATAATGTATTGTTATATGGTTTTTAGGGATTGTTTTTTATGGACATTTTGTGCTTGCCATTGGGAAATGATGGTGAAAATAAATACGAGTATATCAGAAACATTATTAATATATTTTTTAAGGGGTTTTTTTTTGGTCAACTAACCTTTTCTATCCCGCTTTAATTTTAGGAGAACTTGCTGGGTTTATATCGTTTTCTTGATTTTTTGGGCTCACTCTTACGAAACGGTAGCGAAAGTAAATCTATATCAGAGCTTATTTTTTTAGTGGCTTAGAAGTATATAGTTTGTATTTTTAATGGAGTTTGTGGGCTCGCTTTTACGAAGTGGCCGTGAAAATAATTGTATGAAAATCACCATAAATCGATATGTTCTCTTTAAGTAATATTTACTTTTGCTCTGGGACAAATTTTGGGCGAATATTGGATTTTACAGGGTTTATAGTGTGTTTATTTATGGGAATTTCTTGTAGGCTGGCTTTTGGTTGGGAAATAAATGGCAGTACTAATAAAAATACAATAATTTAATTGTTTTAGCTATTCATCTATTTGAAGTTAAATTGTTTCCTAAGGTATCAATAATAGTACATATCTAGAATTTTTGCTGGACAATAGCGAACGGACCAGGAGGCTGCTCAGGACCCATCCTCTGGACCTCCCCTGGGCATAGCAGGGTTCTACAACTTCATCATAAATGAAATAAATGTAGTGCCAAGTTTATTTAACCAATTTAATGATTGTCCACAATGGACAGTTTTAAATAAAAACACTCTGCTAATACAAACAAAAAATCTATTTGAAATAGAACTTATCTATTTGAAGTTAAATTGTTTCCTGAGGTTTTAATAATAGTACATATCTAGTATTTTTGCTGTTTTCTTGCTTAATTCTTTTTTGTGCAGAGTTTTCGTGCTATATTTAAATTAAAATGTTACTTTCAAGCTTAACAATTTCAATTTGGTGATTAATATGATTTAAAGAAGTGGCTTTTCATTTATTTGAGTAAATATGTCAGCAATTTATATTTTACTTACAATCTTTATAATTTCTACCATTATTGGTTTTCAAAAAAATTTTACTTTGTTTCTTTTGAAATGTTTTCCATTTTGTGCACCGCTTTAAGCACCGTTAGAATATACTATTTATCAGACTAATATATTTCAGTTCAAGACAAAAGTCCGTCTCCAGCCATATTGCTGTCTGGCCAGCACCTGAAGCCGGCAAAAGACGCAACCGAAGAAAGAAACCGGTTTTACTTTTGTTTTGGTCTGAAGCACTCAGAATCTACCTAGACCAGTGACTTTTATTTAATTTTCACCGCAACTTACATGAAACTGAATCTGATTCATTCCTTGCAACCTACCTTGATTCCCCTGCTGTTGCTGCTGTTGTTGTTGTTTCTGTTTGTTGCCAGCATCGACGGCCAACAATAGGTGGCAGGAAAATAAAAGTATAATCACATTTCGTATATTCAACATGATGCGAATCGTTTGTAATAATTGTTAACACACAGCACAGCACACAAAGCACGTCCCAATGACTCAAAGTTGTTAACAAAACTGACTCCTCAACTGCGCCGGCGCAGCGCATATAAAAGCAGCGCGAGCGAGCTGCGACGCCGACAGAGATGGCGACGTCACTCTTAAGCTCAGCTTAGCCAGCAGGTGAGCAGAGAAAGCACAATGGAGGGTGCCGTGGAAAGAGCTGGAGAGAGCGAGAGGAGCTAGTGCGCGCATTGGCAGCACTGAGCAACCGTTGAGCGCCAACAGCTGGTCGGCCACATTGGTCATATACACATACATACTGCATATGTATATACACTTAGACAAAAGATAAGCTCGAAGTGTTACTTTAAATTTTTGAAAATCGTCTATAAAAAGACGCTACATAAGAGGCTTAGCAAGTGTAAGTTTGGTAAGAACATTAAGAAAATATTTCTTAAAATCAGAAAATATTTTCTGGATCTACTTAAAACTGTTAAATTATAATTTTTATATGAAATTATATATTTTTATATTCTGTACCTGAAGGATAATATGATATTATTGTTAGTCAGCATTATGAGACAAATTGATCTTACTTATGTTTGTCTATGCGTCCGTCTGGATGAACGCTTGGATTTCTAGCACGACCGAGCCCATATTGATCAAACTTGACATGTAGACTCTCCTAGTCAATAAATATCCAAATAAATATTTTTGATTGTAACATTTTCTCTTCTTTTTAAAATAAATTAATAAATAAATAAAAAAATTATTTTTACTATGATGGACAGGTCCGCTTGGAAATTATAAGAAGTCTGAACGTAAAATCATTTAGTGTGAATTTCTAGCAAATGATTTTTTCTGAGTGTATACGTTACCTGTCGACGCTTTGAAGTTTTGGTGATAACGTTAAATTTATGGCCGCCACAAAATATGTAAAGCACAACAGAGTTATGAAATGAAAGGCTAAGAGCACAATTTAAGGAAAAGCAATGTGCAATGCAATGGATTCGATTGCAATTTTAATGGAGATAGAAATGGGAATGGGGATGGAGATGGCGATGGCGATGACGATGGGGGAGATGGCGGCAGCGACGGCGACTGCATTTCCGCTTTTCATGTGGAGTTTTTGTTGCGCATTCGTGTATTTCTGCTGCCTGTTGTTGAATTGCTCTGTTGCACTATGCTTTGATGTTGTTGTTGCTGCTGCTGTTGCTGATATTTGTTGCTATTTTATATATACTTACATACATACAGATATATGTAGTATTCATTATTCAAAATGTTATTAAACTTCCCCATTTTGTGCACCGTTTTGTGCTCACGAATTATTCATGCAACAATTTATTGCATGTTGTTTCTGTTGTTGCTCTTCTTGTTTTTTATATTGTTGTGTTTCCATTTTGCGGTTGATTTTATATTATTTAGTTTTTGTACATGTAGTTGCGTTAATTAAGCCGTAATTAGTGTATTGGTTTGTGACCATTCGCAGCGAAAGGTGGAAGTTGCATGACTTTGTCCAAAAATGCATTTCTCAAAAAAACTTTTAAACGTTGTCTGCAAAAATGTGAGCGATAAGTAATTGACCAAAGATTTTGGATACGGACTGGAAAGAAATGCTTATTGTTTTTGGGATGGCATCTGAATATTTCTGGAAGTGGGATTAGGGAAATGTTGATGCTAGGGTAATCCATATCTGGATTCTCGGTTGATATGAAAACATATCTGAAGGAGAAGCGTCTTCGACTCGATAAATATATGTATATGTATTCTTGATCAGCATGACGAGCAGAGTCGAGTGTTCTTGTATGTAAAGTTAGTTGCATAAATAAATATATAAATAAATAATAAATATACAACCAAAATATTTAATTCTAATTTTTTCCACACTTGATATTTTTCTTTAGATTCCACTTTCCAAAAATTTAGTAGTCCTTCATTATTTTCATTTCCATTTTTAAGGTCTGTAAAAATATGAAATTCATTATGTACATCATCTAATCATCATCTAATAAATGAAAAACATGTATTAGAACTATATCTGTTTATCAGTAAGACAAGTTTTAAATACCTAAATGATGGCTTTTAGACGAATATTCTTTTTCTTAGAGCCTGAAAATGTGTTTTATTCTATTATTAATTTATATTTGATTAATTATTTCTGAAAACCAACGACTGTTTATTATTCCAATGGTAAATAACTGATGAACCTAATAAACAGCTGGCATTTTTGAGTGTAAACGCGTGGGTACGGGTTATGAAAGCAGCAATAGAATCTAAAATATTCCATTACAAGCATCAATTTTATCTCTTTCATTTAAACTGTAACTTGCTGATTAATTCTGCTTGAATAATTCTTTATAAGTAGATTTATTTCAATATAAATATTTCAATATTTAAGTTCGAATCATTGCGGTGCCTGATAGTTGTTATCAATCTCTCACATAGGCGGTAATCATTTAAAATACTTGTGTGTGTGTGTGTGTGTGTGCATAAGCAAATGTTTTTATTTTGATTTGTAACTTTCCGATTGTTCAAAGAATCAATTGCTCGATTAGAGGTATCAGTTATAGATAAATATTGAGTTGATTTGTCAGGGTTTCGTGTTTATTTTTCACTCGAATAAGGCAAAGAATAAACACAAATGGCAAACTGATACTTGATTGCTCTTTCTTTCTTTTTCTCCCAAAATAATATAGAAATGACAATTTGCATTTGTTGGTTTATTCTTCCCAAGGCTTATGTCCTTTTGAGAGCTGCCCAGTAACGCTTCAGTTCATTGCCCTCCCAATTGAAAGGCTTCGTAAAGATGCTGCAAAAAGATGAAAATTCATTTCAAAAGCATTTCAAAAAATCTGCTGAATAATAACTAATTTACATAATACTCGTATGAAAATCGCAAAAGCTGGCCAACAAACAAGTGAGCAATTTCTGCGAATGTTTCCATCATACTCGTAATTCCGCCGAAGCACGAAACAAGTTCAACATGCAATGCCGCTGCAGGTTGCAGAAACGTGGAAACCCGTCGGAAAAACTGCCCACCACTACTGCGCCGATGGCCAAGATTGACAATGAGCGTGCACATTAATGGACAGACTGGACGGGATGGGATGGTTCGGGACGGGACGGGACTGGTTTGGATTGGACACACGATTCGCTAAAACACCGGACAAATGTCAACAATCATCGGCATCTCTCACAAAAACAATGCAGTCGGATGTGACGTAATAGTAACATTGTATCCGAGTTGCACAATTTTTGAGCCAACTTCCGAGCACAATAACCCGTTTGCACACATCTCGATTTTCTCACTCACTTTTCGCGCAAATACTGCAACACTTCCTGCTCCTTTCCACTGAGCCCATTGTGAAATGCATCCAAATTCAGTTCGAGCCACTCCCGGGTCTGCATGCCGGTCAAAAATGTGCTAACACCGTCCAATTGCATTGCAAAGTGCATTGCCAATTTTCCGAGTTCCACCTCGCGATCTCTACAGACATTGGCTGCCTTTCGGACCAACTGTTTCTGCTCATCGCTGGCCGGATGCCAGGCTGGCGGGCCGGCGTTCGTGAGGAGACGCAAGGCATGGGCAGCAGCGCAGACAATGCCCAATTCCTGGGACTTGAAATAGTCCAGATATTCCAGCAGAGTATCATCAGTGAGGGTATAGCGGGCATAGCAGAGAACGGCCTGCAAAAATAGACAGTGACTTCAATCATTATAAGTGCTATTATACAAGTCACAAAATAATGTTTATTCTTTAATTTTATTCATTCGCTAACAATATGATGATTAATTTTAACTTAACTAATAATCATTATTTTGTGAGCAAAAAAATTAAATTCATTAAATAATAATTATTCTTTCAGTTGTATTTTTTGTAATCAAAAATAAACCTGAAGTTGTAATTGTACCTGACTTTTTCATTGGGAATTAGGACAAAACTTATATATATACAGGGTGCGCCATCTTTTATGTCGGTGTGCGGATATTGAGTGGCTTTGTCATTAGTGAACCGATTGACTTGAGTAGACCAGTGTTGAAAACCTCAGTTCAAGAAATTGTACAGAACCAAATTAAATAAAAATATCTCATACTTGAAAATCGGTTGTTTATTTTCAAGGATGTTCAGTGTTTGCATACCGACATAAAAGATGGCGCACCCTGTATCTTTAGGCAATAAGCCAAGACGAACCTTTATAGTACAGTTTTTCGCTAAAATAAACATCCTTAAAAAATATTATCATGCAAAAATCAAAAAACATAAAACTCTAAGAATAATTATTATTTTATAAGTTTTATTTTTTTTGCTCCAAAACAATGATTATTGGTTGTAAAGTAAAACTCGAAATTTATCATTAAATTTTGAGAGAATGAACAAAAATAAAAATTTTTAAATCATGGTAAAAATGCATAGATAATCCTATGAAAAGAATATTGGTAACTTCCTCGATTTCTCAAGGTTATTATAGGTGAATTATTTTTTCGTTTAAAGAAGCAAAATAATCGTTATTTGGGGTCTCTGAAAATAAGTGATAAGTGAACACAACAGATATCTAAAGGGCAAAACAAGGGCAATTAACCATACACTTAAAAAAAGCACTAAATGGATATTGGTAAATTCCTCAATTTCTCAAAGTTATTATAGGTGAATTACTTTTTCGTTTAAAAAACAAAAACAAAATAATCAATATTTCCGGTCTCTGAAAATAAGTGATAATGAAAACCACAGATATCTAAAAGGCAAAACAAGGGCAATTAACCATACACTTAAAAAAAGCAATATGCTTTTCTTAAAAACCAAAGTACAATAGGTGTTTATGCTTTACTTTTCAGATATAAGTATTCAAAACCCTTAATATTATAATGTTTTAAATAAATGTTGTTCTAAGCGGGAGTCTGTCTTTATCTCTGTCTTCCGGTCTCTCTGTTCAGCTACCTACAGAATCTCTGCGAATACATATATAGTATCTTCCCCACTAAAAATCCATCCCCAAATTTAAGCAAAAACGTATGATTTTCATTGGCTACCAGAAATGCATTTTCTAATTTTTGCGAGTGTTTTCTTAATTTGAAAGAAATACTTCTTAATACTAGAAAATTGTTCTTCAATTAATCACGTTTTTAATTTGAGGCGGATTTTCTAATATATTGGTGTATAGGGATACGACAGGTTTTATGAATATGATAGGTTCTTAGGATTGATCGAAACCATTGGAATTTAATATTTTACTTACATCGAAGCGACCCTCGGCACGCGTTATACACTCCTTTAGCACCGATAAGGGATAGCCCGTCACTCCAATGTACTTGGCCTTGCCCTCCTTCACCAATTGCTCCAATGTGGGCAGCGTTTCATTCAGCACTATATCAAGATCTTTTGCAAACTCTATATCGTGTATTTGTATCACATCCACATAGTCCAAGCCCAATAGTTTCAAACTCTTCTCCACACTCTCTCGCGTCTTTTTGGCACTAAAATCAAACATATGCTCGTAGTCCAGCTCGTAGCGAGCCACTTTTGTGGCTATATAGTAGGATTCCCGGGGCACGTCTTTCAAGGCATGTCCGAGCACCTCTTCGGAACGCCCTTGACCGTACCAGGGAGCAGTATCGATGTAGTTAATGCCAGATTTCAACGCCTGGTGCACTGTTTTAATGCCCTCTTCGAAATCGAAGCTACGAAGAACAACATAAATAAAATAAAGATGAAGAGAGAGAGAGAGAGAGAGAGAGAGAGAGGAAGGGAGTGAGGCTAGTTGACATCTCCAGTAATTTCATCTCTTACCCATAATTGGCGCACAACGCGCCGCCTCCAAACGAAATCTTAGAGACCTCCAGACCGGTTTTTCCAAATATCCGGTACTCCATGCGTCGCACCTGCGCCTCATCATGAAAGCCCTTCACATAGGTCGCGGGCAATTTACCGGTTGTAGACATAGCTAGCTATATTGGATCGAAAGGGGGCCTCGGCTAAAATTTGCAGAGATCTCTTATTTACCTAGTCAAGCCGCTCGCTTGTCGAGCAAAACGAACACTGATAGCAACGTCGCGATGTCTGCCGCGCTACCCCGTGTTTATTTATAATTCTGATTGTCTGGAACTGCAGCGATCTGTATTCACACATATACTTGTAGTATGACTATACAATTGTACTCCTATATCTGTATGGGTTACTGAGTGAAACAATCGCGACGATATGATGAGCACTTGAGCGTATCAGGGGGGCGCTCGATTGAGCGATTTTTGGAGAGACTCAGAAAATTGGCAAAGTGTTATATATACTAGTATGTATATGAAGGTATAAGCAAGTACGAGTTTCATCGCGTGTTAATAATATTCAACAGCCGGATATGAAGTGCTAATAGAGTTTTAATTAATAGATAGATAAGTAGTTGATAGTAGCTGCTCTTTTTAGAAATACTTCTTTTTAATGACATTTAACATTTAACGAGTACAAAAACAAGAAAGGAATGCTAGAGTCGAGCGGGCGCATCTCTTAAATACCCTGTACATACTCTCAACAAACACTCTATACAGAAACATAGTGACTAATTGGATGTGACTACCAAATTTCAAGAATTATGAGAGTTATAGAAAATCGCGAATAGCGGGAAAGTGGAATAAATAAACAAATTTGTCCTTTATCGGGCTTAGGGAAATCTGGATACCAAGTTTGGTTATTCTAGCTCTTATACATTCTGAGATCCTTGCTTTCGTACAGACAGACGGACAGACAGGAGGCTAGATCGACTCGTCTTGTAATTCTGATCAAAAATATATACACTTTGTGGGGTCTCCAACGCCTCCTTCTAACTTAATAGGCCAAATAGTTCCTATGTTATAAAGTTGCTATGACAATATTTTTGATTCGAAGCGCTGCATTCCATCTCGTAACCGTGGCTGGCTGTCCCCATAGTTGGTCCATACCGGATATACGAGTGTCTTGTACAGCAGCAGTTTATTTGGCCCAGTAGCCGGTATAGCTTTCTCAGCTTCAGGATTAATGGTTTAATTATAAAATATTCCCAACTAAAGCCGGAAATTGTTAAGCCTTTAAAAAGTTTTACCTCTGAAATATATATTTTCGAAAAGAGCAGCTATTTATGTATTTGTTTTATTTATTATATTTTTATGTCAATAAGCAATGACTGTCGATATAAGGAAATAATTTAAAAGTTATAAAAATGTTTTATACTTGTAGAGCAGGAGAAATCTAATCAAATTGCGATAATATCTCATAAATAAATAAATCTAAACAATAATTTACAAAAAAAAGGGTGGGGGAAATGGAATCTCAGACCCGGTAGGAGAGGATTTATTAGACAAGCAATGTCCTGCCTCACAGCCGATCCTGGTCAGAGATTCCGGAGGTGACTGAGTAGAGAGCAAGTGAAAATATTAGTTGTTAATTAAGCATTAATAGGGGAAGATAATTTCGTGTTTTTCTGCGAGGAACTTAGAAATTAAGACGACCTAAAAGGCGGGAGAATCGATACTGCCGACAATTAGTTTGCGGAGAAACACAACTCCAAGGACAGTCACCCAATTAGTTAGTGAAGAAAGATGTAAGAGGAGTCTGCTTGGGTAGGGTGGCAAACGAAGATTGGGATCCCAGCGTAAGCCCATAAAGATATAAAAGATTAAATATTCACAAAGGATTAACAAAATATTCAAATACAATTAGTTGTTCAAAAAAAGTAGACCCTTAAGTAAATTAATAAAGAACGATTAGTAATTTCATTTCAATTTTCAAGGTCTTAGGTCACTTTAGTATTGAGAGAGGCATTGAGAAGAGCTCGTAGTTCCACAAACTGTTGATTCAGCACTTTCTTTAAAACAACAACAACAATAAATATGCATTTACAAACATGTATAGTAGTATGTGTGTAGATTTGTGTGCTTGACTCTCATCTGAAACTAATTAGGTAAATAAAGCGGCGCCAAGTAGGCATGATTTATTTTTAGACCGAATCAAAACACTTGGTTTGTTTACTTTATTTTTATTATATTTTATTCCATAGTTGACAACAAAATCGGCCCGATCGGATTGTCCACTGGACTTTGGTGCTCTTGAACTGATATTGAATGTCAGGGGAAGCAGACACGCCTTTTCCATGGAAAGTGAGTTAAGCCTGTAAGCCAACTGATTGAAAAGAGTCATTAATTTTTTAGAGGTGCACTTTATTTATGTTTTTTGAAGTTCGTTACAAAACGAAAGATGCAAGTTATTTAACTGGCTTTGGTTTGAATGTTTTAAGAGTGGTTATGGTGGCACCCCAGCTGTAGGTTTTTTTGAAGACGCTGGAAAGAGAAAGAGGGGAAATGTTTTGGGTAACCGGTTGCTCTTTCAAGTCTTGACCAAGTTCGCAAGCCCACCAAATCCATCCGACTTGCACAACCTATTTGGCCAGCAATCAACAAACTGGTTACTCACTTTTCGCGCAGATACTGCAACACTTCCTGCTCGGCACCGGTGAGGCCGTAGAGTGCCGCGTCCAGATTGATTTGCAACTGCCGGCGCGTTGGCATCCCCATCAAGAATGTAGCTGCCCCATTCAGCTGCATGCTGTAGTAGGCAGCCAACTTTCCGAGCTCCACGCCCCTCTGCACGCAGATCTCGGCGGCACGACGGCCTACGCCGAGCAATTCCTCGCTGCCGGGATGCCAGGGCTGTGGTCCTGTATTGGTGAGCAGACCTAAGGCCTGGGCGGAGGCACAGACCACGCCCACATTCAGCTCCCGAAAGGCGTTCATGTGACGGAGCAGTGTGTTGTCCAGCAGAGTGTAGCGGCCATAGGAGAGCACTATGTGGACACGACCTCGAGCCCTTTCCGCACACTCCTTCAACACCTCTACGTCGTAGCCGGTGATGCCAATAAAGCGAGCCTTCTTCGCCTTCACGAACTCCTCGAGCGCCGGTATCGTTTCGTAGAGTACGGTATCCAGACTGTTGGGCACATCCACATCGTGTACTTGCAGCACATCTATATGTTCCAAGCCCAGGAGCTTCAAGCTTCGCTCCACACTCTCACGCGTCTTCTGCGGGCTGTAGTCGAACATGTACCGGAGATCGAGTTCGTAGCGTGCCACCTTGGTGGCTATATAATAGGCCTCACGAGGCACATCCTTCAGGGCGCGTCCGAGCAGCTCCTCCGATTTGCCTTGGCCATAGAAAGGCGCCGTATCTATATAATTAACACCCGACTTAATGGCCTGCTGCACCGTACGTATTCCCTCTTCCACATCAAAGTCTTTGTCGAAAAGTGTGCTCAGGGCCGCACCGCCCAAGGCCAGCTTTGACACCCTCAATCCGGTTTGTCCCAACTTGCGGTATTCCATGCGACGCACCAGTTGCTCATCGTGAAAGCCAAGCACGTAGGTTGGAGGTAATGCACCAGCCATTGTAAAATTCGAATGCTGCTTCGCCAACTAATGGATGCCTATTTATATAGCTTGCAGGTGATGGCTGACAACTGCGACTCTGGAGATTAGGTGTGGATTCTGTTGACTGCATTCGGCCTTATCGCCACTGTGAGCGCAGATGGAAATGGAAATCAAAGTCGCGAGCGCACAAAACTAATTGCAACTGCAGCTCTTCGAGAACAACGGTCAGAAACCGAACCAGGTCGGTCTCTGATTCGAAGTGGCGGAATTCTCTTAAATACCTAAAGGGTCTAAAGTCTCTTTCTTCTGCACCTAATCTATATTTCCAATCGATGAAATCAACAGAAATTCTACAAACAGGGGTGCTCAGCCAGTGTTTCAGAGGCTCAACGACTTTGTTTTGTCAACTAAAAACTTAGTCTAATGGAAGAAAGTGCGGTAATATCGCGATGGATACAATCTCCAAATTGTTAGTAAAACACATATCCCTAGGGTAGACTATTGCTAGTCTATTATGTGTACAAATAGATTGTTGCCTTCTTCAAATAGATGGTAAATTCCGGTAAAAGCAAAAACCATTAAAAAATATTTGGATATCTGGATATAACCTTCATTCAAAATCCTATGCTGCTCAACTCAAAGACATATTCAACTGAAGCGTATCGGAAGAAGATTGTGGAAGCATATGCTGAAATTTGAATTAAGTTCGACGTAGCAATTAGGGACTGTCCTCAACTGCAACAAAAGCTAGCAGAATCTATAAACATAGCTCAACAAACCATTTCCCACCGATCTACGGAAATTGGGGACCTCTTGAACTGAACCCGATTGCACCAGTATTGTAGCTGGCCTTCTAAGGTGGAGTCACTACCTGGAACATCCCAGCCATGCGAAGCGAAAAAATGTTGGAAACCCCACCTCAAGAATGATATTTCTTTCAATGGATGACACATGGCTTCCCCGCTTCCGGTCTTACGAAGAAATCAAAATTCCACACTCCTATCCACATGGTTTGAAAACGCTACCGAAAATATGTAAAAAGTTTTGCTTACAAAGTGCAAAAACTAATAGAGAGGACGTACTTTTATTTATAAACCAAATATTAAACAATTGTAGTCTGTCTGTAGGGATCGGGTACAAGGTACAGTGAAAACTCTATTGGCCGGATATTCACGGTCGGCCAATTTTTTTTCGCCCAATGGGAGTGTCTGCTTAAGAGGATACTTAAATACTTTATACACCGACTGAATGTTTTAAAAAAAGTGTCCGCCGAAGAGAGTGTCCGGATAAAAGAGGTGTCCATTAAAAGAGTTTTCACTGTACTAGGAATCGACTGGACATGGCTCTGTACACGTTATACCCGACGCTCGTTTGTAGTCGCAATTTATTAGGTTCTATGATTTTTTTATTTATCCGAGATTTCTTCTTATTACATTTCGCAATCTACATAAGGCGCTTGAAAACTCATTAATCATATGCGGTTTGAAAAACGCGCTTCGATAAATCGATTTAAAATTAATATAAATATATATCGAGGGAGATAGAGAGAGAGAGAGATGCACACACATATGTATATGTATATATATAATTATAAATAATGCCAATCATATGCAAAGATGTTAGAAGAAGGCATCGAAATCACCATGAGGCTGATAGCCAAGTGGGGCCTGTGGTCGGCGCTGCTGAGGTCTCGGCACTATAATGTCATTAATCTCGTGGACAATACCATTGGTGGCCATCACATCGCATTTAGTAACGCCGGCATTCTCGATCTTGGGACGACGGTCGCGTGTAATGCGCAAATGCTGGCCCGAGATGGATTCGATGGAGCGGACGAAGGGCCAATTGGTGGGTATAATGCCGGCGCAGCAAACCACATCGTTGACAATATGCGATTTAACCAAAGCCTCCACTTCGTCCTTGCTCTGCGCGGTCTTGGACTCGTTCGTCTCGAACTCATCAAAGACATCGTTCTTGGGCACCAAAAGTGTGTAGCTCTCGGACTCGTTAGCCAGCAGGTGCGTGAGGTTTGCATTACGTACCAGCTCCAAGAATTTGCTGTAGTTGGGGTTGGCCTCCAGCGATTTCAAGAGGTTCTGCAAATAGGAATGAGAGGGGTGAGAATATTTAAAACTTCCATCCAAGCTGTAAGAAAACATACGTTCTTTGGTGGGGTCAATGGACGATCCAGTTGATGGAGCACCGAACCGCAGCTCTCATCGTCGAAATGGACCAGGCGGGCGCAATTGACAGTGGCACGGTTCATGACATCGGAGAAGAGGGCATGGGTGGAGTACAGATTCAAGCGGACTTTCGAGCCAGCCACAGTGGGTATCGAGCGCTCGGACAGATCGCAGGTCTTGATCATGGGCTTGATCACGTGATAGTTGAGGAACTCAAGCAAGTCCAGATTGTGATCCAATGTGTCTGGCTGCTCCTTCAGTAGACGTGCCCATTCCGAGTTCTGCAGAGCTTTGTCCGTGGGCGCAAAGATCGTGACGTTGTTCAGATCATCGAACATATCATCATAGCCGGAGGCCTCCAGCAAACTCTTGAAGAGCGTCAAGTTCTTCTGCTCCATCAAGGTGGTCATTGGCAAGGCCGATTGCGTGGGCAGAATCGTGTCAATCACATGCAGCACACCATTGGTACCCATAATGTCGGCATCCAAAATCTTGGCAATATTGTTGATGTAGATCGGCGAATCGCCAGTCAGATTTTCGACCTCGGTTTCGCCTTCAGCCGCGCGCTTAGTGCGATTGAGCAGCAGGGGCTCACCCAACAAGTTGTAGGCTGTGGTCTTCGCACCGGGCACTGTGGCCAGCGAGCAAAAGGTCAGATCGAGCATGTGGTTCTTCAGAATGTCTGCGAGGTAAAGGTAAAGATAAATCACTTTTAAATGTCTTCTCTTTATTATTATTCAGACGGCGCTTACTTGAAGCACAGCCGCGTCCCTCCTTGAGCGCACGTCTCAAGTGTGGTTCCAGTTTATCGAAGGCGGCATCAGTGGGCACGAAAATAGTCACGGGCTTGTCACCCTCCAGCAGGGCACTGATGTTGGTCTTCTCCAGCACGGTTCTCATGATCGACATATCGGCACGCTCCCGGATGATGTCCATAACTGTCTTGCGCAAGGGTTTGAGGACACCGGTCAGTGTGTGGACCAATGCCTGCTCCGATAATTTGTCGTGCTTCTCAATTGGCACACAGTTGGCTCCATAGCGATATGGCTCGAGACCCAAAACCGGCGGCAATTGATAGCTATTGATGCGTATCTTCTGATCGGGCAGCTCAGTCTGCAACAGCTTCTCATTCGGCACATCGTCCAATTGAATTTCTCCGAGGACAGCATGCATTTTATAAATGGCATTCTGAGACTCCTCTGCCTTGGCGTCCTCCACATTCTGGTGTTGGAAAAAAGATTTAAAATATTTTTTAACGCTTGTACTACTAGTAGTTGCATTACTTTGCTGTTGAAGGGATAAGAGTAATTGGGCATATAATTTCTCCAATTGTTCTAAGTAAAGGTTGAATAATGTGGAAACTGGAGAAAACTTTAGGCAGCAATTTTAAGGTAGTAATAATAAAAAACTATTATAATATAGGCTTCTAAGCAACGGATCCGATCTTTAAAATAGTCTCCCAAGAGTTATAAAGTTTATATGTAGGTTAGCGCAGCCGAATTTATTCTATATTTTCAAGCTTAGATACATTATTTCGAACGTATTTAAACGATGGTTGTGTAATGTATTTGGTAAGACCATGTTATAGAAATAAGCAGGTATGTGCTTTAAATATAGTTCAAAGTTGGTTTGAATTGGTTCTCTAGTTTTTGTTTTTATACAGGATTCGAAGAAGGGTAAATTTGTTGTGTTAAAAAGGGTATTATTGTACTTGTACTCGTATGTTGATAGGCATGTTTTCCCTAGATTTCATTTTTCACAACTTTTTTTCCGATAAAAACTAAAGGAAATAAATAAAAAATCGCCTTTTAAATACCAAATAAACTCTTAATTGTATAATTTAGAATATGGAATTAAGATTCGGGTATAGTTCTGCGTTTAAAATTCATATCTTGTACGAAAATTCATATCTTGTTCTTGTATTCTTCAATTGTCTTTGTATTCTCATTATCACTTATTACTCACATTCTCCTGTTGATGCTGAGCGCGATACTCCGCGAATGCCGCATCGTTGGGCACAAAGAGTGTCATCTTCTTATTGGAACCGTTACCCAACATGGAGCCCAGCTGACCGGCGCTCTTGGCGCTCTCAATGAACTGCTTGGCGCCCATGTCAGCAGCTGTTGCCTCAATGTCTTTGATGTCGATCTTCTCACATGGGGTGGTGAAGTCGGCGTTGCGTGGACGTCCATAGCCGCGGCAGCATTGGCGAGTCAGTGTGAGCGTCTTCTTCTTGCCATTTTGATTAATGCTGAAAGAGTGTTGATAAATAATTAACACATCACGCATACGCCGCATGTACACTTATGCAATTTTTCGCCTTCTTTTCTTTTTGCGTCTTGAATCTATTATATAATATTTGTGTAACTCACATTTTTGTGCAGACATGCTTGTTTGGTTTCTCGGCGCAGGAATTTACGCTGAAGTGGAATTGGCCGAAGAGCGGCGAACGCACCACGCTGGTGCCATCACGTTCCTGACCGAATGTGTCGATTGTCTCATCGGCTTCAGTGTCGGTTTCCGTGGTTGTGCCGTTGCTCTCCTCCTTTTCGGTGCACACATTGGGTCTGCGGGGCAAATTGTTTCATGCATTCAGGTTAAAAAGGAAAATTGGATTTTCTATGCTATGCTATTATAAAGTCAGAAAAACTTCTTCCAAAATCAATTATTTTTAAAGAAAAATTAACAGTTAAGACAGAAAATAAGTTTTTTTTTCTTAAAATACTATAAAAAATAGAAAAATATTGTATAGTCAGAAATAAGACTTGGAAAACCAATTATTTTTAAACAAAAATGCACAATTAAGCCATAAGGCCTGTGTAGTTTACTTTTCCTTAAAATTATCTTAAAATACTACAAATTCTGTTCAGAAATAAAGTTAAACATTCTTAAGCGTTAGAAACGTTTTCTTAAAAACTGAATTTCTGCTTAGGATTGCATAGAATGAAAAAATTTTAAAGATAAGTTGCACCTACAACTTGAAGTTTTTCCAAAAAATAGAAAAATATTGTATAGTCAGAAAAAAGCCTTCCAAAATCAATTATTTTTAAAGAAAACTTCACTACTAAGACTTAAGACCTGTGTAGTTTACTTTTTCCTTAAAATTATCTTAAAATACTACAAATTCTGTTCAGAAATAAAGTTAAACATTCTTAAGCGTTGCACGCGTTTTCTTAAAAACTGAATTTCTGCTTAGGCTTACATAGAATGAACAAATATTAAAGATAAGTTGCACATAACTTGAAGTTTTTCCAAATAATAGAACGAGTGACTTTATAGATTTTATTAATACAACTTGTCAGTCCTCGATTCAGGCATAATCAGTCTATATTTGCTTGGTCAGTTCTATATTAATTTCATTAGTTTTCAAAATGTCTCATAAACTACCAGGGTGTTGCCAAGCCCAACAAATACGGACACTGCCTGCCCCTCTCCTCATTTCAGTTATTGTTAAGATGTTGCACAAATATTTTACGAACATGTGAATTAAAAAGTCAATGTACCCTGGCATAGGTACACAGATATATATAGTCTGTATTTATAGTATATGTAGATATACATATATCTATGAATTCTATCAGAGCCAGCCAGTCCGCACAGCCATATACTGAAATGCTTAAAGTATTTATATCAGTGGCATCGGTTTTATTTGCTTTATGAATTGGCAGAGCCATCCAACATAATACTAAGTTATATTGTCTATATTGTTTCTATATATCTGCGAGGCATATAAACATAAACGGCCTAACAACATTGCCGGCCATCAATTCAATTACAGCGCGCGCCTAATTTTTCAACATGGCGTGCACAAAGCGGCATTATTGTTCAGTTGCTTGAAATTTCGCAGCTGTCAGATAACTCAGTACATAAATATACATATGTTTATATGTACTATATACACATATATACGAGTATATATGTATGCATGTACAAGTAGTGTCTATAATGCGAGCTTATTGTCGGGCTTTTCAATTTTTCAATTGCCATGCTGGACTTTCGTTCTCGGTGAGCAAATAAAACAGAAACTCGTTGATTTCACCATTTTGCATTAATAGCAATAATAACAATTTAGAAAACTGCAAGCTGACTCGCGAACATATGTATATACATACGTACATCGCATATATTCCACTATATATTCGTTCAACTGCCATCAAAGCACTCCGTAGCCCCCTACAGATGCATTTCTGCTGTCGTGGCATTTAATTGAGGTCCGCCGGCCGGTTTTGCAAGCTCAGATTTGAATGCACTCGACAAAATATTTTTAAACAAACTTATAGAGAAATATTGTTTTAATGTATAGTTTTGATTTGTTTACCAATTCATTAATTGGTGGCAGGGCTTTAGTATATCTATGGTTTGCATCCAATGAATACGATTTGGTTCTACAATTTGTACCCGAAAACTATACTATTCAGCATAGTATTCTTCTTTATATGTCATACCAAAGATTATGCTTTAATATTTAGGAAATTAAATTGTAGAACTTAATATAAATACATTTAAAAATGTGGTTCATTGATTAATTTTTATTTAAAAAAGATAAATTTATTTATTTTTAAAAGGAAACAAAAATAACAGTTCAAGAGTTCAAAATGTAATTGTTTTAATTTGCTGGTCTGCTAGGCCTTATTATTCCCTCAACATTAGCATTTTCGTGATCGAATTGAAAGAAGAAAGTTAATTTTAAAAGAGGATGTCAAAAAAAGTCAATTCCAATTACAGAGTCAATATTAAGCTATAATTTTCCTTCAATTTTAAAAGAGAATCAATATTACAGCAATAAAATGCAAAATTATGTTTAAAATGCATTGAAAAGTGGCTGGATATAGAAGCCATTCGGACATTTATGTAGTTTTTAGATCGAGTTATTTGTGTTGCATTTTCTATTCCACAGATATGTTTTGAAGTGTAACAATTTCTTAAATGGCACACTTCTAAAAAGCAACCTATAAATAATTGCAAAACCTACAAGCTACTTATAATTGCTTGTCATGCCTGATTTAGGGCTGCAGCATTACATAAACATCTATCGAAGACTCTGAATACAAATACAAATATAGCAACAACAAAAATTATAACTCAATAGCTAAAATGTGCTTGACATTGGGGTCCAATTTATACAGACAAATGCCAAGAACACTGCGGCCAGTCATGTGCGGTGATTAGGAAAAATATATTCAAGTACATACATAGGTATTTGTGTACTTATTCACATGTCCATGTGTGTGCGAGAAGAAGAAGAAGACACAAATTAGCTACCATACTATGAGATTTACTGGCCACTGTCAAGCTTTTTGAGCAGATGTGTTAAATCTTGATCTTTGCCTTCTCGGAACTAATCGTAAATAATAATGAGCGCCATGGAATTTTAATCAGCTCTGTACACAACGAAAAATCATTAAAGATTGCTTCGCTAAAAATAATTAAAATTGTAGACTATCTGAATTGATTTAATTGGCAACTGTTTATAATTTGTTGTGTACAGCTTTTGTTTAAAAATATTTAAGACTTCAAATTCCTTAACTGCTTTGAAAGAGCCTTCAATTCCTGTTTGCATATTCGTGGGAACCATTAGATACGCATTCTTTTTAATACCCCGTTTAAAATTGTAATAAACGAATTGGATAATAAGTTTCTTAGTAATGGAGACTATCATTACTTAAAATACTCTATCTCTATTTTGAAGCACTTAAACAGTAAATGAATCTAAACTTTCTAATATAAAATCTTAAAAATATAAAGCGATCTTTTACTTCTTAGCTATAATTGTACTTACCCCTTCCACCAGGGCTCCTGAGCACCGGGAGCAAAGCCAAAGCCGCCAAAAGAGTTGAAGAACTCATTGCCAAAGAATGGGAAGGATTGTTGGAAGAAGAGGCCAGGATTAGGGGCATTTATATCCGTTGTAATGGCATCGACATCTGGGGAAGTGCCTCAGAGTTTCTATGAGATGCTATGAGCGATTGAGCGGCTATACTTACTGAACGGCTTCGTCTCGAGACCATGTGTGCTGGGCACTGTCTGGGAGGGAGTTCCCGTCGAGGGCTTTGAAGTGGCCACAGGCCGATCCTGACGTCCCTGATGTTCTAGGGGCACGAACTCCGTATCTCCCTCGCTGCTGAAGCTACTGTAGAGTGGCAACAACAATGGCGCATTAGCATGGGCTGATGATCCGGCCAGCTGCGGTGCCAGAGGAGCGGGCGCGGACGCTGGCGGTGGCGCTGGCCAAACGCTAGCGATGCGCCGCGTCGCCGCCTGTGCATGCAGTGGCTCGAGTGGTGGTAGTGGTGCTAATGGAATGGGCGCAAAGAGCGTGCGATGCAGCGGCAATGGGCGGGTTAGGTGTTGCATAAAGCTGTACGGGAATTGTTGTAGTGTTGGGTTAGTGTCGAATAAGTGTTGTGTGGTGTATTTGGTGTGTTGTTCTTGTTGTTGTTGTTGTTGTTGTTCTGTGAGGTGAATTTTCATGCAAATTTCGCGTTCTCAAATATTATTTCAAAACTTTGAACACCATAATTCATATGCTTTCATTGTGCCGCACATAAAAGCAACATTGCCGTGCCATTCCTTATATACACCAAGTATTTGTATAAATTATATATATAGTATATATTCAATTCATGGCTCATTATTTAAAACTTTTTGCGCAGCTCTTGCGCGTTTCGAATATAAATGTGCCTGCATGTGTGCGCCAAGCGGAGCTAACTATACACTCAACGAAAAGAAGCTGTTTCTTAAATTCAGGCAATTGTGGAATATAGTTAACATCATTTCAACTCAATTTTAAATTGTACTATATGGAACTTAAGTCTAAACAGTGTTTTAGAATATTAACGAATTAATTAAAGGATCATTTTCCTAACTAAGCTTGATATTTTATTTGCCTTCAAAAATGTCTTCGACTTTGTAAACCAAGATTTTTCTATTAATACAGGAAGAGACTATTGCTGAGGTTGATTATATCTAAAGCTGTTAATGTATATAACTTCTGGTGTACCTCAAGTTGGCGCTTTACGATCTATTTACACAAGAATCAGTTGCCCACCATTGCAAAACATTAATTAAATATGCATATGTATTTACAAAACAAGTTCAATAAATTATAAAAAGAGACTTAACGCGTGATTCCAAGCCATAGTAGAGGAAAATTTAATATGAAAATGGTTGAACAAAATTGAAATAGAAGAAAGATTTGTAAAATTATGAAACTAATAGAAAATACAATATTAATGTGCATTGAAAGTCTGACAAAACAAAAATAAAACAATTTATAAATACATATAAAGAAATACAAAAAGAGACACATTTTATCTAACAACAATGCTAGATACAAAGCAGAATTAAAGACCTCAAGCAAAAGGAAAAAATTAAGCAAATTAGAACGTGACTCCAAAATCAAATTCCTAAAACTGATAAAGAAAAGTAGTCTACTGTTTCAATTAGCAATTTAGATTTTATTGGCTAATCAATAGTCTGAGATTTTTTTCGCTTTTGTAATTTTTTTATTTTTTTATTTTTGTTTGGCATTTTATTTGTATTATAGGTTTTCTTTGATTATGATTGTTTTAAATTATACTGAATTTTGTTCAGTGCATAATAAAAATCAAATAACAATAAGTTCCTGAGCACTCTAGAGCACTCTTTTTGCAACTTTAAGTGCTGCAGATTGTGACATCAATCAATTGGATTTATGTCAGTCACTGTGGCTGCATGTCGAGTGGATTTCCAAGGCATAAAAATACCAAATTAGCGACATCCATAAAGCCCGAGAATTGTGGGTGCTACAATAAATTTCGAATTGCGTCGCTGCAACGCTTCTCGAGCTGAGCTTCGTGAGTCAGCCATGTGGGACATACTAACAGCTTTCTATTGTCAAAAGCCGTCATAAGGGGCCAAAACTACTCAAAGTTGTTTCTCTTTTGCACTAAAGACTTGGATGCGCAAGCTTGTCGACTCATTAATATGCGAAGCACGGCAGCTAATTAAAAAAAAGACATAATAACGACCAACAAAAAATAAATAAAAAATATTGTGTGTACCTGAAAAGGCGAAACGTAAACAAATTGTGAAGTGGACACAGTCGGTTAGGTTCGAAGCACTTCTGGTAGTTTTTCATTTTTATTTTATGGCCCGTCGCCATTCATGACTCACAGAATAGTAACAGTCAGCGGCACAGACAGACAGACAGACAGACAGACAACCAGCGGTGCTAAATGGAATGTGTACAAAGGCTGAAAAGGCTCAGTCTGTAGACAATATTAACTTATTATTTATGTATGGCTTTATGCGGGCCTGGCAGAGCCGAGTTTTCCGCCACTATATTATGAACATTTTCAAAACTCAAAATTAGTTTTTGCCTCTCTGCTGCTAAGGTAGAAAAGACGCTTTGGGGCATTGGACCTTTGTTGCAAAATCGAGGATTCAACACGAGCGAATGATCGATCGCAGTCATTGGTTTCCAGTATTGAACTCAAAAAAAATCTATTATACTCAATAAATAACTGAATACTCTAAAATGTGAGCATGTACGTTGTTTTGCACGGCCACAACGTCTTAAAGGTTCCATAAAAGCTGCGGCAGAGCCTGAACAATTGACCACTTTAGCGATCTTCATATCGATATCGACAAATAAGTATAAATAAAGACACAATTACAGCTTCGAAAAAGAATTTTGTGAATTTAAACAAATGTTAGGGAATGCGATAGATTTGAATTATATAGTAATGGCGACCATTTGTAACTCAAAACTGAAGCTCAAAGAAACTACATATATTCCGTTTTATAACCTTTTGTTTGAGGAAACTATTTACAGATATACAATAAATATTTGAAATGAAACAGCCGATCGATTGGCATTCACAACAAAACTACTAGGTACAAATTTCAATCTTATAATTTGGCAAACAAGTGATCACTTTTATAAAGTTGGTGCTAATTTCTTGCAGCTGCATAAAACTGCTGTTCACTGATTTTAATGATCAATCACAACTTGACCACTTTTTGGAAAATGTTCAAGCAATCAAGCACAGATCCAATTACTACATATATTACACTAAGAATTTTAAACTGTCTTATAGACCAAACAAAATTACTACAAATGTATAAATTAAACTCTCAGATAAATGGAAATTGCATTACAAGATATCTATATTTAAAAAAAAACGAGTGAACTTCGCATTTTAGTTCAGTAAAGAAATGTCCCTCATTTAATGATACTGACTTGAATTCCAGAAAATACTCCCTCTTTGTAATAATCGGAAAACCAATTCAAGAAATTTATCTTTCTTTGTAATAATCGGTAAAATAGCAAAACGATTTGGAACTATTCGATCGAAATTTAATAAAGAATAGGTTTGTGTGTGATATTCAATATATACAATTCTATAGTATTTCTTCTCCATATATTACCCTTTCGTTAGGGCAACAATAAAATGACTGAATGGACCACGCAGCGCAAATATTATTTGAATAATAATAATTAATTAAAAATTACCTCTAAAAGACAATATACCCCTTGGGTACCCCCCTGATCTTTCATCCGTAAAATAAAGTAGCTGAACGAAAATATTCCAAGGGCAAATGATAAAAAGCTATCTGAATTAAGAGAAGCCCATATATTTTACAGGCGAGCATGTATATGTAGAAGAATGTAAAGTTATGGAAACTTCGAGAGCTTTTTGTTTTGGATACGTGGGCGTTCGTTGAAAATGCATAACGAATGCAAAACTTAACACATTTTAGAAACGTAAACAAAAAAGCGTGTAAATCAAAATAAATTTCACCGTGGTGCGACGAAATTCATTGGCCACTGACAATAAAAAATAGCAACAACAACAACAGAGATACTAATGATGGAGGCGACAAAGCACAGTCACCGGTTGATTTAATTAAAGCGCAGCCGTGCCATATAGTCGGAGGTAGAACCAAATGGATGGATAATGGAGATGAAGCGCAAGCCGTGGGCGGGCTGGCGTGCTGACCCAGTTTGCAGGTACTGGTACTGGTACTGGCTCTACTCTGTTTAACTATTGAGGTACCAAAAACACAGCCAGGCATTAAATTGATAGAGCTGGGAGCCCGCTACCTAAAATTGCACGTAATGACGTGTCAAAAGTCAATTAGTTGGGCACACAGTAAGAAAATGAAAAAAAACCAAAAAAAAAAACCAAAAAAAAAAAACAAAAAACAGTTACTGAAGATTAGGTTTTCATGAAGCGCGACTTAACTTGGCACATCTTCCATGAGCACGACGTCGTGTCGTCGGGCTTCCATGCCGTGATTGCTGTCAGAAATGGTGTCAAAATGGCAGACAGGGCGGCAATTGCAACCGAGTCAGGGCTCCGAAGTTAGCCAACTGTAAAAGGCAGACAAACAGACAGCCAGACAGACAGACACACCGACACGCAATGATATGCATGAATATAATGTATCCTCTTCTTCAATACTCTGCCTACAAGAGTCTCGCAGTGGATCTCTGAATGCCGCTAGAAACAGTATTTTCAAAAATGCCAAATTCTAAATGTTTAAAATTGATAATCTGACCTCATCGAAAATCTGAAAGAGCAATGTGTAGTATTTGAAAAATATGACAAAACTGTTTGAAAATTAAAGTATTTTTGAAACAAGTGTCTATTAGATAACAAAAATGTACACGTTTGAGTCAAAAAAGTGAAGAAAAAGAAATCATTTATCGGGTCTGTTGCCAAATTCGATAAACTTTGCGAAATCAAGTTGAGAAAAAGCTCAAATTATTGCAAATTGAATTGCAAATTAGCGATATTAATGCCATTTCCAAGTAAACCAAAGCTTGTATCAAAAATGAAAATCTTAACATATTTTCAAGTCTAAGTAAATATTTCATTTTGTCGCATGAATATGAAATTCATAATTGAGTTTGAAAAACAAGAATTTGAACCCATTATTCCGTTTCAAGCTCTTTCCAATTTCATTCTACACATTGTACTTAAATGTTTGTAAAGTCGTCTTAAACTATAAATTACAAAAATCACTAAAATAATTCTCAAAACTTTCATAGCATTATACACTGATTAAAATTCTGAACTTGGACAAATACCGTCTTATTTCTGATCATATAAAACGTGAAATGATTTTTAAATACCAACAACTAATAACAATAAAACATTAATCTTATTTTATTTAAGTCCTAATACTGGTGAACAATTCAATTACCTAACGTTGTTCCGATATTTTCAGATATATCAATATATTCATTGATAAGCTTCTACAGAAATATATTTGCTCGCCAGCTAGCCGAAGGGCACCGAGTCGGAGGCGTTAATTAGATATTATTGTAATTTGATTAGATATCTCCTTCTTAGGCTTTTCTAGCTTATAAGATGCTTTTTATAATTTTAATATATTTCCTATGTCGACAGTCAATGTTTGTTGACATAAATAAATAAAAATAAATAAAAAGAAGAGGATTCTACGATGAAGCAAATATTTGTTTCTCATTGTCATCCCGTATTCTATATCTTTCTGCGATTCTCCGACGGAATGACTTGTTTCTTCAGAGAAAAATGAAATAATTTGATGCAGTTTCCCGATTCCACATGAACTAAGCTTGAATTAGTATTGACTTTATTTTCTTGACGCTTTATAGAAGTAATTATAAACAGGTTATCTTGGCTAACTAACGTTGCAATATAGTTGAAAGTTATTTGATTTGAATTTTGAAGCTTTCGACTGTAGACAGGGTATTTAATACTCGACGTGTCTCATGTAGCTCTTCTTACTTATTGCTCGCTTTTTACACCAAACAATCCCGCGGCAAGAAAACAGCATAAAAAGGTTTAGTTCGAGTATCTTACGGATGCGGCGGATGCCCCACTTTAGCTGCGCATTGTTCTCTCAATGCTATGCTGTTGTTGCAATGTCTGTCAGAGGGGAGTGGGGGGCGGAGGGAATGAACTGACTTGAACTGCAGGGTTAAGCACTTTTTGGCGACTTCGTGCTCGCAAGCCTTCGCCGATTTATTTCTCATTTTCTGGCTTTTAATGAAGCCAACATTGAATTCATTTTAATTAGGTTTCAATGCTCTCCCTCTACCTTCTACCCTCTGTCGATCACTTAACAGTTCTGCGGTTTAGAGTTTATCAATTGAGGTCGAAACACAATTTAACTTTCTTTCTGGCTTGTGATTTGTCGGCTTTTTTTTTTTTTGGTTTTTTGTTTTCTTCGTCACTGCTTGCCAAACTTTATTTGCAGTTTCGGTTAGCGGTGCAAAATTTTGTCCCACCAGTCTCGGTAAAATGTGAAAATGAAATTTCACCAAAGGCAAACAAACTCCGAAATGGTTGGGTAAATGTCATTAAAAATATAAGTTGCAGTAGTAAGTTGATTTTTTACGAGCTGTCAACTCCATGAAAAAATGAAGTTGAACGTGTCAATAAGTGCCTAACTGTTTGTAGTTGTTATTGTTTATGGGTTGCAGGCAGGCAGATACTAGGTAGGTTTCTAGATAGATAGATGGGTAGGGCAGGGTAGGGTAGGGAGCTGTTGTGCGCTAGTTTTTGTCTGATTGTTGATTTTGTTGATCGTGTGTGTTTAGGGCGCGGCTGTTAACAAGGTTGTGTTTGTGGGGGCTAGTAGTTCACCTTTTTGCTCGATATTCTGAAGATGTCATGCCGTAAATAGACATGGACTCGGACTCGGATTCAGAATCAGAACGGCTGTAAGGCAATATAGTTGATGCGTAAAAGCAGTTGAGTAATCAAGCAAACTATACATACTTAGGGTTCTTAGAATGTTTATTAAACAACTAAAAAACAGTTTGGAAATTAAGGAGGTTTCTTGATCAAGTAATTCGTTTTAGATATTTATGAAATTTGTGAAATGCATGTTAAATGTGAAACCAAAATGCAAATTGAAACTTTCATGCATCAGGTTAAAAAGTTAATGAAATGTAAGGGAATATTAGCTTCAAGTCCAGTCTACATGTTTTGGGTTTGCCATCAACTTTTCTATTTAATTCCAGTTCCCAGTAACCCTTCAATTGATTTAAATTTGTTTTTTATTTTTTTGCCTTAAGCCAATTTCAAGTTTTGGAAGTGAATGTTAACAGAAAACAAACAACAAAGCAGTGCAAAAAATACATGTATTTACACAGACACATAGAAACAAACTACAATACAATTGTACGTTAAATGAAATATGCATGAAATTCAAAAGCTACAACAAAATGAAAACACAAAATACATACAACAATTCATTGTTCAAATGTTCGTTTTTTTTTCGATGTTTCTCGAATGATTTACAAGTGTAAATGCTGTTCAGTACTTACTCGCCATAGAATGGAACCGCTTGTATGGAGCAGACCAGTAATAGGCACGCCCAGAGGCTCAACATGTCGTTGTTGTTGTTGTTGTATGTATCACAATAATAAAACTAAATAAACTATATGCGGGGAAATAAAATAAACAGAAAGTTATTATATTTGAAACACACGCACACACACACACGTGTATGAATGAAAAATTTCACTACTCCAGCTGAGTGCATTGAACAGCTGAGTGAGTATGGCAAGAAAAATCAAAATACAGGTTTTCCATGCCAGACTGCGCTCCGCTATCTCGGTGTGTGTAGATTGGGAAAACTACATTTTTCCACTGTCTTCACGCGTTAATTACAACGTCAACTTAATAATTATTGTTAATAGTTTCTCAAAACATTTGCTTGCCAAATTGACACACATAGCTGAAGCTACTACTAGTCCATAAAAGTTATTGTTTGCTCCTTCTTTGAGCCACACTTACACACACGAATATAAAATAATTTTCTTCTTTCTTTCTACTTTATTGGTTTTGTGCGCAGCCACCGACGATGTTGTCGCTTCAAGTCACAGTTTAAAACTAACTGCCTCAGAACTCGCGCATGCTGCTATTTATAAGCTGCGCCGGCGCAGCATACGCTGCCGCAGTCGCTGCTTTCGACAAGCAGTGTTTTTTTTAGCAGCAGAACATTTAGTTGCTGCCAGCGGCGTTGCTTTTGTTGATCTCACACATTTTGCAGACAAAAACAAAAATAACAACAGCAGCAACGCAGAAGAAGACGAACAGTAAATGCAAAATTCGTGTACAAAATTGTGAAAGTGCGCACACACTGATAAGTCTGTTTACACTGTGCACCATAACATTGAGTCATGCGCTGGTCACACATTTTAACATTACATACATATGTATGTATGTACATACAGGCATTTGGCATAGAAAATTGATTTTCGCGCATGGCTGAGAGATGATAAAGCACAGTTCTGTTACTTTTGCTGACATAACGGGGGTATTTCTGATTGCTGTTTAAGTTTGGATTTTATCGATCAGCTGCACCATAAAAAACAAACAGTAATGTTAAAACACTCTCACCTCAAATGTTGAAATCAATCACAAATTGATAGCATTTAACAATTTTTATTTTAGTTTTATATCAAACATTTCCCTTTATCTAAAGAGAACTGAACAGGAATACCCTTAATGTATTGGTAAACAGAATTCTGAAGAACTCTCACAGGTAGCCGGCGAACATCTTGTCCACCCACACAATAATTGTCTTTACCTGCCTGTGGCTGAGTTTGTTCCTCAACTGCGCAGCTCTGTACGGTAATTCCCAAACATACAGAAACTCACACTCATTAATCATGACTTTCAATGTTCAAACTTCAATTGTTTACCTTATAGTAACACAACGTTTCAATTGTGCTTCAGGATTTTTAGACGAACATTGTTCGATTTATTGATTTGTCATCAGTCATACATATTATATACATATGTACATACATATGTATTGGTATGGCTGATAACATTGTCGTTTTGCTTTATCAGTTTGATGCTGAAACTGTGCTTCGGTCCGTCGTCAGCTGTTGAACTCAACCCGCAGATAATTGTCTTGCAATATGTTTGTCAACAATGAGACGGAAATTTATTATATAAATAAATTATTGTTGAAAGAAATTACTGGAACTTTTACTCTTCAAAAGTTTCGAACAATTTTACTAAACTATCTGTACATACATATGTATACATTATAGCTTTTTCGCTCGTGCACTTTTCTCCTCAGCTCATATTATTCGGTTTATTAAATATTTATTCATTTAAAGAATTCTGCAGTCTACATTTTCGTTTGCCTTATAACGAATTAGAAGAAAATGAAATGAAACTTTTGAAATTTTTCGAAATTGCATTCACTAATGCATTTTATTTCACAGTCGCCAGACTGCTAAGTGTGCAATAATTGTCAAACGCTGAACTGTTATTTTATTTAATATATGTATTTATTATTTACCATACAATATTTACAATACATAATTAGTTAGTATGGTGCTATATAGATTTGCTGTATGTGTGTATTTCCCACTGATTCTCAAATAAATAACTCACATATTTGGTTTTAAAAATGCATGGGCAGTGCCTTCCATGCGTTAATATTAAATGTTAATTTTGATTTGATAGTAGATATGCATTTAACTAAGTACACATACGTTTCGGGAGCACATACATACATATACATTCATAATTGGGAGCCAAGCTCCAATTAATTAAATTTTTTGCAATTACGATACATTTACATTTACAATATGGGGACGAGGTCTCAAATTGTTTATATTAAGCAACAGAGCAAGGAATATGCATTTAGTAATAGGTCTGTGAGTGTATGCGTGTGTGTGTGTGTGTTTATAAATAATCTCCAGCCCAGCGATTATTTAAAACATTTTCTCGTTGACTAGTTTTTTTTCATTTTTCAAATCTTGTTTCGAGGAACTGCAATTTCCATTTTGTGGCCTTAAAACTGTAGTGTTGAAGAGCTGACGTCATTTATTCGGGTAATGCTGCAAAGTCGCAAAAGTACAGGGTAAAGGTCAAGCGGCCCTTCAATGAGCAAGCTCAAGAACTCACCAGAACGTTTTCCGCGCATGCCCACAAATCCATTTGGCACGCGTTTCTCCTCATAGCCCAGCATGTTGGTTTCCCATGGATAGAACGGCTGCACCAGATAACGCGACTCGGGTGGATAATTAGCATCACTGTCCTCCTCAGCATCCTGCGCCTGCTCGTCGCTTTTCTTACCCCGCACTGCAACAAACTTGCTGTTGAAGTCCGCATACCGCTGCTTCTTGCCACGTGCTTCGTACGCCTTTTTAAACATATTCCGCCACAACTGACATGCATTAGTTTTAGAAAAGTAAAGCACAGCACAATCTAAGCGAGCTTTGATCAACAAGTTTCGGAATCTAACCTAAGGACCTCCTATTGTGTCTAACTTATGCAAAATATATTACAATATAATAATATGAGAAAATATTTAACAACGAATAAAGATAAAGAAAACTTTAACTTGGATGATCCTTGCAGTCGTTAAGGCATTATGTTTGCTTTATGTTGATCAAACCTCGCTTTTGACTCCTTATGAGCAGCTCAATTACCACTTACCTCGTTCAGGGCAGCTCGCTTATAGTGCTGATGCGACACATCCTTCTTGCCACGCACGCCCACAAATGCATTAACGGGCGCTCGTTTCTCCAATTTCTGTAGTGCGCTCTCATCCGCATCTCCGAAGACATCCGCATCCATAAACGTCCGCTTGCCACGCATACCCGTGAACCCGGTGGGGGCACGCTTGACCACCTCACCATTCTCCAGGGCCAGACGCTCCATAATTTCGTGCATCAAATTCTCCCGGAAACGTTGCTCCTCCATGCTCTGCAAGAGCTCGCCCAGGCGACTACTTCCCGGTGTATATTTCTTGCCACGCACGCCCACAAAGGCCAAGGGCGCTTTCTTGAAGCGACCGTTCTCTAAATAGTAATTGTCGTCGGCATAGTCTAGCGACATCGGATCGAGTTGTTGCTGCCAATTGATGTTGTTGTTGTTGCTGCTGCCGCTGCTATCATCATCCTCTGCCTGCAAATCTTTCTTCCCACGCATGCCTATAAAACTGGAGGTGGGGGCACGCTTCACCAGCTTCCTAAGCGGCTGCGGCTCCATAGCTTCCACTTCCGCTGCTGCTTCTGTGGGCTTAACAGTGGGGGCAACAGCAAAGTCGCCCTCAACAGTGCCTGTGTAGGCTGTTAACAGTAACAACAGCATTAACAGCATGCTGCCCGCTGTTGTAAGAGCTTGGTGCCTGTTATGCATTTGTATTCTCTGGAATTGTTGTGTTGCGTGCTTTTAGGCGGGCTTTGCAATTTCCAAACGCTGCGAAAGGCAATAAAGGAAATGTAAATGAATGAATAAGTGGGGAACCCTTTCGTTTGCTTTTTTATGCTGCACTTATCTACATATATGTGTATATGTTATTCAAATCCGCTGCGCCACACACTTGACCTTTATTTCTACAAGTGTAATGGAGCACAAACATTTGAGAGGGCTGCCTACTTATTTGGTTGGGTGGTTGGTGAATGGAAACTGTACAAGTGTCCTTCTTTGCGACTAAAACTAAAATACATATTCGTGCATGCACCCAAAAAAAGAAATGAATATTAGAAATATTGCTGCTCATAATCTGTAGAACAAATATTCGAATGGTTTCTTCTCGACTTCGTTATTTAACAATTTGAAGAAACTTTCTTTAAGAAAGTAAACAGATGGTATGTAAAGAGAATAATAATTGCCTATTAATATAATGATGGTTCGTTTGAAATCAAATAACATAAAAATATAATAATAAATCAAAAACATCAGCACCTACAAAAATAGCATCAAAATTAATATGCCCCAAAAGCTGACTATGTATTGATCATTTTAACTTGTCTGTCTCTCTAGCTTAAGTGGATTTATTATAATTAAATCCATTCACAATATATTCGTCATGTTTAAAAACATCTTTCAAATCGAATTGTGTAATGAAAAGAGCGAAAATTTATCACATTTCACTTAAAATGGTTACATGGTTGAAAATTAAAATTGTACACGCACGTTTTATTTTGAATATCAAAAATATTAGCAATTAGATGGTAAGCTAAGAGCGGAGAGGATAATGCTTGCTTCATCATTGCTTTGTTGAGAAAATATTTCAATCTGTATTTTTTAATCAGCCATCTACTACTTATGGCAAAGCACATAGGCAGCACCATCGCCTTTGATTATGGTTTGCCGAACTGAAATTCCGAAAACCCTTCTCAAGTTCATTTCCTGCCACTGCGAGAAGTCCCAATCCCTGTTGTTATATTCTACAATGCATTGCCTGTTTACAAGGTCATAACCGAACTAGAATTTTGTTACATTCTGGCTGCTTGTGCTCTAAAAATACTTTTATAACCTTTTGTAGCATATCTTAAATTTAGAAAAACATATCAATTTTCATTGTAATTCTATTTTTAAACAACCAAGCGAATCCCAATCCCTGTTGTTATATTCTACAACATTTATTCTACAATACATTGCCTTTAACAAGGTCATAACCGAACTAGAATTTTGTTACACAATTGGTTCACACTTAACCAGTATTTCCTGAAACAAATACATTCTGGCTGCTTGTGCTCTAAAAATACTCTTATAACCTTTTCTAGCATATCTTAAATTTAGAAAAAATATCAATTTTTATTGTAGTTATATTTTTAAACAACCTTAGCGTCCGTATTTTATCAGTATATGCTTCTAGTGTTGAGGGAAAATGCGATTTTGCATTGCAAAACATAATATTTCTCAAAATTCGGATTGATTTGCTGTCAAATGAATCTAGTGTTTTTCGATTTTAAACAGAAAGATTATTAACAAATACTGTGAAATGAGCTGATAATTTCTAGAAATCTACTCAAATATTTACGCGTATGAACTGGGAACTTTCAGCTTTTATTTGAAGCGTACTTTATGTTTTCAATATCCAAGATAATCAACTTTATTCAAGCAAGGCCTACACTTACTGATATTTATGGTAAGCCCAGATGCGAGATGCTTTACGTGATCATCAAATTACAGTGAAAGCTCCCTTAATGGACACCTTTTTTATCCGGACACTTTATCTAAAACATTCGATCGGTTATAAAGTATTTAAGTATCCCCTTAAACGGACTCTCCCCTCTTGCGAACAAAAATTGGCCGACCGTGAGTTTCCAGCCAAGAGAGTTTTTACTGTATATATGTATAAATGGACATTGGGATTTGTCCTATGTTGCAAATGTAAATCAATAAAATAAAGTGTATTTTTTATTTTCACTTTTCTATTGATTAAACCAAAAATCATTCAAATCGGAGATTGGGGCCAAACGAAGGGTTAATATAAATGCAGTAGCTTCTTAAAAAGTTTATACATTATTTTTTAAACACCCTTTTTTTTAGATGATACTCCAATGTCAAAGCAAAGACGCCAATATAGTCAGACAAAATTTTTCCAACAGCTATGTAAACAATTTATTGTTTTAGATGCACGAGGTACATATTCTAAACAAACCTGCCCGCTCCACTACTGCTCCAGTTAGCTTTCAACATGCTTGTTAAGCAGAATAAGAATTGTCATGCAAATGTGGCACTCGCTGGCTGTCTGGCTGTCTGGCTTTTGACTGCCTGGGTGGCTTGTTGGCTCGTTGGGTCGTTGGTTGTGCGACTGCCTTGGGCGTCCACGACTACGACGTTCTTCTTGATAAGCCCGGCGAATGGTGTCAGACTAATGCGGCTGTGGCGCACTCCTAAGAGCAATAACGCTAACGATGCAGCGCCAAATGCCATCACAGGAAGCAGCAAACATGTAATTCAATTGATTGCAATGCCGCAAGCCAACAAGTTAGCATAACGAGTGCAGTGGAGGGGGAGGGAGAGGAAGCTTGGGTGCAAATGAAAGAACTTACTAGGCTAAATATATCTATAGATAAAATATGACAATTGGATTGCTTGCCGTTCAATTGAATTGCAGCTGCACTTGCTGCTTCCGTTCCAATCAACAGGTTAAAGCTAAAGATTAAGTACAAGTAAAGCCATTTTTGAAAGTTATTTTAAGTTGCTTTCAATTAATGTTTAAGAGAATTTCGCATTACTATTTTAGCCACAACGAACACATTTTCAGCTTGAAAATTGAAAGTGTATTCAGCGTGCTTTTTAAGCTGTATTGGCTGCTAGTTTCCAGCTTTGTTTCAAGTGTCTAACACATGGAAAGTTGGAAAGTTCCGTTAAATACAAATCAAAATGGCCAACTATCGGGCAAGTTGACAATCAGTGAAATGTCAAACTGAAAACTACAAACTACTGAGCGTTAAATCCGTTGCAAGTCAGAGCATAAAGTTTCTTGCTTTGGCAAAATTAGCACAGGAAAATCAAAAGCTTCCGGTTGAGAGTGACGAGGGGAGTGCAACAATGTCATGTGGTAGTTGGCCAAAAGGCTAAGCCCATTCACAGCCAAGCACACGCATGCAGTCAACTGTCTAAGCTCTTAATGTGACGCACACGGCGTATGCGTAATATACCCGTATGTAGTCGCTGCCTACATTCCGCATACGCCCCGTGCCGGGCTCAGCTGTTAATTTGTTTGCGTATGAAGTAGTGGCACACAGTACATGTGTGTTTAATTGTGTATGTATGTGTGGGCCTACATCCCTGTGGACACTTTAAAATGCCAACAGCGTCCAAACATTAAAGATGTGTCGCCGAAACTGACGTGCGAGTTTTTGCATTTCAGCCTTTGGCAGCCAACACACACGGAGCCCAGTCAGCCAGCCGCTTACTACGTGCTTTAGCTACACATGTGTGTGTGTGTGTTCGGGGGGTTAATAAAAGCCCATTAGCCTAGCTGTTTTGGGTCCACATGTGACCCATGCCCCACATGGACAAAGAAAAATAATACAGACGAAGGAACCAACCGACATACGACAAAATGCAAAAGAAATTAATAATAAAACAACAAAATAGAAAATTCACTTTTTCGCCTCCGACCAGGAATAAAAGAGCACAAAAATCTCAAACTGAATGCCTGAGGCGTGCATTTTGTTTTGCCTCCCATCCCTCCTCCTCTCCTACCCTCCTCCAGTTACAACAATTTGTATTTTTCCGCCTCACTCCAAAACAAACAAACAAATGAAAATGGAACGTGTTGAAGCAACAGTTTATGCATAAAAGATGAGAGATAAGTATGTGACAGAGAAATAGAGAGAGAGAGAGAGAGAGAGCGAGAGCGAGTCTGTGTTGGCAAAAGTTTTGGAATGGAACGTGTTATGCTGCTGGCGTGACTGTACTTTTTAGTATGTCGCATGTGTACGAATTTTAAATGGATTTTTATTGCATTTCCGCCGCCGAAATGTCAAATTCGAATTGTCAGTTGGAAAAAAGTTCAAAGTTCAATAAGTTTCGGCGGCTCATTTAAGTGTTACTTTTATCAAATAAATATAGAGTCTGCATCTAAGAAGTTATACCTTCAAAAGCAGTGATATAACGGTACAGTATATATTCAAACTGTACTGTTGTTTGAGCAATAATTACATTTTTGATCTAATTGTTGGGTTTATTGCTATAACTAAACATTTCTGTTAAGTTTTTAAGGTACACACATTTTTGTGTAATAACATTTTTATCTAAGCAGTATGATTTAAGTATAAAACTGAATTAGTAGTAAGTTATGAAATAATCATGTTGTTGGTCGTTTCTATTCTTAGCGTCTGCATTATCATCAATTATTAAAGTGAAACCTTGTTTTCAGTCGCTAATTATTAATTAAACTTGTGTTGCCATTCAAAATTTTGCAAATCTTATCAGAAAAGGCAGATGTTAGGGAATGAGACGAAGTCTGCATCAAAAAGTGATAAGCAATTTCACTCTCCTGGCCACCAGTTTGTGAATCTGTAGAGCGTAAAGCAAACATTTTGCAGATACCTAGCGGTCTGGTATAGTTTATATACCCTAATCGTTCACATGGGTGTTTAGTTCACTCAAAATTTAATCAACGCCTTTCGAAAAATAAATAAATCATATATAAACACACAAACAATATTTTGAATGTTTTACACGTAGACAGAACTTACGTGACGTAGACGCGTGAAAGCATTTTAAGTTTAGAGAGGTAATTAGTATTATTGTTAGCGTTGTTGCAGCTTTGCCTCAATTCTGTACTGCACACATGCACAGACACGCACATAAATAAAATTTAGACGCAATTCGGCTGTCAATTGATTGATGCTAAGCATAAACATATGTGGCACAATTAAAGTAAATTAATTAAATTTCGAAATTTAAATTTGGCACACTTTTCATATTTATTTATTTTTGTAATCAATTATGTCGCCATAGCTGCCAACAATATTAAATTTTCAGCCTAATACAGTCCTATTCAGCTCATATACTCGTATGCCTATATCTTATATCTTCCCCAAGTCGTAACAATTTCCAATTATCCGCCATGTGTGTTGCTGAATGAAATGTAATTAAAAATTACATTAATTTAGGTGAAGTAAAGAAGAAACAAAAAAATCACGACGAATCACAAAAGTATGCGACAGCGTAGGAAAATGTCAAATTTGTAGCTTTTCTTTCGTTTGCGGGAATTTTGAGCTCGTTATACATTTTACTTGTTTGGCTTCCAGCTGTCGACTACAATGTCGTCGCTTTTCTTTTGTTGTTAGGAGAGGTCGGTTCTTGATGCCCGGTTCTTGTTTTGTGATAAGGGCAAAGAGCAAAACGTGGTTTCCCAAGCGTAAAATTTAGCACGACGAAGTTGGAGAAACTTAAATTCGTTGTGGACCATCATACCGTACCCTTACATCCGGTATTAGATGTATGTCTGTCTGCCCGCCTGTATAAACGAAGGGATCGCAGTAAGTACCAGAGCTATAATAAACAAACTTGGCATCCAAATTCTATATTTTAGTGTTGAGATTCAAAGCGCTGCTACAGAGCTGGAAAGCGCCTATTTCTGAGAGTTAAATCATTTCAAAATTCAACTATTAATTTCCTAAAATATGCAAAGTCTTATTGGACTGAATTCTAAAATATTGATTGAAATTAAAATTGTATATTGTATCGTTCAAGATTCGAACCCGCTGGTGCAGAGCTGGAAAGACGCCTACTTGTGAGAGTTAAATAATTTTCAATATTCAACTGTCTATTAATTTTCTTAAATATGCAAATTCTTATTGAACTGAATTCGCAAATATCGATTGATTGCGTGATTGAATGTTTGCTTGCGTGTGATCGCTGTTGCCAGCAATGTTGCATGCAATGGAGAATGTTTGGCGATCGTCAACATGTTGCACTTTCTCAATTCCAGTGCATTTTTTCCCACTCTAAGCGCTCTCATGCCGCTTATCAGCGATATGATTTACACACATATATGCTATATAGAAGCCCGTACTCAGTGCGACGCTTTCAGTTGAGGTTCGTCTTTCAAGCGGAACACACGCTCGTCTCTCAAGTTCCGCCGATCGCATACGCACGAATCGTACCGAACGCGTTGTGCCACAGAATCCCGAAAGAACCCATAATTATAAAGAATCAAAGGGGCAAGTGCTTGAATTATTGAATACATGCTGTGATGTACAATTGATTGAGCTTCAATTATATAGAATGTGTGTATCTGTGTGTGTGTTTGTGTGTATATGTGTGAGTTGTGATCATATTTCAGTTTTCGTTATTCTGACTGCCTTGGGACTTACAAAAGAATCGCCGACAGCTTTTCTGACCTTTCGTGGAAAAAAATTACCAGTAGCTGTTTAGCTGACAAATCAGTTGCGGCCGCCGTCTCAATTTCTATAGCTGTGTACATGCATATATACTTGTACCTATATATTTGTACAATCATTAGCAGAACAGCAAAAACTGTTATGCCAAAACAAAAGATGCAACTTTCTCGCTGCGGCTTCATTGTCTCCCCATGTACTCGTAGTATCGCATGCCGAGTTATTGTTTTTGTTATTATTGTATGTAGTTGTTGTTGTTGTTGCATTCTATGTGCCCCACTCTGCGGTGGTCTGAGCTCCATTCTCGCGGTTCTATGTAAAATAATTGAATTGGGTCAAACACTTAAAGTACTTTCAGCCCAGTGTGCTGGTGCCATGGCCCCCATTTTTCCTTCTTTTTGTTTGTACTTTTTATATTACTTTGTGGTGCCGAGTTTCATTCTGTTCTAATTGTTGTTGTTACTGTTGTTGTTCTACCGATATCGATGCATAACATTTGTTTAAGTAGCTGTATTTTAATGTCGCCAACTAAATTTGGAGAACAGAACGCATTAATGAGTGTTCATGTGTGTGTTACACACAAGTTCAGGGCCAGGGGATTCACAGATCATTTGATTCAGTCAATTAAGTTAATGTATTGCGTGAACTTAAATATGTACATATGTACTTACATATGCTATATGTATGTACATAAAAATACATATCTACATACGTATTAAAAAGAATTAAATGAATCATTACATTAAATGAATCAGTACACAATTTGTAAACAGTGCAGCGCAAGTTTATGTTTTGATAATTATACATTTAGCTATTGAACCATTAAAAGATTATTCTAAACAGCAAACATATTCAAAAATGTTTCCAATTAATCAAATTAAATGTCTGTGCATTAAATACTATATATGTAGTACAATAAGTGTTAAAGAGAATTAAATGATTATTATCGTACAAAATTTGTAAACGGTGCAGCGGAAGTTAACATTTGAAAAACAATATATATATGTGCTATTATTTGTATTTATTTATTTAACAATTAAAACATTTTTATAAACACCGAAGTACAGTAACATTTTTAAAAAGGATTTCATTCAATCCACTGTCTAAAGCAGAATTAAATTAAGGACTAAACATAAATCGAGTTTAAAATATAAAATTATAAGAAATATAAAACTTAGAAATTTACGTAGTCCGCTAAGCTAAGAAGACAAGAAAAGAAACAAACATTCGACCTAATTTCCAGTAATACTTGTATATACATATATATATATGTTCATAATTTGTTGTCTAACGACTTGTTCTTAACTCCATAATTATATTTATATTAATTTTTTTCATAAATATATCTTTCTTATTGACTTGATTTTCAATACTTTGGCTTATGTTTGCCATTATTTTAGACATCTGCCTTTGACAATTCTCTTGGTGAGATAATATTTTTGAGTATGAGGATATCTTAGGAAATTCTGGTATTTATGGAATTTTGTTAAGTACCTTATCACAATCGGGAGTTTCATCAAAATCAAAATCAAGCTCAGTAACAAAACATATGTTTTGTCTCTGAACAATTTTGGTTTTTATGAGTTTTCAATAATACTTCACCATAACAGACGAATCGAATTTTCGGTATTTTGGACATTGGCTGAACACTAATCGTCCGAATCCTCGAGGTTTTATTAATATTTAACTTATGATCAGTGACAAGTGAAATAAATCCGTTTCTACTAACCACAAATAAAAAATAGGCGTGGTTTAGTGGACGGACAAAAAACAATTAACGGCGAAGCATTGCAAAGTTGCAGATAAGTTAAGAGACAGACTAACTAATTAACACTTGACTACATAAAAGAGAAGATTTTACAATGGGTCGATAAAAGGTAACTTAGATAAATGAGTTAGCTTCAAAGATAGTTCAAGAATATTGGAGAACAAATCGGGTTCAGCAAGCGAAGTATCAAAATTGAACAATAATGATAACAAAGGCGGCTAAAGAGGCGAAAAAAAATCATTTTTATAAATAAGTTATATGCCAACATATATGTGTTTCTTTAAATTATAAGCTGAGTAGCTGATCCTTTTGGAGACAATGCAATCTAGACAGTAATCAATTATCAATCTTTAACAACAGATAAAATAGATGTTTCAAATGATTCTGAAATCTCTTTGGTGGCACTTTATCAGAAATCAAAGTGTTAAAAATGTTGTGGAAGTATTATTCATGAATGAATATTAATGAATTATTTTATGTCGATATATTCCGAAAAAGACAAACTAAACATGTTCAAATTTAAGCAATTGTCACAATTTTTACTCAAATAATATGATGCGCCAACCCGTATGTTTTTTTTTTATATAAATATTTCAATAAATACAATAAATACACAAAAATAGTTAATTGGCTTTAACCAATGAAATGATATTTGTAGAAATTAACCGAAATAGTCACCATTTGACAATCATATTTAATTAATGATGGATAGCAATAAATTGTAATGGCGTTTCGCATTTCAAATCATATTCACGTAGCAAAAAGTCAGATAAGAAAACAGACATATGTACATGTACTATGTAATCGTATGTATGTGTGTTGCCGTAATTGTTGCTCGTACTTTGATTTCGCACAGCTGTGGATAAGCTGGCAACTTAATTGAAAACAAACAACGGGAAAATACATAAACATTAATGCGCTGGACCTGCAACTGGAAATTCGGCCACAAAAAGAAACGTTTTATAAACAATCAGCAATCATAATGCTTAATATTTTGAGCATTTGACCAATCAGGCGTGTGAATAAACTGCTCAAAATTGTAAGCAGACCTGAAACCAAACAAAAATTAATTTGTCAACGAATTCGAAACGACGCACGTGCCAGATACACACACACATATACAAACAGACAAGAGACACAATCCCAGCCACAGCCACAATTGAGCCCTGAACTTGAATTAATAATGCATGTCAAGTGCTGATATCAGATTCAGCAGCTAATCTCAACGCAGCTCGCAGTTCCTAGGAAGCAGTGTCGTCTGCGGCTTCGTTTGCAACCGGAAACATTTGTGCAAAAAAATTCAATTGGTTGCACAAAAGTTTCTAAAGAGCTAGCGCCAAATGCAATTAACATTTAATGTTCTGTTTAGCATTTGCAGTCTGTTCTGTTTCCTTAACAGCACTGCTCATAAATATTTCGTTCTCTCGCTAACAGTGCTTCTTAACATAGTGTTTGCTTAACAGCACGCCAAATGCAATATGCTCCATTTTGTGTTCTGCTTACTCGAGAACGATCACTTTCTTATGGATGGGCAACCATTGCGCTTTATTGCCGGCTCCTGTCACTATTCCTTTCACTCTCAGTTCTGCTTTCCCTCTCAGTTTTGCTTTCGTCACAGCACTGCTTATAAATATTTCGTTCTCTTGTTGCGCTAACAGTGCTTCTTAACATAGTGTTTGCTTAACAGCACGCCAAATGCAATATGCTCCATTTTGTGTTCTGCTTACTCGAGAACGATCACTTTCTTATGGATGGGCAACCATTGCGCTGTATTGCCGGTTCCTGTCACTATTCCTTTCACTCTCAGTTCTGCTTTCCCTCTCAGTTTTGTTTCGTAACACCACTGCTTATAAATATTTCGTTCTCTTGTTGCGTTAACAGTGCTTCTTGGCAAATTTTAACATTCTGGTTTCTTAACAGCAAGAGCCATGCAGTTGCCGCTCTGCTTACTCGCCCTCTGCGCCGCTGTTGTGTGTGTGAGTGCCAATCGCACGTTTGTTGTGGATTACGAAAACGATCGCTTTCTCAAGGATGGCCAGCCTTTCCGCTTTATTGCCGGCTCCTTTCACTATTTTCGTGCTCATCCGGACACTTGGCAAAAACATTTGAGGACTATGCGAGCAGCTGGCCTGAATGCCGTGACCACGTAAGTCAATATAAATGCGACTAAAGTTTTGGTCCTAAAAGCAAATATTTTGCACACAAATTTGTGTAGTCTTATAGTGATGCCATTAAGGTATTGCTGCTTCAATCAATTTCAATTAAAATTCAAAATTAGACATGAAAATTACATGAAGAGTATCGTCGCGTCAAAATTTGACATAATCGTATAAGGTTTTTCGCTATCTAGTTACGTGGAGTGGTCGCTGCACAATCCGCGAGATGGGGCCTATGTCTGGAGGGGCATTGCCGATCTGGAACGTTTTATACGCCTAGCTGTGGCCGAGGACTTGCTGGTCATATTACGACCTGGACCGTACATTTGTGCGGAGCGCGACATGGGTGGCTTCCCCTACTGGCTACTCACCAAGTACCCCAACATTCGCTTACGCACTGCGGACATTGGTAAGAGAGCGCTTGAGGATGCCTTGATGGAAACTACTATTTAAATCAAATGGTTTCCTAGACTATCTCAATGAAGTGCGCATTTGGTACAGCGTGCTCTTCGCCCACATCTCCCAATATCTGTACGGCAATGGCGGTCCGATTATAATGGTACAGGTGGAGAACGAGTATGGCTCGTATTCTGCCTGCGATGGCAATTATCGCACCTGGCTGCGTGACGAGACCCAAAGCCATGTCAAAGACAAAGCCGTGCTCTTCACCAATGATGGGCCGAGTGTCTTACGTTGTGGCAAAATTCCCGGCGTGCTCGCCACCTTAGACTTTGGAGCTACCAGAGACTTGAGCAATACATGGCAGCGTCTGCGCCGCTTCCAACCCAACGGACCTCTCGTGAATGCGGAATACTATCCCGGCTGGTTGACACACTGGACAGAGCCCATGGCCAATGTGAGCACAAATGGAATTATAGGAACATTCATGTAAGTGATCGGCAGAGGCAATAAAATAGGCAGGAAAGTAGGGCTGAGATATGAATGATATAGGGCTGACAAGAATTTAAAGCAAAACAGTGGGATGAAGATTTCTAGTTACCCATTACTAGAAGAAATGAGTGAGGAGGATGGGAGACAGACGAAGCTCCTTCCACAGTAGTTTTGTAAAGGGTATAAGTAGCAGAAGTAAAAGGAGGAAGTGAACATTTGAAGTGATAGTAGACAGGATATCTCCTTGCACAACAGTCTTCCTAGAAGTTGTGAGGTGTGGTATTGAAGACATGGAAGTAGAAGTAATCCTTGAAGACCAATTCTCAAAATACAGTTCTTAATCGACAATTAAAACAGGATGTAGGTTTGGAGCTACCCTTGGCTAGAAGAAATGAGTGAGGAACATGGAAGGCAGACGAAACTCCTTCCACAGTAGTTTTCCTATGAGGTATAAGGAGCAGAAGTGCAAGTAAAAGGAAGAATGGAAAATTTGAGTGAGAGTAGTCAGGACATCTCCTTGCACAATAGTCTTCCTAGAAGTTGTGAGGAGTGGTATTGAAGACATGGAAGTAGAAGTAATCCTTGAAGACCAATTCTCAAAATACAGTTCTTAATCGACAATTAAAACAGGATGTAGGTTTGGAGCTACCCTTGGCTAGAAGAAATGAGTGAGGAACATGGAAGACAGACGAAGCTTCTTCCACAGCAGTTTTTTAGGAGGTATAAGTAGCAGAAGTACAAGTAAAAGGAAGAATGAAAAATTTGAAGTGAGAGTAGTCAGGACGTCTCCTTGCACAACAGTCTTCCTAGAAGTTGTGAGGAGTGCTATTGAAGACATGGAAGTAGAAGTAATCCTTGAAGACCAATTCTCAAAATAATTTCCTAATCGACAATTATTTTTTTTTAGCAATATGCTGGACAGTGGTGCTAGCGTCAATCTTTATATGTTCTTTGGCGGCACAAATTTTGGCTTCACTGCCGGCGCTAATGAGAACGGGCCTGGCAATTACTTGGCTGATATTACGTCGTACGACTACGATGCACCCATGACGGAGGCGGGCGATGTTACGTCCAAATATCAAACGCTACGCAGCATAATCGGTCGCTATATTCCGCTGCCGGATGTGCCAGTGCCCCAACCATCGCCCAAGCGAGCCTACGGAATCGTGCGCCTGACCAGCTGCTGCAGCCTGCTCTCCCCGGAGGGACGCCAGATCCTTGCTACGGGTGTAGTGCGTGCAACCAGACCGAAGACCTTCGAGGCATTAAACCAGTACTCGGGTCTGGTGCTCTACGAAACGTGGCTGCCACGTTTCAAGCGGGATCCCAGCATTCTGCATGTGCCTGGTTTGGCGGATAGGGCCTACGTCTATGTCGACAATGAATTGGTGGGGATTTTGGCGCGGGAAACGCCCATCTTCGATCTGCCATTGAGTGCCAGTGCGGGTAGCTTGTTGCAGCTGCTGGTGGAGAATCAGGGCAGAATCAACTATGGACAGCAGATTAATGACTTCAAGGGTCTGACGCAGGACGTGACGCTAGATAAGAAGGTTCTGAATAACTGGAACATGACCAAATACCCGCTGGAAAGTGTTGAGGATCTGCTGCAGCTCGTAGCGCAGTCCAATGCGCCGGAGGCAGATGCAGCCCAGGAAGACATTCAGAATCTGAAACTGCCACGTAAGCTGTTGCGCTCTGGTCCCGCCATCTACGCATCCATATTGAGAATCAACAGTGAGCAAGAGCTGGCAGACACCTATCTGGACATGTCGGGCTGGGGCAAGGGTGTGGTCTTCATAAATGGCGAGAATCTGGGCCGCTATTGGCCATTGGTGGGTCCTCAAGTCACGCTCTTTGTGCCCGCCCCCGTACTTAAGGTTGGGAACAATCGCCTGATAGTTGTAGAGTATCAACAGGCGCCCATCACCCAGCAACTGGTGTTTCGGGATAAGCCCATTCTGAATGCCAGATCCTAAAGAAACTGCAGCAACCAGAACTAATCCTATCTAATCTAATCTGTAATTTGTAATGAATGTTGTGCAAAATCCGTGGCAGCTTAAGCTTTGGGTAGCAACAATAAATGAAGTTCAGCCTTTTTTATTCATATGTATATTTTTAGCTTTCACACTGGTGTGTCGACAGGCTCATTAGGAGACAGCAAAGGACACTCACATCTGTGTAAATTCTGGGTGTACACAGATTTAAGCTTTATGCCCCCGCCTCGGCCGCCTGCAAAGTGACGCCTTGGTTTGTCAAGCAAATTAATCCCCAATGATTGAATCCACAAAAACTGTGATTAAGTCAGTCAACCAACAACAACTTGCCACGCTTGCTGCCACAACGCTTTTACGGCCAAAGTTTATTTTTACGGCCAAATCTCTGTGTGTGTGTGTGTTTGGGGCACTTTTTAAAAGAACACAGTGGCTAGCGCTGAAATTTTGTTTGCGAAAAAAGAGAAGCAACAAGTGTTTTATTAATAGACATCGGATATTAGTGCTCAAAATATAACTAAATATTGACATATGTACTTTTCCTGCTAAACTTAAAATGGTCTTCTTTTTTATGCAAGGGAAAATAAATAATAATAGAACTATTTGCCTGTAATTTTTTCGTGAAGTTCGATTAATAATTCACTTTATAATTTATAAAATAAAATGGAAGAAGTCAGTCTATGGAATTAAGGAAAACAAATATAATTGAGCATAATTGATTGCAATCAATAAAGTGATGTCGAAATTGACAAAACTTATACAAAACGAATGGTTACGGCGTCACTTGCTTCTCTACAGTTATTGCCAATAAAGAAAACTCGCGATCTTTCTTGAAAAAACACCTCTTTTGTAAATCGTACTGTTCTATATTATATTTCTCTTCTGTGATGCTATCCATATCAATATTTTCTCCCATTTTCTTCCTTTCCAGCAATGGGCGTGCGATTTCGAGAGGTCTTTTATAGAACTTCACAGCAATAAAATGTTATAATATTATAAAAATAAAACTGAACAATTCCTATAAAATGTATAAACTATAGTATGTAAGGCGAAAAATGTTTTGTGAGATATTTGCATCCATATTTCCGTATTTTTTCAGGAGGAAAACATTTCATCTACAGACTCTAAAAATTATAGTATTTCATCTAACTTTTAGCGATTTCGGTACCCAATTATTTAGCCTAGCTGTTATCACCATAATTAAAATGTTTATTTCGTTTATTGTATGGTGATTTGTAAAGGACGTGAATCTATCGATTCGCTGAACACACAATAGTTGTACCTAATAAATGGGTGCTACTAGGCCTACTTTTGCCTGTGCTTAGTTTTCTCATACAATATGTCCCTTTACCCTCCGGGTACAGAGTATAAAAATAAAGAAATTATTGATCCTAATTAAGAAATTCAAAAACTTTACATTTCAAATCTATAGATGCCAACATAAAGATTGTTTAACTTAAGCCACAAATTGCCGTCGTCTGTCGAAAGATAGCCACTGTGCCTAGTTACTTACTGAAATTGTAAGTTAAATAACACTTCAGCCCCACTGATGTCAAAATAATTCTCAAAATGCCAAAGCTGTAAAAGACGTGAAAGTGTCCTGCACCGGTTCGGTCTTTCGCTCTTGGCTTGGCTTGGCACTCGGCCAAATAGCTCCCAACTTGCACATCACAGTGTTTTTCCTCCTGTTGTTGTTGTTATTCTTTTAGCTCTCCAGTCGCGCCGTTGTTGTTTTTTTTACAATGTGCTCCGTAATGAGCCTACAACTTGTCCAGCCCCTTTAATTAGTATATAAAACCCAGTCAACATTTTTAAAAAAGAAGCATCTTTTGCGTTTATTTCCAGGTGTGACTTCTGGTGATTTTTCTATCATTTTAATTAACTAAAAAATCTCTAGACCGAAACTGTGACACTGATAGATACGAAACAAAAAAATTATTCTAAGAAAATAATGAAGAAGAATTTCTGAAAGATATTTGAAAAAATTGTGAAAAAACTGTGCAACTAAATAAACAACTGGCTATATTCTAAGGATATATTGGTACAGTTTTTAAAATACACTATCAGGATAAGCATGACACAACAGCGTGACATTTATAGGAGTTACCCAAAATAGAAGTGTTTTTCGAATATTTTCAAAGAAACGCTCTGCGTTTACTTTTTGAAATAAATACACGAAGTATATATAAATGGTGGAATAGCCTCAGTTCAAAACATTACTTTTTTTTCTGTTTTTGTGTTCTGCACTCTGCAGACTTAGCTTAATTGGCGCCACTCTTTCTTCGGCTAAAATGTTTGCTGGGCAGTCACGCACACACGCACACACGCACACGTGCATGAATGGTTGCTTGCTTTTTTAAAGCATCTTTTAGGCGCAGCTGCATTTCAAGTATTTGCTGTCCTGCTAAACACTTGTATGTATCTTCATGTAGAAAATAATTGTGCCGTGTGTGCTATTGTTTTCTTTATTATTATTATTTAGTTGTTTTCTCTGTTGCTTTATTTAGCAAAGTTGACATTTAAAAGTTGACATACAGAAGCCGACGGCCATTTTTAAAGCAACAGTAGTTGAAGTTGAGCGCTGCTGGCGCATTGATTACACACAGAAAAAAAACACCATAGCCATATCAATTGATTTGTCTTGGCCTGTGTCTCATAAATATGTATACATACATGCTATAAATATCAATATATTTGTATTGATTTGAAAAATTCGCCTTCAAAAAGCAATCAATTCATTTAGATAACCAAATATGTATTTTTCGGATACGTTTGCGATGACAGGACATATGTATATATGTATATAATGTTTATGTAATGAAAAAGTATAGCAGAATTTGATCAGAAAATGTAATATGTTCAAAATATTAAAAATGGTACAAATTTAGGAATGAAAAAGAAATACTTAAAAGAAAATGATACATTATTTAAAAGAAAATATTATGCCACCTAACCCTAGATAGACATTATTTTTCTAATCGATTTTTGTTTTTAATTAGTTCTTGAGTTGAAATTAATTAGTAGTTTGAGTTGAAAAGCTATACAAATTAATAAGAAATGTAACATATAAGTTAAGAAAATATGAGAATTAAAATAACTATCTAATCAACTAACAAAACCAAAAACCAAACCGAACTTTTAATATGAATATACTTTCAAATACCATATTGAGAGACTAGTTTGTTTTCATGTTCCTATATACTTATATTTTTATCTCTTTTATGTCCAGACTCGATTAGTAATTTCTTTATGTGTAGTTGTTGTTTTGTTACATAATTATTTGGCCATGTCATATCATATAATGGGCGCGTGTGTTTGCACATCGCACCGGATTCGGATGCGAGTCGCAGCCTCCACTCCTTAGATGTGTTGCGGCATGCCATGGCTATGCATTAATGTTGCTTTTTATTAGCTTTCGCCGCCGGCTTTTGTGGAGTTGCGTTGATGAGCCTCAGACATTGTTGCTGCTACACATTAGAACTCAAACACACACACTCACACACATAGGCAGCTTCAACAGTGAAGCAACAATTTGTGTGTGTAGGATTTTGGAGAAGAATTTTTAAGCTTTAGCCAACTGATCAGCGGGCGGGCAAGCAGGGCGGGGTAAGCCCCTCGGGTTTGTTCTCGTTGTTGTTGTATGTCATATTAGCCCATTATTATTGCCAACTGCCAAATCTGTGACATTTGAGACTTTGGGGCAGCAAAAGTTACAACAAGAATGCGTTCGTGCGTTCAAAGCGTAATCGGGCGTGGCTTAAAAGACAACGTTTTCTAAGTGAATTACAAAATGGGCTGCAAAAACCGTCACTTATTTCTAACTTGCCGCCGGTAAGTGGCGACCTACTGCAGTACATGGTTTTAAGGGCCAACTTTTTTAACTATTAGAAAGGCTTCCTAATTGGGTCTCAGATTAGATAAAAGCTGTGTACTATAAGATTGCATGCAATCCCAATAAATGGAACTAATTATATTTACCGACAAGATTTCAAATTTATTTACCTTATTTCTCAAACTACGAAAAATATTAATTGTTTAAAGTTGCTTTTTAAATTAGAATTGGAACTTTATGCCGCAACATTTAGGATTCTTTTGATGGCAAACTAACTGCCAAGCTATAAGTGACTATTTAAACAATCAAACCCTAGTGATCTTATTTGATTACAAAATAAGCTGATATGTTTCGACGAACTTGAAAAGTTTCTCCATTTCTCAAACTAAAAAGTAAGTTATAAATTGTTTAAAAATATAGGTACGCCATTATTGTGTGGTATTTGGAGAAAGTTTAATATTAATTTTTATTTGTATACCTACAGAAAAACAACAAATTAGAAACGCATTAAGAATTCTTTTGTTTTTAAAAGCTTTAAAATTAGGCAGCATAGACCATAGCGATCTAGTTCGATAAAAAGTTCCTGCATTTCTCATACTAAAAAACCAACAGTAAAGTCTATACAGATTAAGGATTCTTCTAAGCCAAGTTTAACCGAATAGTAACATTAATCAGAACCCGGCCAAAGCGATCTAGTTTTATTGCAAGGCACAATTTTATATTTTAAAGAACTCCAAGTAGCTTTTCAACTATAAACATGAATATACTATATTTGCTTTTTTAAAAATGTTAAAATTAAAATTGTAAGAATTAACAAAATGATGTGGGCATATTTATTAATATTTAATTGTGAGCTTTAAAAATATTTTGAAGAGCTTTAAAAAGATCTTAAGCAACCTAATCAGAAACATTGAAGTTTATATTCATAACTTTAGTGCAATATCCTACTAATTCACATTAAATATTCTTGGCACTTTTAATTTGATTTAAAATTTAGAAATTTAGTTTTTCACAGTCAAAAATTATAGTAACTTTTGACAGCTCAGGAATTAGCAGCCTTCTAATAGTTTCAGTTCAATTTTCTAATAAATATTATGGTACAGTCACAGTCAATATAATATCACTAAGAATATAAAAGATATATGCTGTACAATTTCCTTGCAATGTCATTGATTGACAATGCATCACCATTTTAAAACATATGACAATATTTAATCAGAAATCCACTTACTGAAATATTAATGTATTGTAATTATTTAATAAATTTTACTTGTTGCGAAAACGCCGTTTTTTAATTTGATTTCACTTTTTGTGAATTTTTGTTAGATTCCCGAACGAACGCGTCGGAATGATGGCAACAACTGAGCGACAGATCAAAGCGGCATTGGACTTTTAAATGCTCAACGCTCGGCACAAAAGAACACACGATGCAGATACGCTTCTACACACACGCATGCGACGAACAGGAAACGACAAACACGACCAGGCTCGGGTGCCTATCGCCTCTTTGTGTATGTTTGTGCATGTGTGCATGCGCTTGTTCGTGCATATCAACAATTGGTCGAATAGAAAGTAGCAACCTTCGTCTGTGTGAGTGTGTGTGTGTGTGTGGTCTGTATGGGTGTGTGTGCGTGGGTGGTCGTTGCTTTTATGTGGGGGGCGCCACTTCAGCGCCAGGCGCTTTATAAAAATGTAAGAAACAAAAAATGTGCTGCATACTTTCAGGCCGCGCAATTGAATTGAACGGAAATTTTGTTTGCATATGTGAATAAAACATTTTTTATTTTACTCTCCACGAGAAAAAGCGGCCGCAGAGTATGGCCATAATATAAATTTTTTATTTTACTTTGCTGCAACTTTGAAGCTGCCGCTGCTGTTGCCACTCCCGTTGAACTTTTTCGCTGGCAATCAATTTAAAATTACCAAAACACATGAACGGGTCACCATTTGTATTTGCTTTCGCAAATTGTAATTAAAATGTTTCACACTGTCCGTGTTAAATAAATAATAACAATACACGCGTTATAGCCTGCTCTTATTATATAATGAATTCGTTTGAATTTATTATTTATTATATCTTTAAGCGTAAATAGCCATCGGATTTAAATACGAAATTAAGCTGAATCTATAACAACAACATCCGCCAAAGGAAATGTTGCACTCTTTGTAATATTTAAATTGTTATTCTTTTCTGTTTTTTGGCCGTCTGCTCCTGTGCTCTAGTCAAGGCCAGTAGCGTGCATAATAAATGCAACATTTACAACAACCTCTTTGCAAGATAGCCACCAAGACTTAAGACTCAAGACACAGGCACCCACGTGCCACTTCTAAAGGCCAAGTGTATGTAAACACACACACTTGCATACACACATCTACATATAGTTAAAATTTCAAAGTGGATGTTCGTTTTAATGGTCCGTTTTTTAAAACAAGAACGTTCAAACAAATATCTGTTCTCTTTCAAGAAATATATGTTTGGAAGATCTAAAAATTCATAGATACACTTCGTGAAGAAACAGGGGAACATATGTATTTATGAGAGGAGAAAATGGGAAATCTCCGCCAAATCACATTTATGGTAATAGACTCATTGTTCTTTCTATCCGACCGAATCGTGGAATGGACAATATAATATAATCAAACTTATTTCCGAGTCATTTAATTTTATATAAATTATAATAAAATGTCTGGCCTTCTGGGCAACACACCTATTGGATAATAATTTAACATTTATAATTAATTCGTTTCATATATATTTCCAGAAAGTCTATTTACTGAGTTCCTAAGCCAAAAACCAAATGTAATAATAAGTAATTATTCCAGAGCAAAACATAGAACTGTGAAAATCACAACTCTAATAAGATCAGATTTCCATTTTAAGCATTCTTCACTGTACTCTGTGCGTAGCTAGAGGCAAGTGCTCGTTGTTGTTATTGTTGTTGCCCTACAAGACAATGCAACACATACATTTTTGGGCTAAAATTAAACGTATAATGGTTATTGCTGTTGTTGCAACTGCGACTGCCCCTTAAACGCACTCATTTCCGCAGCAGCAGCAGCCGCAGCCACCGCCAACGCCATTGTTGCAACGGCTTATCGCACATCCTTGGTGGGGTTTGACGGCTTCCTGTGGCATTAAAACGGCAAGCGGTGAAATTTGCATTTAAATTGGCCAAGGCACTAAAAATGTTCTTGCACTCTCAATTCCGGCCACTTTTCAATTAACAACTGCCAGCCCAATGGGCATTTGAGCCTGAGGAAGAAGACCCTATCTTTCAGGCGACCCATCGTGCATAGTTATGGTGGCAGCCCACAACCAATTGCCAAATATTTACGCGCTGTGCGGCTATTGGACAAACATAATTAGCATTTAATTAAAATAAAATTGCGCAATTCCGAAGCATGTCTATATGGCAGCAATTTGATTTGATTATCGAACGCAAATAAAGTTAGCGCTCTGCTCTTTCGCTTGAACAAATAACCAGCCGAGGCCCAAATGCTAACCATTGATAAGGCATAAGCGACCAGCGGACTATATAAATGAAATTTCGTATTATTAATTAGATTGTGGTGGGCACTGCAAGTGCCATTTTATTGATGAGTCCACCCCCATTGGGGGATACCGATTCCGTATCAAATGACACACACAGATAAGCGGGCTGATAAAAAATACATATATAGTACGCGTAAAAAATCAGCTGAAGCACGATGGCTCAGCACCTGTTGTGCTGTTGTTGTTATTGGGGGCCTCTACGCAATGCAGCAGGTGAAACAAATTCAATTTAAAATTGCAGGCACTGTTTGGCCGTTGGCAGTCGAGCCCTCTGTGTAAATAGTGCAATAACAAGAACAATCACAATAACAACAACAAACAAGAAACATACATTGTAGTGCCGAAGCCTACATGCCCTTAGTGTAGACTTTCTCATGCTTCATTTGTTCAATTTCATTCCAAAATAAGCTTCAATCTTCACATCTTCAGCCCAACTATTAACACCAAAAGCAGATCCAAATGCATGGCTTTACCTTACTCAGATGTGATATACTACCTGGAAACTTTTATATACAAATATATTTATGTACAGAAAGCACATTCCTTATTCGTGTTGATGAGTTTCCTGCAAATTATAAACAAAAATTGTAAACATAGTTTTCTATTAAAAGCTTCCGAATAAAAGTTTCAAAATAAGACAAAATTTGTGAAGAGTGGATGTTTCCATAGATTTGAAATACCTATAGCTAATTGCTCCCCATTATCTTATATTTGTTACATCATACAAATGATTAATTATTTTTTCAAAGAAAAGATTTATTTTAGATTTGAGTAATTTCGAAATTTATAAGCAACTCAAAATTGAAAAAAGAAAAGTGCTTAAAGATGTTGATAACGGAGATAGATTTATTTACCATTGAAAGCTTTTTAAATTCTATTTATACAGAATATACTTTTTGTAAAATTTCGTTCATAAATTAGAACATACAAAGGTACACATGTACATAACATACGAGTATAGTAGTACAGAGAAAATATATTTTAAATTATTTATGCCAGAAATCAGAATCCGAAAAGGCATGGAGAAATCTTGATAAGAGAACATGTTAAATCTCTTCGGAGCTCCCATTTTCTATAATTCATTCAAAATTTAAGATTAATTTTTTTTTGACTTGTTTCTTTTACAAGTTAATAAATAAATAGAGACTATTTTATATAAAAATGGTTGACAAGCTAAAAAAAATTTATCTAGCTACCTTATTAAATATGTATTTATCTCGTTCATGAACAATCCAATTTGATTTTATAAACTTCTTATATTGCATTTCAAAATTTGTTTTAACATTTTTGTTTACACAAATAGTTTCCATGAATGCGAAGTACTTGGGAAGGGTATTTAAGCTTCAGTGTAACAATATTTTTTTTTTTTTTTTGCATTGTTGTGCAAATATTGCGCGATTGTCCCACATACTCGAGGACACACACACGTAGAGAGACAAGCATATGGAGCAAAAACTGATTTACGGCCCGTAAAACTGTCACTACAATTGCATTAAAGTACGCACAACAGATCCAATAGTCATACATATAATATAGATGTGTATAAAGATAAAATAAGTTTTATGTATATTCAATTGCATTGAGAGTTACATTTAAAAATTAGCGAGTATTGGAGACAAATAAATAAATACTTACACACTCATACTCATTATTCATAGAAATAGGCAGATAGGTACAACTGGAATGATATATATCTATATATACATGTATGGCATAGACAGTAGACGATGTTCTATTAATTTAGCTGCCACATATACAATAGAAATAATAGCGCAGATTGCTCAGTAAGCGCCTAAAGATATACGTGAACAATTTCATAAATTAACTATAACTGACCATTTTTCTTAAAACTATACAATAAATTTCAACTCTTTTTATAAATCTATTTCTACTCAATGCGTATGACGCCGGCACCTACGCCCCCACTGTGTGCACACATGGGAGGCGCAAAGGTCCATTTATCAGTTTCTGGATCAAAAACCTCCACTGTGGACAGATTGGATTCGCCATCATAGCCGCCAATCGCCCACAATTTTCCCATATTTGCCGCAAGAGCCACTCGCGATCGTTTACAATTCATTGGCGTGATTAATTTCCACGTATCTGTAAGTGGATCGTAGCATTCTACGGAGCGTAGAAACGAGTTGCCACAATATCCCCCGCATACATAAATTTTGCCATTTAATGTGGCGACTCCTAGACGGCAGCGACGATTCAGCATCGATGACATTTTGACCCAAACATCTTCGTTGGGATCATAGCGTTCCACAGAATCAAATATAGAGAGACCATCGTGTCCCCCCAGGGCATAAACGTAGCCATTTAATTGAGTGACGCCGCCAGCTGAGCGATATTTCATCATTTGGGCGACCTACCAAGAAGATAAAAAAAACCATTTTGCTGACTCATCAACAGATAAAGGAAACTAATTACGCACTGTTTTCCACGTATTGCTCTTTGGATAGTAGCACTCGACGGTGTTGAGCGACGTGACGCCATCGTATCCACCACACACATAAATGCAGTCATCTAAAGCAGCCACGCCGACAGCGCTGCGTTTGCACAACATGGCACATCCCTGCGACCACTTGTTCTTACGCGGATCATAGACTTCCACAGTGGAAAGTCGTTCGGTGCCATTGAAGCCACCAAATGCGTATAATTTGCCATCCAAAACGGCCACACCAACGCGGGAGCTACAAAAAGTTGGAATAAAAATTAATGAAATTCAATATGTCATTATAGCGACAGCTTCGCACCGCATCATGGACATTTGTTCGCCCATTTTCCATTTTTTTGTAACCGGATCATAAATCTCCACCGTGCTGACAGACTCGCCAGTGCTCGCCAGACCACCAACAGCATAAATTTGGCCCGTGAAGAATTCTCCACAACGTTGGCGTGTACGAAATGATTGCAGTAAGCCCCTTCGCTCTGGCATCAAATGGAAATCCTTGGCCTCGTCCAATAAATCACGACACTGATGCGATGAACGTATTAACTCCTCGCGTGCAACACGATCGGCCAGAAATTGGGGGGAAAGCAGTGGCAGTCGCACTGCAGCCAACACCTGCGGAAACAGCTCCGAGCGCCTGCCTTCCGCATATTTTACCCAACGCATGCATGCTTCGAATATCACTTCCTCGGATATCACATTAAGCTCATCCCGACGCATTAGCTCCAACAACTGTTCGCAGTCCAGTGTAAGAAACTCTTCTCCTTGCGATACTTTGGCAAAATGTTGATCAATATACTTGTCGGCTGCCGCTGTCAGTTGGACGCAGCTCATCGAGTCGGAGAAGTGCCGTATTCCGAGCACATTATGCGGATGAAAGCGTGATATTAAAAAATCTGCACAGGCATTCCGCACCTGAGTGAGCTGCAGGAATGAGGCGCCAACCATCAGGCTCTGAACATTCTGATTATCGATGCGCACCTGACCACTGTACACATAATTAATAAGGCTCTCCAAAGCACTGGGCTCGATCTCGCGTATGGTTATATCTTTAACTCGCGATTCCTGCATATTATTGGTAAACATAGCATAAAAGTAGGGTATCGTCGCCGCGAGTACAACTCGATGGGCGGAGAACGTTTGATCTTCCACCTACATTGAGATACAAGCATTCAAACATATATATTGATATGTATATAGAAGTGTATAAATAAACAATGTATTGATAAGGAGCACCTACCCTCAACGTAACATCGCAAAGCTTTCCCAACCTCCGAATTTCCTTGAACAGCGGAAAGCTCTCGCTAAACAAATCTTCGTGCTTGTAAATTGTGAAGTGTTCATCCAGTTGGCTATCACCTAAATCCATTTCCATTTCAACTTCAGGCTTAGCCCACTAGATATGAGCCCGAAAAAAAACAATACACTGTTGCAGTGCTACCAAAATACACACTTAGGTGCTGCCCATCTGTGCAGAAACACAAATTCTCGATAGTCGATAATAACTCTAAGCGAACGCAATTAGACAATTTCGATTGCAAAACAGAATGAATAAATAAAAGAAGAAGACAGATGTAAATTGCAAACGAAATAATAAAGTAAATTGCAAATCTATACGCTAAATAACGCTGCCACATGATTTTGCTACAGTTCCGGACCACATTAAAGAAATCCGCTAGCGTATACAATGGAGGAAGCAGCAACACAGGTATATATGCAAATGAAATGACGGAAGCAAAACCATTACCAATGACGTTTTCTTCATTATCATCTGTAATTGTGTACATTTGCAGAGAATTTCCAATCCCATCGAAGCGCTGAGCAAAGATGAAATCATAGCCAAATATAAGGTATAGTGTAGCTTAAATAAATAAATTTCAAGCATTTCGTTAACAGTTTCTTTTTCGTAGGGCTTGCTCAACATTGCCAAAAAGGCGAAGCAGGCAAAAGATGGTGAGTAAACAACAAAAACATGAAGAATAAAAAGTAAGCTTTTAAACCATTTGTATTGAATTAGATCTCACCGAGGAGAATCGTCAGCTGAAAGATGCACTCACGCGTGCCGCAGCCAAACAGAGCACTTTGCCTGCCATGCAAGAAATGGTGCAGGATCTGACAGAAAAGAATTTACTGCAGGCGGAGCAATTAAGCGTACTTCAGCGAAAGGTTAAAGAGGATGCGGAAAGGCAAGAACAGCTGGAGATTGAGAATGAGAGCCTTAAACGGCAACTAGCGCGTCTAAGCGACGAGAATGATGATTTGCTTTCCGATGTCGATCGCCTCGAGCAGGCTATGCAACAGGTGAATGCGTTGGGCACGGAACAGCGCAAAAATCTCGAACTACTGGAAGTGGACATCAATAAGATGCAGGAGGCGGAGGCACTAAATGCCACTCTAAAGCAACAGATTGCCAGTGCTGAGGAGGAGACGCAAGCCCGGGTGGCCGAATTGCAGCAGCTACAGCAAAAATATCAAAGTGTTAAGGACTTGAATTCGGAGCAGCGAAAAAAATTCAATGCATTAAAGGACCGCTTCATAGATGTGCACCGCAAATTGAAAAATCTAAAGGAGTGCAAGTGTGTGCTGCTGGAGACGCAACATGAATATGCTGCATCAGTGTCTAAATGGCAGCAAGAAATTGTCAAAGCCTCGCACTTGCTATTTGCTAAAATAACAGCCCTGCAGCAGGATAATGAGGAGTTGCGTGCTCAGTTAAAAACTGGCAATAGTGATGGCTTAATGAGAGCTCATCTACTGCAAAAACTGGAGGAGATGGAACAAGTAAGTCAGCTCGTAAAAGAGCATCAGTTAAAGCAAGAACGAGAATTGGAGGAGCTTAGGAACAAGGGACAGCACAGGCATGTGCTGAAAATTGATCACATTATTGATAAACTGGAGCAAATGGAACGCCTAGCAAATTTGATTAAGCAGCAACAATCAATTCAGCAACAACTACAACAGCCACAAGGCAAACAACTGGACATCAATCGCATCATAGATAGACTTAATCAAATGGAACACTTGACGGGCTTGCTGGGACACCAGCTGCATGAGAAGGAACTCGAAGAGAAGCGTTTGCAGCAAGAACTGAAAGATCTGAGGGTTCAGCTGCAGGAAAGTGCAACAAAATTAGCGGAGAAACAATCCCGAGTTGACCAGCAGCTAGACGAATGCCAAGAAATGGAACTACGGGCGCAACTGGAGGCCAGTCAAGCAACCGTCGCGAAACTCCAAGAGGAGATGCACATTAAGGCGCACAGCAATAAAAATATTCAACAGTTGTCGGCGGAAAATGTGGAACTCCTAGATAAGTTGCAGGCACAAAAGAGCCAGTGTGCATCCCTCCAAGAGCACAACGAAGATCTGCAGGGGCGCTACAAGCAAAAGGAAAGCGAGCATTCTGAGTTGCTGGCAGAGATGCGGGAGCTGAACGAAGCGCTCAAAGGACGTGGTGATGTCATCTCCCGCCTACAGGAGCAACATGCCTTGGAGGCCAAGTCTGTGGCCGCCAGAGAGAAAGAGCTGCAGGATAGTCTGTCACGGGAGCAACAGGCCTTGAGCCAAAAGTCACAACAGCTCGAGCAACTGCAGGCGAAAGTCAACGAGTTGGAGCAAGAGTTGCAACAACAGCTACAACTCCAAGCAAATGCAGATGCTCAGAGTGATATCCTATCCACATCGACCATCTCGCGCGCAGAGGAATTGAATCGGTTGCGTGAACTGGACGAAGGCTATGAAGAGAAGTACAATAAGCTGCGTACGCTGGCCGCCAAATTGAAGCGCAAACTACAAGAGCAAACTCAACAACTGAAGGATATGGAGCAGCAATCAATCACCTGCGGTGAAATGAAAGCCGAAATGGAGTCCGTTAAGCAAGCGCAACTACAACTACAGCAGGATTTGAATACCGCGCGTGCCGAGAACCAAAAACTGAAGAGCAAGGGTGGAAAAAACACCAGCGTACTGAATCTGGAAATCGAGGCTGCTGAAAAATCACTTGCCGATGTAAGCTCGAAGCTGGCAGCCAAGTGTAGTGAGTTGGAGGCGCTGCAGGAGGCTCTCGGCAGCAAGGACAATGCAAATGTGCAGCTGCGGAAGGAAATCGAAATACTGGAGGCAGCCAAAAACTCTGAGGTGGAGCACGCCAAGCAGCTGAAGCAGGAAATCGATCGCATGCAAGCCCAGCTTAAAGATGCCGTACATAGTCAGCAGCAGACTCTGACACAAAACAAGGAGCTCGAGCTGAGTGTCGAGCAACTTAAATTGCAGCTGGAGGAGCTGCATCTACAGTTGGCCACCAGTGCACAAGAGCACGAGAAGGCGCTTAAGAGCTCCAAGCAAATGGCCAGCAGCTCCGCGCAGGAGCTGCAATCCCGCCTAGATGCCATGAGCGAACTGGAGACGAATCTGCGCAATGCTCAGCGAGCGCACGAAGATTTGCGTATCGAATATCTGGACTATAAGGTTAAAGCCCAATCGGTATTACGCAAGAATCAAAACAAGGACTCCGACAAGGAGAACGAACTGGAAGCCGAAATTACAACGCTTCGCGCAGAGGAGCAAAAGCTGCGTTCCAGCAATGAGGAGCAGACCAAGCGTCTGACCATTTTGGAGAGGGAGCTCGCCCTACTTCAAGAGGACAACACAAACTTGCAGCGGCGTAGCAAGGATCTGATGGGCTTAGTCGAGGAGTTGCGCACCCAGAACGAAACGCTGGCCCTGGACAATCATCAGCAGCTGCAACTGCAGCAGGAACGACTGCACCAGCATCGCCAGCAGATCGATCATATGGATGCAGCGCACAAATTGCAGCTCCAGCAACTCCAACAGCAACTGCTGGAGAGCCAGGAGGCGCTGAAGAAAGTGTCATCAATGCCCACAGCCATACCGTCCTCCAATGTGACGTCAGCATCATCCCCACCCTCTGCTGAGCAAACCAAAATCGACTATCTGCTCATGGACCACGAAACTGCCGGGGATTGCACTGCTGCCGATTCCTTATCGCAGCTAGCTGCGCAACGTAAAATTTCCACTGCCTCGCGCCGTTCCCACGACCTAATGCCGTTGGATGAACTGCTGGCCCTTAATACCATCAGCAGTGACACAGTCACGACCATCTCGCATTTTGGACGAAGTGTCAGCATGCAGGATGATGTCGATAGCGAGCTTGAGGCGCGTGGCGACTTTCCAGCCATGCAAAAGGCTCAGGCCGCTCTGCAGGCCACCAAGGAGCGCCTCAACATACAGGAAAGTCGTGTCCGTCATTTGACCACCCTGCTGGCCGAGAACGAACAGGATCTGGCAAGGCTGACACAAATGAACGATATGCTGAAGGAGGAGCTGCGTCGTCAGGAACGGTCCGAAGAACGTGAACAGCATATGCATAATTCGGAGTATTTGAAAAATGTTTTCTTGAAGGTGAGTTCATCTGAAGCAGTCAATTTTGGGTAACTATTATAAATCTCATTATATTGCAAATAATTTGCAGGCTCATTTTTTTTACTTTACAAATAGGAAAAGATAACAACAGAAAATTTGATAAAACATATAGAATACCTTTTTAGGTTACCTTTCTAGAGTGGCTGGTATTCAAAATTACCCGGTCCTATATCTTTTTAAGTCCCATTTTGCAGGAACTGACTGTAGGAACTAACTTATGCTAGGGGTTCTGTGTTAGAAATTATTAGGACTTGAGTAAAAGAGAGATCACACCACTGATCGGTCCGTTCCTTCATGACATGTCGACGTTTTGTACATATATAATTTTTGAATAGGTCCAGTAAATGACTTCTGTTCCAAGCTAATTAAGAAAATTGGTCCCAAGAGAGATCTTTAACCACGTTTTCATATACCTAACATAAATCATATTCAATTCATTCAATCTTCAATTTTTCAATAACAGTTCCTTACTTTAAATAATGGCGATGAGCGCATGCGCTTAGTTCCTGTCTTAAATACGATCTTGCGCCTGAGTCGCAATGAATGCGAAATGCTGAATTGTGTGGCCAAAGGCCAAAAAGGTGAGTTAAGCGGCCAAAAATTTATTTAAACTTTATTAACAAGTTTTAAATGCCGTGCAGTGTCAAACGACGGTGGCAATCGAGGTTGGACTGGTTTTCTCACAGCATGGAGCGGTGGCGGAGGAGGGGGAGGCGGTCAAAACAGTCAAAACAATAATTAGCATATTGTGTCGTACATTCATATTTAAGAGTTTTGCCAACTCTTGTGTATTATTTTTGGAAAAAAAAAAATTGAAACCGGGTCACTGTAAAATTTAATGACACTCTTCTTCTTGTTGTGTGTAAATTGTATAAATCTTTGTAAATGGGTAATTGCTTTAAAGAAATACCTATACGTATTTGTAACTATTTTAAAAATGTCTGTCTTGTGTTTTTTGTGTGACAATTTGTTAATGTATTTACGAATGTGGCATGCTCTTTAAAAAAGCAATATTTATAATTGTAATTGTACAGAAAAGTTCCAGGTCAGAATTTATTTTGCAATAGTTTCTTTATTTTCTATTATCATATAGATCAGACTATAAATAATCAATGCTACCATATACTTAAATTGCAGTAAATGTATTTATAAATAGGATTCGTTAATTGGCTAATCATTATGCGTGCATTCAATAAAATGTATATTCAACTAAATACATTGTAAACACAAATACCTTATGCTTAAAACACTAAAAATCGAAATTATAGCAAAAATTCAAAATCACAATGGGAGCCCCCAACAACAGACGACAACGACGACTCTGGCGTTTATAACTGAATTTAATGTTTATGGGCAAATGAGAAGAAGAAAACGAAATCGCTTTGCTTAAATACTAATCAGTAGTTAGTCCATGATGCTGCAAACCTATTGCCAAACGCCCGCATAATTTCCCACCAATGTAGCCGGCAAAGGACCTCCAGCGGCAAACAAACGCATCCGTGTGCTATCATAGCAGTGAGTATAGATCGCGGGCACATATTTCACCTGCTGGAAACCGTCCATTTCGTCCTCCGGATACTGGAAAAAATAGAGCAATGATGAATAGAAATCTTTAGTTTCTATATACAATTTTTATATTTACTCATTCTAGTCTAATATTGAGAATTAAATGAAATACTACATGAGAACAATTCGTTCCTCTTAAAAACCTTAAACATTTTTCGTAAACTAAATGACCATTCTTTTTCAAAAATGTGGTTATTCAATTTTGTTCATCATGTGATTATCTCCGGAGTCTATGAAGGTTTTCAGGTTATAATAACGACAAAACTAAAATATGGTTCTACTTTAGAAAGTTGTCGTTTTGGCGGTCAAACAATTCTTCAATTCATTATAAGCAAAACAAACTAGAAGCACTGAATTTACAATCGAATTATCTGTTTATGCTCCAGCAGACAGATCGCAAATAAAGACGCAGATTTAGGACAATGTTATTCCCACACTTACCACAATACCCTTACTGCACTTGAGGGCGACGGTGCGCGAAGCATTTACACTGCTTTCCAAATACTTGCCGGCCCGTATGTCGTAGAAAAGTAACATGCCCAGGCCTGTGCCAACAGTCAGTAGATTACCCTCAAAGGAAGTGGCTCGGATGCCACAACCGCTGTATCGTGAAGTGATCTTTTTGATGGTTTGCAGAGTGCGTGCATCCAACAAAATGGTATAGGAACGACAGCCGACAGCATAGAGCCCATCGCTATGATAGGCAATGCTTACATTATCCTGGCAGTTTGGCAGCTTGCGGGAGAGGGTCTGCTTGAAGGTTTCCGCATTGAAGATGTGAATGTAACCATTTAGCGAAAGTGCTGCAATTTCCTTAAATTCCTTATTGAAGCATAGTGAACGTATCTAATGGGCAAGGTTTAATAAATGTGTAGATGCGTCCTTTTATTATTATTTTATTGTTTACCCGCTGTGCCGTGCGCACCTCCTTCACGCTCAGCGCTTGTATGGTCGCAAAGGTAGGACACGCCTCCTCACCACCATCAGGAAAGTCCATGTGGTCCTCATTAATGCGCCACAGAGCCATACGTGAATCTTTCGAGCCAGAAACTAGGAATTGATCGTCTAGCCAGCACATGCCCATTATTAAGTCGCGATGGCCGTTCTCGCCCACGCAAACAGGGTCGAGAGTGGGCAAACGATAAACAGCGATGTCCGAGGAATTCCGTGCACCAGTGGCCAGAAACGAGCGACTCGGATTGATCTCGATGGCATGCAGGCCGCTCTGTGTCTCGGGGTGATTGGCTCGATTATTGGACAGTGTTGGTATCGCGTCCACTCTTCGCATGTTCACGTCATAGACGAGTAGTTTGTTGCATTTCGTGCCAAACACCACCTGACGATTACTCAGCCACTTCGAACAAAAAACCTTGTTTATGTAGCCGAGGTTTATTTGCGTTTCGCGCAGCATGTCATGGGTTAACACATAACGACTCGTGTATTCCACATTCACGTTCCGACGCTGTCAGCACACAGGCAGTAAGACGAGAAGGGTAAGTGTCGTTCATATATGAGGAGGGTACATACTTACATCCTGCAGCGCACTTTCTCGACTACGCAGATAGTCGCACAAATTGTAGGATGTATTGAGCACCTCGTCCTGCTGCTGGGGAGTCTCCTCGTCACTGCCTGAATCTTCGTAGGTGACAAAATCGTCGGGCTTATCTGGCTTTCGCCTTCGTTCCTGCCTCTGCGCTCTAGCCTTCGCTCTGCGTTCTTCAAGACGAGTATTGACATGGCAAGATGGATATGTCCCCACAACGGAGTCCCGTATGGTCCTCACCATGCCATTGAACATGTTTTCATGTGTTAATTATGTTTCTCTGCTCATCAAACAAAAAATCCAAACAAAAATGGTGGAGTAGAATAATAAAACTATCGATAGAGCTACCGATACCTTTTTTTACCGCCGTCATCGACAAGACTTCGAATAATCGAATACAAAGCAGGCGTGATACGAAACCTATTCCCTAACGTTTTTTTGCCTTTTGTCGGGTTTTTGTTCGATATTCGAGTCGAGGATGTTATCGATAGGTTACAAAACTATCGCCAGTGCACAAAAATAGATAGTCGACAATTTCCAAAACGAGCAATGAATTATTACAATGCCAAGCGCGTAATTAGACAAAATTCTATTGCGACCAGTGATCTGGCCTTATCGCCAGTGATGACGCCGCCCACTCCCACCACTCCACAGCTGCAGGTGCACCGTCAGGTTCTAATGCCGGCCCAACAAATTGTTGGAGTCGGAGCAGTAGCCGCAGCCCCTATTCAGACTGCTAGTGTACCCATCGTGCAAATTCCCGACGATGCACCAGTATCACTGCTCACCGAAATTGCCGACATCATGCGCAGCTTTGGGGATAGCGATCAGCCGCGGGCGACGAGCGTCAAACTGGTGGAGCAGATACTGCAGCAACAGCTAAGGGGAATCTTCAATGAGGCCTCGTTGGTGGCCATGCGACGCAAACAGAACCCGTGCCCCTCTCAGGCAGACTTTGAATTTCTGATGCGAATGCATCCTGTGAAGATTGCACGAATGCGAAAGCATCTAAAGGACATGCGCATACTGAAGCGATTCCTTAGCATACGAACAGGACGTCCGCAGGACTTTACGGACGATCTCGATCAGCAGGAGGAGGACGAGGAGCTGGCGATTGAGGTGCATGAACTACACGATGAGGATCGCATGCGAAGAATGTTTCGAGCCGATCGCATATCCCAAATATTGACGGGCCAGCAATATCTAGAATTCAATGAGGCGCGTAAGACATCCTTCTATTGCCGCCATGGCGAAAAGATCAAGAATAAATTTCGACGTTTTCTGGATTTGCCAGCGGATCTGCGCATACCTACACCTACAATGAACATATTGGCCTATTTGGCACATGAAACGATCGCCGCGATTGTAGACTATTCTATACTGACGCGTTTGAACTCAGATAATCGTGCCACTGAGCCTTATAGTCGCGTAACCTCAGCCGGCGGAAGTCCGGCCATGATGCATGTGTGTCCGGAAGTGACCCAAGGACGTGGCATGGAGGTAGTCAAGCCTATAAGTGTACAAGAAATACACGAAGCCATGCGCAGATTTCGGCAGATGAGCAATCGCAGGATCGGTCACTATCGGAATTCTTGTGACATTGATTTCAGGCGCAGTTTCTTGGCCATCTAATCTTTTGATATAGTATGTAGTAATTATAGATTCGAATTGTATTTTGCATAATTTGATTGCTATAATTAAGATAAATATATATTATGTGTGTCAGTATTGATAAGTTATCAGCTAAACTAGAAGTTTTCACTCCTATTGTCCTCCTTCAGGTCGTCGACGCCAATCAGATCCACCTGTTGTTCATCGCGTCCATATTTCATGGTCTCGTGTAGCATTACAGCATTCTGATGACATTTGGTCTCCTCGTGTTGTCGCATATGGTGCAGCAATCGGAAATCCTTGTTGCAGTACTCACAATGATATAACTTGATGTCTGTGTGGATCAGCTCATGTTTGGTTAGCGAGTGAGCGTAGGCAAAGGCTTTGTCGCACACTTTGCAGACATACGGCTTGACACCACGGTGCACGCTGAATATAAATTACCAAATTATAAGAGCCAAGCGATTTAGTCAAAAGAAGTCTGCTTACTTTTCGTGTGCTTTTAATACGCTCACATAGAAGAATTGGCGACTGCAGAAGCTGCATTTATAGGGCTTGCTGCCAGTATGGGAATACATGTGTTTGCGTAGCTGCTCACGAACCTGAAACTTGGCATGGCAGAGTCTGCCCAAGGCGAAATAGTTCAATATTTATTAGGAATATGTCAGCAATGCTTTTACTTACTCGCACTGATACTGGCAAACGGCATCGTGGCGACGACGATGCTCCATCATGCGTCCACGCTTCTCATAAAAGTTTCCACACACATCGCATATGTAGCCGCCCTTTTCACCATCAACGCCCACTGCACTAAAGCCAGTTCTTGGTCGACCGCGCCTGAGTTGTGGTTTAAGGGCTAACTGTTTACGTTGAGGCGGCATTGGCTTGCCTGGATCAGAATCACCAGCATTGGTGAGTGCCTCTTCGGACTCGCCTTCCAATTCAAGGTAGGCTGATTCTAAATACTCAATATCGCCCGATAAAATTTCATGCTGATCACTAGTATCGATTTCAACGAACTCTTCATTCCCTTTGGATGCACCTGCATCAACAATAATGTCCCCCTCACCAACGGCAACTTCTTCGAGCATGAATTCTGTCATTTCGTCGTCCTCATCCTGATCAGGCTCCATGCTTTGCGAGTTAGTATCGTCCTCCTCCTTAACGTATATCTCCTCCTCCTCTTCCTGCTCATCTAGTAGGCCCAAACTACGAAAATATTCTTCGATTTCCGCCTGTTTGCGCAACGCTTTCTCGCGAAAATGAAATGCCATATTGAGCTCAACCTTGCATGGCTTGCATATGCCATCAGGTATCTGATCCTTACCATTTAGCTATTACAAGAAAAAAAAACTTTAATACGAAATGTTTAGCTCTTCTTGGAAACGAACCTTGCTAAACGAAATTCCAAGTAGTTGAATAAGCATTTCATTCGGAGTCTCTTCGCCTTCCTCGCGTGTTTCGTCAATGCGTTGCAGCCGTTTGCTGGGCTCTAAGCAAACGCGGCATATATTGGGTCCAAGTTCACCGCGCATATTGTAATTTGTTAATCTGCTCTTTTTGTATCTCACTAGCCTATTAATTGAAATCGCGCCCCCGCTTTAGTGTTAATTTTCTTAACTTTTTCGAAGTGTTGTGTCCCGACGGCTGCTCCTAGAGATGAGTGTGCACAGAAAATGGCGTTTTGACAGTAGCGATAACTATGTACCAATGCACTACTATCGAATACATTCGATCGTAAACTCCAAGAACAACAGAAATTTGGCCATTTTTAGTATCTTTTTACGGTGAATAATTCACAGCATTTTCCCAATGATGCTAAGCTGATTAAATAAATAAATCATTTCCTTAAAAGATATTTGAAAATTTATTTTTAATAACATCAGTTGATGTGTACCTTTTCAATTAAGAAAAACTAGAATTCAGATGCATTTATAAATTCTTGACAGCAAAATTCAAATGACAAATTTGTTTTCTCAATTTCATAACATATTCTGTTTTGTAATTACGATTGAAAAAAATAAGGATCTATGACCCAAACCATGACGATGTACAGTTGCATAATAAATATAATATAATGTTTAAGATCTGTGGTTCTGAATTCCCAATATTATTGAAATGTACGCAATTTTCTCGTTCAATGTAAACATTTTCTTTTGTTGACAGATTTAGTTTATTTCTCACTAGACCCGTACTGGCAACACCATGCGTACACTGCATGTGGCAGCACTGGTAATTTTTCGAGACGCAGATATTTATTATCAGATATATAGCCAAAGAAATGGGTTCCAATTTGTTTTGTAATTGTCCAATTAGAAAATAGTGCGCGCAACTTGTAAATTTTGCAGAAGTTCGGCACTTGCGCAACATTTAATAATAAAGAGAGCAAAGGCCGCAAAAGCAGCAGAGCAGCCAAAATGGCAGCAAATGCTTATTATCTCGCATCCGTATCTTCATTCGTTGTCGTCGTTGTCGCTGTCGCCAAAATGTTCGTAATCGACTTTGCAATCTTCATCTCCTAAGCGCGAGCACGCGGACGCTCGGCCAGCGTACCTGTCTAAATACATAAATTAGAACTAAATACGTACATATATGTATATTGATTGCAAGCAGCAACAACAATATCAATCAGTGCTGAAGATTTATACTTACGTGTGCTAGTGTGTGTTTCCGTTTCACACGGAGGCTGGCTGGTCCGCCAAACAGCCCCAAGCGGCGTCTCTTAACATGTCCGAGAAGCATGGGCAGCTTGGTGCGCAGTGGTCCAAAACAGCGGCGGCAACAACAACGACGCCACAGAAACAACAGCAGCATTCGCATCCAGTTTTTGAATCAGGGACAGGAGCAGGAGGAAGCACACATAGTTATGGGAATTGCAGCATTCCGGGCTTACATGTGCAGGCCGCGCCGCCCACTGACATACCCTATACATCCGGGCGCTTCCAGGCGCCACCCATTCACGCCACAGCGCCACTGACCATTGCCCCAGTCGGCATTGGCGTTCTCCATGCGCCACCTCAGGTTTCACCCACGCCTACAAATGTACCTGTACCTGTTCCCAGCGGCTTTGTGCCGCCTACATTTGCCAATTCAGTTGCAAATGCTCCTCCAGCCCCAATGGCAGTCACGACATCTGTGCTGACCCCCAATCCCTTTGCAACAGCCGCTGGCAATGCTGGTCTGGCTTTTGCCAACGCTATTGGTCTAAACTCGGCGCAGCACTTGGAGCTGAGCAAGCTAATGAGTGCAATGTCCGCGACAGCAACATCTGGTCCATCGACAAGTGGTCAGCAATTGGTGGGTGCTGTCCAGGCACAGACAGCCCAAAGACATCACAGTGAGAATACGGGCTCTGTGGTCACTACCGTTCCCGCTGCTAGTGGCGTTATAAATTCCACTATAGCGGAGAATGTCATGAATGCGCTGACCAGTGGGTCAGCCCCTTCATCGGCTGGATCGACTCATCTACCCATTCGGATAGTAGACGAGGAAAAGATGCGACGTGTGCAGGAAGTCATCGAAGCCAGCTTAGAGTAAGTAGCAGCAGAGCAAAGCAGCAGCAGCAGCAGATTTATCCTTTCTTGACCCTTCTTCCACAGCGACAATGCCCGACTGCAAATATCGCAGATTATAGAGCGGGTTTCCACACTGAAACCCATTGAAAAGCTCTTCCTCTATTTGCGTTTGCCCGGTGAGAGCGCTGATACAGATCCCTTGCGTCAGCCTCAAAACCCGCTGGGAACACGCTCTGAGATTAATCACACCATCAATTGGGTGCGCTCCCATTTGGAGCACGATCCTCAAGTCTCCATACCAAAGCAGGATGTCTACAACGATTACATGTAAGTACTTAAGCTTTCATATAATGAATGCCCAGCTCAAATGCCCATTTCGTGCTTTACAGCGCCTATTGCGAACGTCTGAGCATCAAACCGTTATCCACCGCTGACTTTGGCAAGGTTATGAAGCAGGTATTCCCAGGAGTTCGACCACGTCGTTTGGGTACGCGAGGCAATTCACGTTATTGCTATGCAGCCATGAGAAAGACCACAAAGCTAACGCCGCCGCAGCTACCAGAGCTACGAATGGATACATCGCCGAATGAAGAAAACACTCCGGCCAGTGTTGAGTTTATGCGCTCTCTGAATAGCACTGATGCGGGTGAGGACAGGGAAAGCGACTCCTGGCTTGTGGTCCGCAATTGGGCTGAGAAGCTGCTCAACACAAAACTGGATAACATCAAGGAGTTGGCTACACGTATTAAGTCGAACACGGCCACTGTGGCAGGCGTGGCGCACAACAGCGCCAATCCACATCCACAAGGACGCAGTGGGCCGACAGCCAAAAAATATCAGCCCAGGGAACCAAAGGAAAAACGCCTGCTGGCGGTAAGTGGACTCTTTCAAAAACTTCCAATTCCACTCCATTATATACATGATTCGGATGTTGTTGCGATTTTTAGGGCTCTAGACTCTGCGCATTAGCTAACATATTTTTGTTTTCCAGTAAAGGACAATTACGATAAGGTGGTGGAGTTAGATGTCAAATAAATTATATTAAGATCATTAGGATGAAAGAACCTCTCACCTCCTGCGACCCGATGACCTTGGGCCAGAGGGTTTAGGAGATTCGCAAGACTCCGAGCTTGCATTATTTCCAAATCGGTCGATATTATTAGATGGAGAAAGAATATATATCCGACTTCATTTATAATATATTTTGGCTTATTAATAAAAATTGATTAAAACTGTTCAGAACCATTGGATGCTGATATAATAAATTTATCACTATCTAAAATTCCACCATTCTTGTCTTTGACATATACAGACCTTTGTCGAATTATAACTCAACGAAATATTGTTTTAAAAAGTGGCTAGTGTGAAAAATGCAATAAATCAATATCTCAATTATTTTTAATAGAATTAAATTCCATTTTTAAAAATAATATATTTGACCTCTTTGTAGAACCTAGTTACTCTTAGGGTTTATACATTTAGAAAACCCATTTACTTAGATATGATATATTGGTAAAATTTTCCATCTGGATATCCATTTATCTTTCAAAATAAAATACCATCAAAAGTGTAAGATCGATTTATTTTTTCAGAAACGATTGATCCCAAAATGAGTTTTATTACAAAGGTCGGAAAATATTCTGAATAAATCTTGATTCCCTGATATCCAGTTTTGAGTATCTTGGACTATAAAAATTACGCTTTGTTATCAAATTAAGCTTAGTTTATAGGACTTATTATTATAGGTATACTAATTAGCTTGTGCCATCTGTGAGAAGCTTTTGGATATCGGTAATGCTTTATGCTAGTTATGGCGCACTATATAAGCTCAGCTTTAGAAAAAATATAAATTATATATCGGGTACCCTATCTATATAATTTCATTTTATATTCAATAGGACATGGGACCATTGAAGAAGCGACGGAAGAAGAAACGCAAGGGCTCCTCCTCATCAGAGTCAAGTTGTAATCAACTGCAGTCGCAGGACGCGGGCAGCAGTCAGGAGGCGAGCGCCTATAAAACAACGGTTGCCTCTACAGTCCCCGCTGGCGTGGATGAGGAGCAGAATTTGCTGAAATTGGTGACGATCAAGCAGGAAATTATGGATTCTCCCATACAGCAGCAATCGGCGATCAGTCTAAATGCTGCGCCAGTGCCACTTCAGGGGTTGCGCTGCGAGGGCTACATGGCAGCCCAGAAGCAACAATATCAGCAGCAACAACAAATGCTGCCCATGAATCTGGCGAAGCTGCCGCCACAGAATATGGCACGCGGTGCTGCGCGCAATCTAACACCCAAGATCATGGAATTGACGACGAGTCCCAGCGGCACACTGGCTTTGGAGCAGCTGCAGAGCCCAGCGGAGCAGTCACAAGCCTCGCCCACAGCGGTTGTCATCAAGGACGAGGTCGAGGATTACAATACATCGAACATTTTCTGCAAGAAAGTGCTCAAAGCACAGCAGACCAAAGGCTTTTGGGTGAATTCGCCGAGCGGCGGTGCAAGTGGACCCTCAGCTGGCAGTGGAAACAACAGCGGCAACTTGTTGGTGCCACCAGTGATAACAACAACGGCCGCGACACCACCGCCGGCAGCGGTAACACCCTCCCAATTGGTGGTGACCCCGAATGCCACGACCCTCGCACCCATCTCCATGGGGCCACCTACACAAATGAGCAACAGCAGCAACAATAACAACAACACGAGCTCTGTAAGTCCATCGAGCAGCTTGGAAGCCGCACCCAAAGTGGCATCTCGCAACATGATGTTGCTGCGGGCAAAGCGTCTGATGGCTGCCGAGACGGCCGCCGCCACTGAGGATGCTTGTCTGCCCGAAAACCTCGGACTGCCACGGGAGCGTGTGATCAGCATTTGCAACATGGATAAGCATGAATTGGACGATTACTTTTTGCCGGACGAGGAGGAAAATTCGGAGGAGCCAGATAATGAGCTGCTTCAATATTTTCAGATGGGAGACGCTGAGGAAATACAAATGAATTCCTTGGATGCTGCAGAACAGAACAGAAATCCACAACAGATAGCAGCTGCATCAACAACAACTGCGGCAGCAGCTATGCAATTGGCCAATGTTGCTGCAACAACGAGAACATCAGCAGCAGCAGCAGCAGCAGCAACAACAATGCCACAGCAGCAACAGTTGCTACAACAACAGCTGGCGATGGCCGCGCGACGCATGCAACTGAGCACGACGCCGGTGTTGCACTCAAATAGTACAACAACAGCAACAAAAACAACAGCAAGTGGTACAGCAACAACAAAAGCAACAACAGCAGCAACAACTGCTATAAATGTTGTGGTTTCTGCCTCAGCGTCTCTGGCTTTAATGTCACGAAAGCATCAACAAGAACAACAACAACAACAACAGCAGCAGCAGCAGCAACAACAAACACAATTAAGGCAAAAGCTATTGCCAACAACAACAACAGTAACAACGCGCACGAATAACAACAACAATAAGCGCAAAATAAGTCTGAGCAATGCCGCCAGCAATGTGAACAATAAAAATTGCATATTTCTGCCCATATCGCCGAATATTAAAAACAACAGCAGCAACAATGGCAGCAGCAACAACAACGGCTTAGCGGCTAACAACAACAGCGATTGCTTTGCCAGTCCCGGCATCTCACGAATGCGTCAACGCAGCAGTCTGCTAACCAAGCAGCAATCTTTAGATTTCGACAGCGGCACCGAACTGGGCGACGGTCAGGGCGATCCAATGATTGGTGCCAATCATAAGCGACGCAATTATGTCTATAGCTATCCCATAAGTACTTCTGCCTCTGCACCGCCCAGTCCCTCGGTTCTGCAGCAGTGCATGGGCGCTAATTGGTCATTCAGTCGAGGAACCAATAACGGCAGCAGTAATAACAGCACCAACAGCAACAACAACAACTTGAGTTTTGCTGACAGTAATGTGGCTTTGCTGGCCGATCAAAATTCCATGGATTTGGAGACGAGCTTAGCACTAACCGGTGGCGACATGGACTTCCAATTAACGCCCTTAAATGAGACGCAGCGCTCACAATCGGTGCCCTTGTCGCAGCTGCAACGCATACAATCGCCAACCTTTCAGCGACAGCTACTTAATGCCAGCTATAACAACAACAACAATAATAGTAGCAGCAGTAACAACAACAACAATAATAATAACAACAACAATAGTAGTGCACTGCTTAACGAAGCACTCTTTTCGGAAAATAGCAATAGCCAGCAATCGGTGGTCTCTACTCTCAAGTTAAACGATGTGTCGGCGAGTCTGGCCTATGAGGTGGACATAAGTGCGCTCATATCACCCAATTTTGATAACAAATTCTCGAGCATAGCGCAACATCAGCAACAACAACAGCTAACTGCCAACACTTGCAGTTCCTCAGCAGGTTCTTCGTCGGGTTATAGCAGCGGTGGTGGTGGCGGTGGCGGCAATGGCTTCGGTTTGGGAATTGTTTCACGCTCTGTACCCTCAACACCACTGCCCCATCATCAGCACAGCTGCTTTATAACTAATGGAGGAGGCGGCGGCAGTAGCATAACAGCCGATCAAAGTTTCTTCAATCGACGCACTGAGGATTTTACTTTAACTAACGATTTCAGCTGGAGTTCAGCGAATAGTGGCATTAGCTACAACACCAACAACAACAACAGCAGCAGCAATCAACAGTACGGCACACGCACCGCATTGGATATATCGAAGAGTATGCCGACTACTCCCATAACCACACCTTGTTTCCGCTACAGTCCAACAGAGCTGCCGCGCGATTTTCTCTTCAATGGCAACACCATTGATAGCTTACCCTCTTCAGCGCTGGGCGGCGATAGTCTGGGTGGAGTCGGAGCTTTCAGCGCCGACACCCTTATCGATGATAGTACGCCGAGCAGCAGCGATGTGGTTCAGGCCATGATCGGCACTCCCGATATACTCGACAACTTGTAGAATTTGCAGGAAGAGAAGGCTGCGGTGGCAGCAACTGAGAAACATCAGCAACAGCAGCAACAGGTGGACGCAGTATCCGAGGAGGAGCAGGAGGTGGAACAGGCGTCCATGGCCTGCCTGCTGGAGCATGTGAACAATTTGTAAGGACAATGTGTCGGTCTGTATGCATGTCTGTTTGATTATTTATTTTGATTTATCCGTGTGAATGAATTCAACGCGATTCAAAGCTCTGAAAATTTCCAAGCAATTTTCTAGTGTTTTAAAAAACAGTTCAAGTCATATATGATTAGCACGATTAGATATGATTAGGTTTCTTCAAATATTACAGTACCCAGAGGGTATAAAAATATGCAAGAAGGCAAAACCTATCTATAATCTATACACATTTTACAAATTTGAGATATGATAGGGTTTCAGAAAATATTAACCAATAATTTAACAAATTTGAATAATAAATGATATACGATTAGGTTTCTCTAGATCTTTGAATAAAACAAAAGCAGTTGTTTTCAAAGGATATTACCGATTGCTAAAATACTCGTATATGAGTTCTGTTGTTCCCTAACTATTGCCAAGGCGGAGAAAATAATGTTCTATTAAACACCAATTTGACGATTTTCAATCACATAACAGATAAGATTAGGTTTCTTAATATAATACACTACCCAGAGGTTATATACATAGATATGCAACGAAAAAAGACTTATCTTCTCTAAACCCCTGTGTTGCAGACAATCGGCTGCCAATATTCATTTTAAAAATTTTTCCGAATTCGAACATAAATTTTTCAAAATAGATTTTATAACAAATTAGCATTAAATCCATGGAAATGAATTTGAAAAACCTACAGATTTTGTGAAAATCGTTCAGTCTAGCCAAATCGATTTCGGAAACGAGAATCTTAGTTTATATGAAGTGCAATCGTTATGTTGTAAGGCTAAACTAAATATTTAGAGTTCTTGACTTCTTATATAGCAAAACTTGTTGCTATAATAATGTTGTTTACAAATTGACTTTACAGAATTGCCTGAAATATTCGAGCTATTTATTTAATTTGTTTACATTCACAAGTGTAATTCATAAAAAAAAAAACAGCAGACATGCCGGAGACAGCACTGTGTTTCCTGCCAACCATAACAAAGAGCCTTCTCTTCGCAATTCTACACACCTGTACTCTACATATATGTATGTAACTCGATCTAAAAACGAAAATCTTTCTTTATACTACTTAATTCGTAACTCTCTAATTGCGCTCCAATTGGTTTCAAAGAAATGGAAATGGCCTACAAAACAAATTTTTGCTTGTAATTGAAACCACCACCTACCCTCAGGCCCTTGTTATAAATACTATATATACTATACAAGTATGTAGTATATTTGTACAATAATGTATGCAGATGACTGCATATTGTTGAAAAAGAGAACCTAGAAATATTCTGTAGTTGCGTAGTTTTTACTGTTGAAACGTGTCCGTAACTCTTTCGTTGGCCGAACTGCAAAATGTTTTTGTTTTAGTTTTAAATGGGTAAAGAAAACAAATAATAAATATTATAAATAATAATGTAATGTACGAGTAGTTACGAAAACAACCTTACAAATGAAACGAACTTAAAGTCTGAATGATGTAAACAAACGTGCAGCGGTTTTAAAAACATAACAAACGAAACAAATCTACAAATTGTAATTGTAATTATAATTGTTAACAAACCAGTGTAATATTTGTAAGAATTTCGGGCGCGGACTAAGCTGCTTGTTAATGCCCTGGGCAGGAATGATTCGATGATCGTAGCCCTAACTTAGTTCTGGAACGATTTTTGCTGACAGTAACAAATGTACAACAATTGTTTGGGGCATGTATCTATATATCTGTATATGTAGTTTTAGTAGAAATTCAACAATATTAACAAACTGTGCGTGTTTGCATTCTAAGTGGTATGTATATGTATGTATCCATAAAGTCTAGTAGGTATGGCCTTTGGGATTATTCCCAATCAATTGCAAATTGATTTTCTATTGAAACCACACAAGAAAGTTTTTCATTTTATAAACAATCTGCTTCTACTGAATTGTTACACTTCTTCTATTTTTTACTTCTTAGCTATAACTTTTAATGATCTTTTCCAATTTAGCTGTAAGTGTTTGTTTGTTATAAATATGTGTTTTTCGGCTCTAGTGCTGTTGGTGTAGTAGTGGAATACTGGATAATAGTCTAGTAATTATCCACACACACACACATGTTCGCCTTTAGTTTTAAATGTTTTGGATTTTAAGAGAAAATCTACAAGTTTTCATTTAATTTCAAATTTCGATTATTTTACTTACAATTACAATTTTGGCTGGTCAGGCAGGTAAATAATTTGAGCACAAACTTTATGAAAGTATAGATTTCTTTTATAGAAACTTGGCAGTCTGACTGTATCGTCAAGGTTGGTCAGACAGGAAAACTTGTCAAATTCCCAAACAATATGAAATCTTGACATTTATAAAAATTTGTGCACAAATTATGCATGTCTGACCTTTGCGCAAAGATTTGGTCATACGGGCAAATAATTTGCAGGCAAACTAGTCTAACATAAAGTTTTCACCAATAAAAACACCTCTTTGGCATTAACACAAATCTGCATGCAAACTATTTGTATGTCTGACCACAGCTCAAGTTTTGAAAAACCTGCCCAGTTGCCGGCTTCAATATCTATAAATCTATTTGGAACAAAGTGTTTAGCCTTAAAAATTACAATTTAAATTCAATGTTAATTTGTTTGTGAAACAAAGTAAAATAAAATTATTCAAAGCACACTCTTTCTTCACTCTTCCCTTCCCAAGCAGCTTTAATTTTGATGTCCAACAACAATAAATGTTTTTAAATGTAAGCTTAAAAACGAATTCAAAGAAAATCATAATAAAAATGTGCCTCAGGCTTAATTGTAAAACAAAACAAAAAACAAACATATACAACAAATAAGAGTAATAAAAGTGAGAAAAAAATGAAGAGAGGAGGAAAGTTTGCTATTTATACAACATATGTAATTATACAACCAACAGGCATAACAAATACTATACATAATTAAATAGTTTAATAGCGCGTTATACGATTAAATATACACACTTTTTACAATGGCAAGGCGTAGGAAACGAACGAATTCAATTTTATGAACTGTCTTAAGTATTGAGAGCCTTAATGTATTTGTTTTAAATCGAAGCATATATAGTCATAAAATTAAACACTCTTAAATGCAAAGCAACATCAAACACAGCTATGAATGTGTGTAATTTAATATATGTATGTATATATATATGAGTGTGAGCCCACAAACTGCATTGCACGCCCAATGCCAGTCCAATCCAATCCAATCGATCCAAACGCTGCTGCTTTAGAAACCATACACAACAACAAGAAGAACAAGAAACCCAATAAATAAATCTTAAATAGTCAAATTACAAACATAAATAAGTACATACTTCATACATACATACATCGAGTACATACATACGTATACTGAACCGGGAACACTTGGATATATAATTAGCGAAAGCTTTGGATACAGCTTAGAGATTAACGAACCAAACTGTACTTTTTGATAAGATATTTGAATGGCATAAACGTACATACCTACATACTAAATAAAATACAATAAAATAACAACAACAACAATAGATTAACTTCAACGAAAACATACAACAAATAATTTAAAATAAAATGAAAACTTAAAAGAAAATCCAAGAACTTTTTACTTACTTAATTATATATATCGGAAGATCTCTGCACTTCTATATATGTAGGTAAGCAACTTACGAGCAAGTGGATGAAGACGACCGATTGCTGCTTTGGCAGCTATATGATTGATCTATTAGTCCGATGTGGTATAAGTTATCAATGAATAGGAAGCTTCACTGCAATATCTTATCAATACTATGTGGTGCCTCCTCCTGTATACGCAATACACTTTCCAGCATTACCGTTCAACCAATATTATAAAAAACAAATTTTTATGGAGAACGACAAAAAATGTAAAGGCATTCCTTTCAATCTGAAACAAGCTGTGCAGTAGAGATGAATATTTGCTGAAAATATTTAATCTAGAATTTGTTGATAAATTACCCAATTCTACGCGCTATCCACAAAAATAGAAATTTCGTTTTCTTGCTTATTTTATATGTGTATTTTAAAGTGGTTTGTTTATTGAACGTTTAAAATAATATGCAATAAATATTTTTTAAATACAATATACTTTTAATTTTAATACGCATGTGCTTGCCAGCGCAAGCCATTGTTAATAATGTTCGCTGGCTTGACTCCATTTTTACTTTTACTTTCACATCTATGTACTTCCACATTCACTTCCTTCCACTACAATGTTAATGCGCACATCTGAATATCGTTACCGTTGCACGCCATACATATAAATTGAACTATTTATTTATAATATATATATTTATTTGTATTTGCATGACGTTTGTTTATTGTTAGTAAATTATGTTTTAATAGCGCCAAATTAATAATTCATTTGCTACAACTGATTTATGTTATGCGTGTCTCTTAAGTTGAGTATATAACTATATATATCTAGTTATACTCGTATTTGTATATATATATATATATATATATATATATATATATTCTCAGTTAATTGAAGTATACCTTGGCCAGTAGTGGGGCGAAAGTAAACTCTGCTGCCTTGTATACAGCATTCATATGCGGTATATATAATACAATATACTATACATACAAGTATTTATAAAAATCGTTTATGCATCTAATCTGCGCCTGTGGTTGTTTGCTTATTTATTTATTTAATATTTATTTTATATTCTGTTAATTGTTATGTTTAGGCTTCTCTACGCTAATAGCACATTTGAAATTCCCATTATTTACTATGCTCGTAACATATATTTCGTATATATATAATATAAAACAGAATATGATTTCGATTTCGTTCGTTATTACATATTTTTGCATTACAATTTTATTACTTTTTTAATACTTATAGATTCTTTACGTATATGTATTTTATTTATTTATGCTTTAGGGTTTTTATTTACTTTCGATTTTTTACTTGCTTGCTATATGTTAAGTATGTTTTTTGTTTTTAAATTGCTTGTAAATTATTTGTTTTCCAAAAAAATTTATCTCGCATTTTTTTGTTTAATTGATTTCCTGATATTTGACTTCTCCTTGCTGCTTTTTTTCCTGTTGTATATGCTGGCTATAGCTATTTATGTATATAATTTTATATATGTATGTGTATATATATATTTATATAAAATTGTTGTTGTTGTTATTTCGCTGAGGTGGAAAATTCATTAATTAATAAGGTTACTTGTTGTTGTTGTGTTGCGGCTACGATTGCTTCCTCTTCCTGCTTCCCCTTTGCTAAACCTATTTATTCTCATTTATTGATTTATGTATAATTTAAATTTATTTGTCTTCGCCTGTCTGTTTAGTGCATTACAATACATACTTTAAAATTGCCATTTTGTTGGCCTAGAGTTTTTCCGACTAAAACATAAAAACTGTGCATAATAATATTACAAATTATTTACATCGAAACTTACACAACTAAAAAGTAAAGTGCTGTCCAACAATTACTTAACGTGCGCCCATATTTTTATATATATTTTTTATTATTAATGTTTGGAAGCGTCGAATTTCTTTCTCTCTTTAAACAGGAACGGGTCAGTTTTAGTTTCTTATTTATTTTTGCAGGTTGGTCCCAATACGGCTCGAAGAAATGTGAGGAAATGAACTAACTAAAAAAAATGTTAAATTATAATAACAGCAGTTGTAAGGAACAGCAGTCTGTAAAAGAGGCGGACCGTGTCGGTTGCGAGTCAGTTACGTTTACAGCGCTGTAACAGCGCTGTACGTTAACATTGCTCAGCTCTGTTATAAAGCAGCTGTTAGATGAATTGAAAAACAAAACACAGAATCTCTGTCAATTAGTTTACAATTTATTTTAAAAAATTATAAGAAAACACGCGATTTTGAATTCGCTAATTAGGTTAAAAAACATATCCATATATATATGATTTGAAAAAACGCAATAATAAAACTTTTAATTTAAATTAAACAATAAAATACATAAAAATTATAAATAATAATAATAATGGTCGCAGGGAAATCAGTAACATTGTTCATCAGCAATTGGTGCCTTACTAACTATCTAACTAAATACATTACATATGTATAGTACATACAGATTAATCAGTTAAAAAATGCAACTATATAACTTAAAACAGAAACTTTCTCTTGTAAATAGAACTGCACACAAAAGCATATATAGAATAAGTTACTTAAATATAAACACAATTCATTTAGTTAAAATTAATGTAAACTAAAGTATTAATTTGAAAAATAAACAAAACAGACTAAAACTGAGCAGAAACATTACGTGGTGTGGCGTTGGGGGGCGGTTGCAACAACAAAAATATGGTCGAAGTAAAAGAACATAATGGCGAGTCACTGTTAAAGCTGTCTATAAACACTCTTAACATGCTGTTCAATTTTAACAGCGGGAGAGAGAGAGGAAGAGCAGGCAAACTTTATACTCAATCCGCACTATGGGGAACGGTGACTTCCGAACCAGCTCATTGAGCCGCGGCACTGTTATTTCTTTAAATGAAGTGGATACTCGTAGCTTTAAAAAAAATTAATATACAGGTCTGTTACCGTCCCCGAATTCTTAGAAAATATGAGAAATCGGAATTGGAAATTACGCAAATTCGGTCAAATGATTGAACAAATTGGCTTAAATAGTCGATAGTGAAGCTGCGCAGCAAGTTTAAAATTTGTCGTTTGCTAATTCAAATTTCGCCTTTTCGAAAGAACTTGGGTACGAAAACAGACCTAATATTTTATATTAGGGGAAATTTAGTATTATTAATTCGTTAAAAATTGATTCAAAAAATGTCTGTAGAAAATCACAAAAGTGTAAAAATCTCACAAATCAATTTCTGTTTCGGAATCAAAATCCCCCAATCAGCAGTGAAACCTCATTGCCCGCTCTTTACAATTTCTTAACCCACTACAATATTGTGTTTGCTTTTATGGGGGCCCTTTACATCGTATTCTTCAGCAATTTAACTAAGTTATAATTTGAATACAACTAATTAGTCGTTGTGTTTGCGTTGCTGGCGCCATTTGCCGGAGGTGGCGGCAACGATACATCCCCAGTATTGCTCTTGCTATCCAGTGACCAATCCCAATCTTTGCCTTTGGGCCTAAACTTGGACGACTTGTGATGATGGTGCTGCTGTTGCTGATAGCTGGCGGATTGGCTCTGGTGTGGTGATTTCTCTTTTGGGGACTTGCCAGACTTCCCACCACTGGAGAGTGGATTATTGGAGGTGGCAGCACTGCCCAACTCATGACTGCCCCCGTTACCAGCAGCATCGGCGGCCGTGGGTGGCGCACTCGAATTCGAGTAGGCAAGAAGTTCATCGCAATCGTATTCCCAATTCCGTTCGCAGAACTTTTTCTTGTAATGCTTCTCAGAACTGCTCTTCGACTTACGCTGATACTTCAATGGTATTTTGAGTGCAGCTTCCTGCGCCAGCACAGGTGGGGGAGGCGTCGCCACTGCGGCCGTTGGACTCGGTGTCCTGGGCAGCCCAATATCGGATAGTGGCGGCGATTCAATTGCACTGGGATCGACCGGCGAGACTGTCTTCAGAGAATTGCTGCCCGCATGCAGCGATGAGGAGGTGGTCGACTTCATGCTGCTGTCGCTCAAATGATCGATGCTCATCGAGTGCTGCGCCTGCTGCTGCTGTCCGGACTGAAGCTGTCCAGATTGTCCAGATTGCAGCTGTTGTTGCTGGTGATGATGAAGATGGCTTAAGTGGTTGCTGCCGGCGTGACTGTAGAGACTGGAGCTGCTGCTGCTGCCACCGCTGCTGATGGGCAAGTCCAGCTGGGAGGAGGTCGAAGAAGTGGACAAAAAGGTGCGTGCGGCATCCGAGTTGCTGCTGCTGTGGGTAATGCCCGAATCCGGGGAGGTGTTGCAGCTGATGGAGGCGGGCACGGTGTCGCCGTCAATGGAGCGCCGTGTCTTGTCTAGCTCAGTGGAGGCGAAGGCCACCAGACGATCAAAGCCTGAGCTCACGCGATGTTGCCAATGGGATTCATCGTCCGCAGCAATCACATCGTCTATATCACAATAGAGGAGGGAAATGAGAAAAGCAACAATATTAGTAAATAGTTATGGTTAATGTTGAAGTTTTGTGCACTCCGAAATATGCAAGGTATTGTCCTAAAATTTGAAAAATCGATAACTAATTGTATATACAATCATAGTATTTTTTCAAGCCTTTTTAAACTTTTTTAAACATGAGAGAATTCAATTTAATTGAGCCGCTATTGTTATAATTATATTTTTATACCCTGTACCCAAAGGGTACAAGGGTATATTAGTTTTGTGCGAGTGCACATGGAACACACAGAAGGAGGCTTGGTAGACCCCACAAAGTATATATATTCTTGATCAGCATGACAAGCCGAGTCGATATAGCCATGTCCGTCTGTCCGTCTGTCCGTCTGTCCGTCTGTCTGTCTGTCTGTCTGTCTGTATGAACGCAAGGATCTCCGAAAGTATAAGAGCTAGAATAACCAAACTTGGTATACAGATTCTCCTGAGACCGAGAAAGGACGAGTTTGTTCATTTTTTCTGATCCACCCCCCCACTCCCCCCCTATTACCGATTTTCTATAACTCCCGTAATTCTTGGAATTTTGAACTAAAATTTGGTAGTTACATTAGATTAGTAATTATATATCCGTATACCAAGTTTCATTATGATAGAATGATCGGAAAGAAAGTTATAGCCATATAACCAGGCCCAATGCACACATACATACATATGTACAAGTACACAAACACGCATAAGGCACGATTCTGATGTAAATGTAAATGTATGTATGCATGCATGGAATATTTTATATTTAATTAATTAATATTTAGTTAATTAATTAAATTAATTTAGTTAATTAATTTAATTAAATTAATTAATTAATTTAATTACTTTTTTATGGGGTGGTACAGGGTATTTAAGAGTTGAGCCTGCTCGACTTTAGCATTCCTTTCTTGTTATCATTTAAAAAGACGTTATTTTTTGTTTCTTCATTTCCCTAATCTTCGAATGGTTCGGAAAAAATTTAGAACATATACAAAAAAATTGAAGAAAGCTGTTTTTAATATGTAAAATTTTTTTTTTAATAACTGGTCTATATTCATAAAGAAGCTCTCTAATATTGCATTTAACATTTTTCTTTATTACTTTTAAATATTGTATTTAAAACACAATTTAATAAAATGTAGGAAAAGTACTAGCATTTGAAAAACGATTTAAACAACTTTTTAAAATAGTAACGAAAATGTTAGGAACCTTTTGATATTACTTAAAAAAATGTACCATATTTCGTACATATTAATTTATTTAAAAAGCAATTTCTGATTTAAATATTAGTTGAAGTTGAATTTTTCATAAAGCTATTAAAAGAACGACTTTTCACATTTTAGGACGATTTGCTTAAAGCTAGTTTTTCGATTGAGGCGTGTGTGTTGAATTCTGCTTAGACTAAGCTGTGGTTTCTCGATATGGATAGGCATTTATTCATATACATATGTGTGTGTGTTTGTGTGAGTTGTTGTTGGTGCGTGTGGGGTGCATGATCAGCATTTACAGTTAATGTCGGATGAGTGGGTTCTGAACTTTGCGTCGTGTAGCTAAGCCCTAGGAAGCCGCAGTACAGTTGCGTGCAAAAACTCAAAAGTAAATAATGTTGTATGTGTAACAAAAAAAATCGGTTAAAAATAATAAATGATAAAAAATAAAATGATTACAAAATAATAATAATAGAAATAATGTTTTTTAATAATAAATAAGAGGTTAAAAAAAAACCAACCAATTAGGCGCAACAGAACTTACCTCATGCTCGTTAAAATAGCTCAATATTTTGGCATAAATTCTGTTTCTTTGTATGCATTTTTTTTTCTGTATTTTGTTTAGTAAATTATTTAACGTAAAAAATTATGTTGTCTTTTTGTTTTTGTTTTTTTGTATCTCATAGTTTGTACTCGCTTTGCTCAACAACATACTTGGTTTTAGGTATTTTGTTTGTTTGTTTGTTTCAGTTTTTTGGTATATCGTTTTGCTTTTTGAAAATTTTGAGGTAAGTCATTCAATCAATCAATCAACCAATCGATCAATGGTCATTGGTACTGTGCGGCAAACTACTACTATCGGCAACAACCAATCCCATGCCCAGGGATGCAGTTGTCGTCGGGCCAGATAGTTTCGTTGTGCCACCTGAGGAGGACAGAGAAGTCGTTCGAAGACGTTGGTGCGCCTCAAAACGACGTCTGGGATCGTAATTAGTTATAGTACGTTGCGTTGCCAAATCGGTAACTGTATGGAGTAGAGCATATAGAAGGGATAAAGAAGAGTGGATAAGAAGAGGGGCGTGTTTTTAATAATTCAATTCAATTATTGCCAATTTTGCTTTTTTTTTTTGTTTCTTAAATTTGTTTCATATTTTATTTGTTTTCATTTTAATTTTAGTAGAGAATTTAGCAAAATTAAATACAAAATTGTAACATTCAGAGAGAGAATTGAAGGGGGTTAATAATGTATGTACAAAAGAGAACGAAAGAGCGTTAGCTTCGAGCGCCAAGCATGAATTTGTGTGTGTGTGTGGGTGAGTATTGAGCTCAGCGAGAAGAAATGTAGTATACATCAGGGCGCATGAATGACTTATTAATTAGGATGGTGTTATTTTTATTGATATTGATCGATGGGTATAAGTATATGGTTTCACAATGAATTTGTCGCATTTTTGAATTATTTACAGAATGTATATCCTTGTTGTTTTGTTGTTGTACGTATATGTATGAGTTGAGGTAACCCGTCAATGCAAACCACATTTACAATCACATATTGAAATTGGAAAGAGTTTATTGCATTCGCAATATATAGTTTACCATTCCCAATTCATTTGTATTAGGAACTCTGAGATATGCTTCAAAAAAACCTTAAAAAATAACCTCTATGAGATTAATTGAAATTAAAAAATGGAACCAACAAAAATGAAGAATTAAAAAGTATTATATTTCTTCAATTGAGTTTTGAAAGATTTGCCCATGTTTGGTTTCTCAGATAATTACATGCTACATTTTGAAATTTTTGGTTCTCACATCCGTAAATTGTTACTTTTAGCGGAATGGTAAATAATTGTCATTTATATTTCCAAAATATTATAACCTACGGATTCAAATCGGCCTCAATGCTTTCAATTGGAAAAATATTTTGTTTCTTGGGTAATGTAAAGCAAACTCTACAAATATGTTCCGAACTTTCATTTCCGATTACTTTTAAAAAGTAAAACGAATGCAATTCTGATGAATTGGTTAAATTATGTTTCCCATTTCAAAATGCATTGCAATGTTTTTTCGCTTTTGAATTTCATTTCGTAACGATTGAATGCGGGTTTAGTAGAATACATTTGTTATAAACAAATCATTATCGAAGTTCATTTCGAATCGTTTTTAATTTGGGCTTACAATCAACGTTGATTACAAAACGTGTTCTAATTTTAGTTCGATAGAAAGAGTTTTAATTTATAAACGCTTTTGTTTCAAACAAATCTATCGGCACTAATGCTACACATATGCTATATGTCCGGTCGGTTTTCATCACCCGATTACCTAACAAAATTTACGATTGACTTATTTTGACTAATTTTTCTTCTTATTAAAATACGTTCTCTGAAGGTAATTTGCTTTTCATTTTGAAATGACGTTCGCGATCTTAGAGTTATTTTTTATATAGTGCATACGTATCATGTAAAGGTTTGTTATGAATTCCATAATTTTCTTTGCATTTTTAAAAGGAACCTTATATTTCTATTGTTATTTGCGAATACGTTTGATTGTAAAACATAAATATTTAGGGAGTTCGCAACAGATGTGAGCTAAGCTATATGTTTTTATATTTTTATTTTAGATACGTTGTCAACTTTATTTTTCTAAAAGTTACACTTCAATTGTTTACTGTTCTTGTCTAGTCTTTTGGACTTTCGAACTTTGTTTCATTTGTTATTGTTGCTTCTGTTTGCGCTGTACTTTCGATGGCGAAATTAACAAATATCGGCAAATTATACAAAATAATTAAATAAAATAAATAATAAACAAAAAGCAGACTACAAAATAAAAAGTAATAATAGAGGACATAGAAGAAAGCAAAGCTACCACATTTACGAAAACACAAAACGCAACATTTAAGTGAAAAAACGTTGGGCAGTGGGTGGATGTGTTCCTGTTTTTAATTTGTGTATATAAGTACAATTATAAAGGTTTGTTTAAAATTAAACAGCTATGAAATGCTTATAGAAGGCGTTCGTTAAAAAAAAATTTAAGACAATTATTCCGAGTCAGTTTGCTGCACTTTTTCAGTGTAGGAAGTATTTGAATTTGAGGAGGAGGACGAGGAAGAGGAGGAAGATGAGGAGGAGGAGATGGAACGGTCTGTTGAGTTGGAGCTTGAAGAGGAGGATGAGTCTGAGTCTGATATAGCGCCATCTTCATCATCATCTTTCTCCTCCTCATCCTCATCGGAAGAATTTGGAAAGGGCGGGTCAGTCTGCACTGGCTGTGACATATTAGTGTGGGCTTTGCTTGAAAGATCTTCAGCTTCCAGCTGAGCCGAAGAATCGATAGCGTGTGGTGTTTCATAATTGTTGTGTGGTTGTTGTGTTTGGTGGTGGTGGTGTTGTTGTTGTTGTTCTTGTGGGTAGTGATATTGTTTGTGAAATGTGGTGGTGATATGTGCATTAGCTTCTGCTGTTGGTGCTACAGTGGTTGCATGGTGGTGCTCAGTGGTACTAGCATGGTTTACGTTTAGCTTACCATCATCGGCGGCATTGGCGCGCACTCCCACCATGGTGGGCGTCGTGCTGGTCTGATGTTGCTGATGCTGTTGTTGCGTTGGTCGCTGCAAGTGCGCCACCTGCGGTGGCTGCTGCTGCTGTTGCTGCTGATGATGATGCGCCATTGGCGGCTGACCGTGGTGGCTGCTATTGGAATGGGGACGTGAATTGGACAAATGTAGAGGCCGCTCATCACCCATAAGCGAATTGATTTCGGGACTCATCAGCAGTGGTTCAACCAACAATTTGTTATTGTTGTTGTTGCTGCGTCGACCACCGCCCGACGACATCGAAGACGACGGCGTGGGTGAGGGCGAGGAGGTAGCATGCAAGGGATGTGAAATATGATGAACGCCCGGACCCGGGAGTGGCAAACCACCATTGCTGTTGGCATAGGGATTCGACGAAGGGTGCATGTGGTGTGGTTGCTGTTGCGGTTCATAGTGTGGCATCTTGGAGGGACGTGGCTGTTGATGCGACGCCAGTGGCGAGCTGCGCTTCACACCCACTAGAAGATGAAGAGATAGAGAGAACATGTAATTGTGTGACTCAAGTGGTTCAAAGTGGTTCACAGCTTACGCTCCACTTTGTGCGGCGTCCCATTCAGATTTGGTGCATGTTGATGATAATGAGCAGCTGTCAGTTGATGTGCTTGCTGTTGCTGCTGTGGCGGTGGCGGCGGTGGTGCCTGCTGTTGGGCATAGTGCGCCATATCTGCAGGCGTCTGCAGCACCACTGCGGCCGCGGCCGCACGTCGCTGTCGTTCCTCATTCTCCTCCTTGTACTTGCGAGCTCGTACGTGATCCTGCAACGAAGCGGCGAGCCCTACAAAGGAAGGATGTACAGCATTAGTATTGATATACCAACAAGGTGGTAAAGATTTCTTCATGTATGGGAGATACGATGTGGCTGCGATTCAATTAGATTCAATTTTAGAGCCAGGCAAGGCTTTATGGAAGCCATGCGTTCTATGATTCGAGTTCTCGGCTACTTATTAAGCGCTTATCAGGATCCTAAAGTTTTTAAAAGAGTTATTTGATACAAGCGATTTTGTAGGCCTTTTCAGCTCAATCCGTTTGGAGAAAGTAACTTCAAACTACAGACTTTTCTTTTTTGTGGGTGCAGGGCAGTACAAGAGAAGAAAAGGTTTTTCGGAACGCCTTTAGAAAACTTCCCTACAAACTATGGGAATACATAGAGTCACATTCTCTTGTCCATTCTCTCTTGTACCTTTTAAAAATGATAATGCGAAATGGATCTCATTCCGAAAATCGCTTCCTGTGCCGAAACTTCAGTAGTACATTCAGAGAATACATTCCCTCCGAGCTTAATAAGTGTTAGGATTGGCTGGGATAAAATTGCCCACCAGTCCAGTATCTAAACTAATGGCCATCTGGGTCACATGTTGCACGAATCAGACACACTTGTTAAGCTTTTTTAAAGGGCTGATTTAACTATGAAATTGCGTCTCAAGGTATAAAACGTATTTTACAAAATCACATTAGGAATCAGGAAGAATTGTGTATTCGATAACGGACAAATCAAAATTTGTGTTTCTTCCGTATATTTTAGCAATTACCTTCTAGTGGCGGATTTGCGCCGTTCATGCGTGGTGTCCGCAAATTAGCACCACCGGTGGCCTTAGATTTTTGCTGCTGTTGCTGCTCCTCGTGGAAGTAGGACTCGATGCAGTTCTTCATTTCGGCGCGAGGCAATGCTACGGGTTGATAGTCCCGGGAATTGACAGATCGGGAGGCAGGTGAGGCGCGTGCTTGATATGGGGCATGGTCGCCGCTACGAGAACTGCTGGACCGGGAGAGCGATGTGGTGCTCGGCTGTTGTTGCTGCTGCTGCTGCTGCTGCTGTTGTTGTGGCAGTTGGTGGTGCTGTTGCTGTTTGGGGTCCACCTTCTGATTGTAGGCCACATGGGCTAGGGTTGCCAGATTGTTTTGATACGGCGATTTACGTTCAGCACCGCTAGCCACCGCTTGACTATAGTTTGTCGGCTGTGGCTCCTCGGTCAGTGGACGCACATGCACGCGCTCCGGCCGTTGAGCATTCAGATTGATGAGCAATCGCTCATTGGACCGTTCCCGTTCCCGCTCCCTTTCGCGTTCACGTTCACGCTCGCGTTCGGCCAAAAAGGCCCGCTCCATGACATAAGCACTGCTGTTATTGACGTTTCCAGCACCACCCCCACCACTGGCACCGACAACACCATGACGATCCACAGCACCCATAGTGCTCATATTGACAGCGGCATTAATGATGCTCTGATGCGAGATCTCGAGCGTACGTTCAATTTCCCCATTCACCAGATCTCCAATTGTCTTGCTGGACAGGGGCAGTGAACCGCCCGCTGGTGGGGGCGTTGGCTGCGGTCCATGTCCATGCTGATTGAGCTTCTCCTGCGACAGATGGCGACGTAGCGCCATCTTTGCCGGTGATACTTGTGTGTAGTCTGGCTGCGAAGAGTTCGAATCCGGTCGACTTGGCGGACGCAGATTGCCACCACCACTTGGATGAAGCGATGCCGACTCTCGACTAACGCTGCGCTCGTGCGTGAGCAGACGCTCACGTGTGGGCGCATAACCCGAACCGGCACCAGCATAATCCGAATGCGCCGAACTGGAACGCGGCAATAGTTCCAAATCTAATTGTTCGCGACTACCCGAGCGTGGCATTAGGTTCTCAGCGGGCGCCTTAAACTCCAATGGTGCATGATGAGCCGGCAGGAGCTGCGCCTGATGGTGATGATGCTGCTGCTGAAGAGTTGATGGTAAGCCCCCAGCTGCCGGATGCTGATGCTGCTGGTGGTGCACGTGCTCCTGTTCCCGCTCCCGCTCTCGTTGCTGCTGACGCTGCGCCACATGCGCCGCCGCTGCCATCATAAGGGCATGCTGCTGCTGGGTCTGCTGCTGTTGAACCATGAAGTGCTCGTAACTGTTGGCACTAACGGAGCTGCGACGACGATGGTAGTTCATGGGATCCGTGGGAGTGGGTGGTGCATTGGATGCGGCGGCTACAGCATACAGAGCCGCTGGCGATAAGTGCGATAGGTGTGTGGGTGGTGGTTGTGGCGGTGCTTGACTGTGGGGTGTTGCCACTGTTGTTGGCGTCGTCTGATGATGATTGTGGATCTGCTGGAGCTGTGGTTGTTGTGGTGCGTACTTGATCGACTCTTTGACTGCTCCATATTTGCCAATTGTGGTTTGCTTGCCTGCACCACTCTGATACTTGCCAGCATAGGCGCTGCCATAAGGTAAACTACCATTGGCTGGATTTGGAGGTAAGCCGGCGGGTGCCGGGGCCGCTGATGCTGCAGCCGCTACAGCACCACCACCTGCATTTGCGGGCAGCGGTGGTGTTATCGGCGATATGGTCGTATTGGCATTCAAATGCATCAGGCCCTGTGTGGAGACTGTAATTATGTTGTGCAGATTGTTTGGCACTTGACAGGCGGCACTGCTGGGCACCACCGGTGGCGGTAAATGATTCGCCTGATTAACGGCATGTTTACTGCGCTTTGGTGCTGGCGATTGCAACGGCGAATTCGTCGGCGGCGGCTCATGCAATGATGAGGATGGCTGTGGCGCTACCACCGCCTTGCTGCGCTGCTCCTGATCCTCATTCAGCGCCGAGGTTATGATGCTCTTAAGGCGATCCTCAAAGTTCGCCACTTTGGGGGATTCTTGAATGCTCGGACACGTTGCATTGGTCATAGAACTTTGCTTGCGTCCCAGGCCGGGTAGCTCGCATTTTGGCAGCAAGCTACCACTCACACGTCCTGGCACCACTGCTGATGGCTGCTGCTGCTGCTGTGGTTGTTGTTGTTGTTTAGGTGCAGGCATTAATGTGCTGTCCTGCGCCGGTTGCATGTAAACCGAAATGGCAGGCATTGAACCCTTGCCCAGAGATCTCTGCTGCTTTTCCTCCAAGGGCGTAATAGGTGGCAAGTTCTTTGAAGCACCACCGTTAATGTAATTGTTGAGTGGTTGCTGAAATTTGCCAGCTTCTATCTGACGCCCAGTCTCCAGAATCTTTTGCGCCAACACCTCGGGATTGCTCTCCTCGATTTTTCCCATATCTGGCACTTCAGGCCATTCCTGGGAGCGTGCGCGATTCTCACGACTGCGACGAGCATGCTTGGCACTCGCCTTCGAATTGCTAACGGTGGAGGGGCTGTTTGGCACAGAGTTATGACTTGTGATCGATGATGATGTTGAACCGACTGAGTTGCTGTGGTTTGTGGTTAGCTGCAGTGGTTGCTGCGGGCCTGCGGTGGTACCCGATGCATTGGATGTTGAGGCCAGCGTAATGTTGGTGCCTTGGGCGAGCAGTGCTGCCGCCGTTCTTCTCTCCTCTGCGGACTTCTGCAGCACATCTGTCTCCTGTTCGATGGAGGACACTTGGGCATAAAGCTTCTTCCTTTGTGTCAGCGTGTTGGCTATTTCTTTGAGTACCAACTCCTGAGCCGACGACTCGGACAACTCATTGGGCAGCTCTAGCTTTACTTTGCCATTAGCCAGACCCCCGCACATTTTCTGATATTCTGGCAAATGCTTAAGACGTAAACTCAGCAAATGTTGCTGCTCCGACTCATAGTGAGTGACCTCATTCCGGATTTTGCTTGCAGCATGTTGCAAGTCCTTGTGCCTGCTCACAATCTCCTTGGCCTTGGCAATGAGATCATTGGGCGAGGAAACATTTATGGAGAGCTCATTCATTCGAACCTTGAGCAGCGCCACACTGTCATCGATGAGCACCCGTATCTGTTTATCCAGCTGGCTGGCACGATTCTTCAGACGCGCCTTACGCTCTTGCTCCTGGGCGATTTGTTTTTGAACCTGCGGCACAAATGCACTCGACTTCATGTGCTCCATCATGGCCATGTATTGGGAGCGGAACACATCGAGTAGGATTTGCAGAGCATAGGGTGTATGGGGAGCTGCCGGAATCTCTAGTTCTGTGTGCGACATATTCTCTGTGAGCAGAGATGTCAATTGTTGATCTACAGTTCCGGGTGCTGCGGGCAACTTCTTTGTCATCACATCATGCGCTGTACTCAGCACTGTCTGCTTATGGAGAGCATCAAGACCAACAATTTTCAGAGATTTGCGACCACGTGCACCCTTCTTCATGCGACCCTTACGACCGGGACCAGGTCCCCGCATTGTTGAAACACTGCTGCCATTATCCTCCTTCGATGACGACTCTTTACTGTTGGCAGCCGATGCCGAAGCGGTGGTTGGTGTGGCCACTTCGCGTTCCGCTTCACGTTGCGCAGCGGCAGCCGCCGATTTGTTCGCAATCGCCGCCTTTCGTGTAAGCTTCTTGCGTTTCTTCTGAGTGGCTGCTCCGCGTACATTTCGCACCACAGTCGTCTGGTTGTTGCTAGTGGTGGTGTTATTGTTCTCCTCGTCATCCGACTGGGAGCTCTTCCCTTTGGAGCTGCACCAATCCGACCACACTTTACGCGTCATTGGCCCATTCGAATTGGTTGTGGTTGTTGTTGTGGTGGTGGTGCCACCACCATTTGTGGCGTCACCATCGCTTTCGGTTGAGGTATCCATGTCCAGGCTGCGTTGCTGTTGAGCCGTTGCGGCCTGTTGACGCGTCTTGGAGGCGGCTCCTGCTCCTGCTCCTGCAGTTAATCCGGACGTAACATTTGCTGGCGATTGTGTACGCGAATTCGAGTTATTATTATGATGATTGTTGTTGTTGTGAACGATGTTCGCCTCACGTTTGGCACGATCTCGGGTGGTGCGGACGGTGCCTGCAAAATAAAGATAAAAAAGAGAGAAAAGAAGGTGTCAGTGGGTTTTATTGTGCGACCTCTTTTGTCACTTATCGGTGGATTGGATATCTTCTTCCCTAACGATCAGTGATCAACAATTATTCATAACTGATTAGTGATCAGTGATCACTGATTTTTATCTGGTCAAGCCTTGAAACTAAATTGTGAAAAACGCAAGAATTTATTTTAGATACGAGTATATATACATAAATTGGTACGATGATCGATGCATGAGGCAATAGGTATGTTCGAATGATTGGTTGGCGATTGATCGTAACTTAAAACACTGATTGAGACGGTGATTTAAGTGAACGATGTGTCTGATTTGAATTGATAATTTGGAATGATTTTGATTGAATTCTTGTGTTTGATTTTTGTGGATTCGGTTTGTTCTGATTTGCCTGTAACGTATCATATGAGTTAACCTCCGCTCCTCGTTGAACTTACCCACATGCTCGTGGTCACCGCCCTTCGTCTTCAGGCGCTGAAAATAGCGCTCCAATATGGTGCGATCGATAACATGCAAGTAATACGATACGGGCTTACACGTCCACGAGACGGAACCCTTAAGCGGTGGTATTTCGCTTACATGCATGATGGTGCCAATGTCGCTGAGGTTTCTGTGAAAATTCGTTATTATTAATGTAATGAATTGAATGTAACTCAAGTTGCGCTTCTCACTCACCTGTCCGTTATGCGAAAATTGAGCGGACAAAAGGACTTGGATGAGACAACACGTGCGCCATCACGCAAGTCCGCAAAACGCTCCTTCAGCTGATGATCGACAGTGGGACCAAAGGCGAAATTATTCACAAACACCAACGTCGATGAGGTGATCTTCTCGCGATGCTCATCGACCAGAAAATCTCCTCGTATTAATTTGTACTCGCAATACCGCTTGCCAAACCAGCCCATATATTGGCGAAAGAAGGCGTCCATGCGTACCGCATATCGAGCGGGCGTATCCGCTTTCTCGATGCCAATGCATGTTTTAAGCGGAAAGGAACCGGCCATTTGGAGCACCACCTGCCCCACACCGGAACCGAGATCAATGAACGTGTCATCCGTGCTGACGGTAACATGCTTTGTCATTTGTTGTACCAGTTCGTATGAGGTTTCGCCGTAGACCTCCGGCGAGAAGGGCTCGTATTGGTTGAGCTTGTCCGGATCAAGTACGGCAGCATTGTAAACTAATTGCAGTATATGTCTTAGAAGGCTAGGGTGAGCGAACTTATTCAAACGCTCGGCGGGCAGTGAAGTTCCTTTTTCCTGTGGGGAGAGATGAAATCGAGATGAAATACAACGTATTCATGAAAATGAATGTTTTGAAGAGATTTTATAAATTCTTGGAATTAATTGATGAATATATTTGAAGAAATCAATTCAGCTTTAAGAGCCCTTGGAATCGGAACTGAAGAATATCTCTCTTATACTTTTCGTTTTACTTTATTAACTACTTACCAATGCAACAATACTGTCGACAGCCTTGTTGAATCGATCGACAAGATTTGTCATAGTCTTATAGCAGGCAGTGTCAATTTGATTGAGATTAATCTCTTCGAATGCGGATGAAATGGATGGCAGCTCATCGCAGACAAATTTGATGGTATCAATGATGTCGATGCCATTGTCATGCTTATCTTGTCCATGTCCAATTTGTAGGGGCCAAGCGAAGGTGATGACATCGGATGAGCCAGCGGGCGAACGCAACACCAAGTCCTTGACTTGAGGTGTTGCCATATTTCCTTTGCCACCTCAAACGGCAAAAGTCTCTCGGGCGCCTTTTCCTGATTTTGTGTATGCTGTGTATGTTGCGTGTGTGGGTGCGTGTGTGTACAGGTGTTTCGGAAACAACAACTTGAGGTTTACGTTCACGTTACGTAATGCTCTGGTACTAGTTGCTGTTGTTTTTAAATTTATGCGCAGTGTCAATTTAATGGGAGCATGAGTGTGAATAATGCATAACGTTAAATGGATGATGAATGCATCGAAAAATTGGCATAGGAGCAGTGTAGAGGCGAAAGTTATGGTTTCTTTTATATATTCGTTTTTACGTTGACGTTACGGTTTGCTTTTACGGTTACGTTACGGTTCGTTATCTTAGGAACAGTGGCAGCGTTGGGTTTATGATTTGATGCGTTATGCGTTTCAACAACTTTACGAATCTCGTTCTTTCGCTATCTCTCATTCACTCGAAGAGGCTCTCTCTCTCTCTCTCTCTTTTTCTACGTTACTCTCTCCGCTTTCTCACTGGCTGTCTTCTCGATCACTCTTCTCTTCTCTACGTTGTGCACCGACTGCGCTGCTTCTGCTGCTCCCGCCACAAACGCTCGTTAACAACAACAATTCCTCTCACGATTCTTCTCTCTCTTCCAGCAGCAGTGAGAGCCCAGAGAACAGCAACAACAAAATACAAAAGTAACTGATGATAGTTGCGTAATTTAATATTTTGTTGTATGTTAAGAAAACGATGCATTTTCAATGTAAGTCGCAAACATTTTCGATACGTGCACGAACATGTTATTCATACGATTGTTGCTGCTGCTGCTGTTGTTGTTGTTGTTGGTTGTTGCTGTTGTTGCCGCATTATCGTGCATTGCAACAGTTCCATTGCGTTTCATTGCGTTCCACGTTGGCACGCACGCGTTGCAATCTACCGTTACTATTACACATATTGAAGCGCGTGATTGAATTCTCAGTTCGGTTCTCTTAATACGATTACAGTGTTACAATGCGTTTAATTCACAATGTGAGAGTGTGTTGTGTGGTCTGAAAAAAAGAGAAAGAGAGAACAGATATGGTAGAACATAAATAAACAAGGCTTTTATGTATGCATGTAAGTATGTTTGTGAAGAAAACTTAAATTTATAAAACAATTTGAATGCTGAATGAGCGGTGCTTTCGAACGTTGATTAAAATTAAATTGCCAAACGTATGAAATGACAATTAAAACATAAAAAATTTTTTGATGTGGGCCGAATGAGATAGATGATTATAATTTTGAGCAAGAATTCAAAAAATGTTGCCTATCAGCTGTTAAATATTCCATATTTGTTTAATTATTTAAAATTAGCTAAGCTAAGATAAGTTAGTTCAAATGATTAACTATATAAAAATAAGGCTGTGGTCACACATGCAAATAATTTGCATACAAATTTGTCCCATTTTAATAGTGGGGTTTGTCGGGGTCGTTTGTTCTAGCAACAAATTATACTTGACTTCTTGTTCTTTGCGTGCAAATTATTTGTCTGTCTGACCGTAGCGTCAGTTTATTATAATTGCCTGTGCATTACGTTTAATCATTCAAAGTTCAGAAAAAACCTGTTTCATTTTCGAGTCAAACACATACATAGCTGTTTGCCTCATAACTGCAGTTTACTTTTTTTTTTGAACTGCAAATCCACAAAAAGCTGATAACTGCGGAATCCAAATCGATTAAATCGGCAATAAAACCCCAACTTAAAGCTTACATTTAATATTTTTGTTTCTTGTTTTTATTTTTGGTTGCATTAATAATTTTCCTGTTTCATTCTCATGGTCCGCTGGTTCATGCATATTTATTATTTTTGTTCATTATGCCAATTGCTTATGCGGCACACGTTTCAACTTTTGTCAAATGGAATTCAATTCCCAGTGCACGATTATTGTTTTTTTGGATAACTTTTTGGTGGGCGATGTCAACGACAATGCGACTTCATTAGCATATGTGGCAAAAGTTAGCTAAGTTTATATGTTGGGAAGAAGGCAGGGAGACAGCTACGTCATAAGTTTGGGTGCCGTTGAATATTTTTGTTAGGGCTGGGGGATGGGTGTGGGAATTTTTGCCCAGAAAATCAATAACAACCACCTTTGGAATTACATACAGACGGAGACAGTAAACGCATAAGTAAATAGTGTTGAGGCCTGTACGTGTATGTGTGTTAGAGGCAGTTGAAGACGTGGCAGCTCCCATATTATAGTCTAAGATATGCGTGATTAAGACGTTTGTCTGATGGTTCGTCTGCCTGTTCGACTGTATGAACAACGAGAATTCTGGAATAACAACAGCTATTTTAATCAAACTTGGTGGGTAGACTAATTTTATCCATTTGCAAATATGATTTATTAAAAAACGTATATAGCGGTGATAAATTGACTACTACAACCACAAATCATTTGTTTATGAAGGTATCTTAAGCAGCACTAGTACTTATAACTGGCACTGAAACAATAAGTGCATAAACGAATCTTAGTACCAACTTGTTGTTTATGAGGATACCACAAACAAGTTTTGTATTTTAGATCTAAAGTTTCATCAAATTCGTCGCAATATATTAAAAAAATTATTTTCGTTGCGAATTTAACGTTCGGATCGTTTTTTAAATATCAATTTGCATTAAGAAAGTTCTTATACAAGTGGGTGGCAAAACTTTTGAGCTACTCAGGGGGGTGGGGTGGTTTGTTAATTATTCGACATCGCATTGCATTAAGCTCAAGTTGCTGTCGTCTCTGTCTCTCTTTGTCCAATTAAAGCGTTGCCCCGCATTTTAATTAAATTTACAGCATTTAAAGCTTCAATGCACACACAAACACACCTATCCACACTCACACAACCGAGAGACATTAAAGTACACTGTGGGTCTCTGCACATGCGTTAAAATGTTGTCAGCAGAACATTAAATTGAATGGCTTTTTGGTCTGTTCCCAGCAACGAACCAACATACCTATCAGAGCGACCCGATCCCAATTCATGGTAAACAATCCAACGAACCAAAAAGTCTGAACTGGCTTGACTCGTATATGCTACATACATACATACATATATATACAATACATATATATGTATATATAGTGGGTGTGTTTGTTTGCCTGCTAGTGTCTGTGGCACTTATGTACATATACAGCTCTATGTATACACATACATATTTTGGTTTGGCATTGCAGCAAAGCAGCACATTATGTATGTGCGACATGCCACATGCTACATGCATATGTGCACTGTTAAGTACCGTTATTGCCCAGCTCCTGTTGTTGTTTATGTGCGTCTGTGTAAGTGTGTAAATGTGCACGTGTGCAAAGCACCAACACCGGCCTTTTGGCCATACATACATACTTATATACATATAGATAGGCAGACAGACAGTGTATGCATATATGTATGTGTGTATGATTATTTATATCCGTATCTGTTGCTGTCGTTCATGTCCATGTCTATGAATGTGTCTGCATCCTGTGCGTGCGCTTGTTTCTATGACAACAGCCGCCAGCACACCTACACGCACACACACAAAGGCACAAACACTTTAGAGCACAAACACACACACAGGTGAGGAACATATTCATACATACAATGTCAGTCAGCCTAATAGTAACACATTTGTTTTACCACTGAAAATTCTACAATTCAGCAAAAAACAAAAAAAAAAACTAAAAATAATAATACAACTTTTAAATATTTTTTATTATACAGAAAGCCCTAATACATTAGGTCTTAATAAAAATTACGAAATATGGCGAATTCAGTTAGTTTTAAATTCCTTTGTAAAGTTACTTAAACTAAGTTTGAAGTTAATCGCTTGAAAAGTACAGGCTTATCATACAAACTTGAAATCCATTTTTCCCATTTGGAGTTCGAAATTTCCAAAACTTCTAAGTTAGGGCCAAAAAAAACTCTTAATTCATATTACAGGCTCCAATAGAAGGTTGCGATATTGCCAAAAAGTCTGGTACATGTTGGAGTTAATGAATAATATCGGTTTGAGAAAAAAAAAAGAAAAAATAACAATTTTCTAGTCATCTTTAATATGTTTTGACCCAGAAAGTGTTAGTCGCACTGATTCTTGCTTGGGCTTATAGTAAATGTGGAATTATTCTTTGAAATAAAAACAGAGTAAGCAATTCTTAATAGGTCGATTCGTTTGTCATATAATTTGTGTTAAACATGCATGCCATACATACATAAATGTTATGAACAATGTTTATGGCCATAAAAATCATTTTATATGTCACTTTTACATAAAACGTGGCTAGTGTTGTACATCGCCAAATGATTTCGTTTGACTTGACTTATTCATTAAGCCAGTCTATCTATATTTATTTCCATTGACATATTATTATTATATCATAAAAGGTGGACAGTGTTGTAAATCAAGTGTTTTCTTTTACTTCATATTTTTTGCAAGTAATTATATTTTTTAATATAATATTATTATTATTTTATTTCCCAATTATTATGTTGACTTTATTCATAAAAAGTTGTTTGTGTTGTCAGTTTACAGCCCGTGTCTGCATATTATTTAAGGTTGCTTTATCTAAAGCCTTGTTTACCTATTCAAGTGATTGTTGGTGTACTCAGCACGCATCGGGATGAAGAGCCCACAAGGCGGTAAATTCGTTCGTAAATATCTATAAATTTTCACCGGTCCGGCAGGCAGACATCATGCTGGCAGGCAGACCCATCAAATATTTAGTGTCGATTAATGCAATAAATACTCTTTCAACCGTTTCGAGTGTGGATGGCATTTCAATTTACAGTTTGGTTGGCATTGAATTGGTTCCATGTGTTTGTTGTGAGTTGAAAATTTGCATAGCAATGCTCAAATGCTGGATTCTTAATAGATAGATATACATACTTATGTGTATGTATTATCGATTGATTTGAATGTACAGAGCAAGGGAAATACAAACATAACATATATTATATTTGTATGTGATATTATTTTCAACATCCGACGCATTCGTTTGCTGAATTGATGATGCTTATTGGAATTGATATTTTGACACAGTTTGGGAAAAACTCGGGAACAATAAAAAAACGTTTGCTTAAACTGGTTACTTGTAACCTTTATTTGTTGTGCAATCATGTCAATTGGTTGATTGGGATTATTGTGTTAACAGTTGTATTGTATTCTTCACATATATGTATGTATATAGATATATTCTATAGCTCAGATGTGCTAACAGAAAAGCAGGAATGAGAATCGATATTGCTGGCAACACTAATTAAGCCAATTAACTTGGCTGAGACGATGAAATTCGATTTAACTGAGAGATATTCTTTATTGAAAGTTAACTTCTTTTTTAATATATTAATCAAATAAGCCAGTAGCCACTGGGTGAGTATATTGACACAAGCAGAAGTTGAAAGTAAAACCGAAGCGTCCTAAAAGATTTAGTTAAAACAATTTTAATACCAAAGCATCCAAATAGCATTAATATTGTGTTACTTTTGAAGTACAATGATTTTTTTAGGCTTGTTTAAAACTGTTTTCAATCGTCATTTATCGGCAATCCGTGTCCAATCACCCATAACCAATTAGCATGCAATTTACGCAGGATATGCGCACAATCAGACGACGCCGGCTCAAAAATTGGTGCAACACTGCACAGCACAGTACACCGTACAGACCTATTTCCCATGCATTGAACTTTACTTTACGGTCATTGCGAATGCCAAAAACAAGCAAAATTGTTCTCCAGCCCTGACAAAGTCAACAAAAATCAAATATCCAAGTCATGAACTATACAAAAACAACAACGACATTCCTGCTGTCTGGCTAGTCCTTGGCGCACTCCTGGCGGCCGACTGTCGCGCCATGGCCATCAAATATGTATGCATGTATATTTCTATTTTCGTCTGCAAAATTCAAAATACAGACACAATCAGAGTCAGTTGATGGGAGGAAGGCGAAGTTCAGACGCCGTTTTTGAGCTTTTGTTTGGCCTGTACCTCTCCAGATTACACATACGCCATGTTGCGCGGCTGTGACTGCTGTTCTGTTCAGCCGTCA